GTCATGGTAATAAAAAGATCAACTGCTATAGAAAAAGTTTTTTTTTAATATTATGGGTAAATATTTTGATGTTGATTAAACTATTAAAAGACACATAATCAAACTAAATGGTTCCTAAACAAGTTACTAAGGTAATTTTCTTTGTCCATTTTAAACTAATTAAGTATAAAACGGAAAATAAAATCTTAAGGCAGTCATATGAAATCAAATTGTAACTTAGATATGGAGCCTGTTTGGTTTTCAAATAGATTGGAGGGTAAACATTTTGTTATGTAAAAAGAATTGTTATAATCCAAATTTTTCGAAGCAAAAATAAAAAAATAAAAAATTGAAAGGGTGTTGTAACGAAATTTAATTCTAAAAAGATTCTTCAATATAAAGACACAACCTTTTTTTTTCTTGAAATAACATGACTATGTGCAATTCCAGCATTTGAATTCCTGCTTTAAACTTTATGCTACGTATAATTTACAAATTCTAAAGCTAGCTATAGAACTACCAAATTAAAGCCTTTTTTTACCTCTGATAATTAATCATTGCCTGGTCATTGAAACCAACTGCAACCCTTAATTTGTATTTATAACGTTTACATGAACAAGTGGGAAGAAGTGATTGTCACGCAAAATACCATAATGATCACATTAAACTGAAGACATCTTGAAAATGCTATCTTAACGCCATTCTTGGTAGAAAGTACACAATCAATCGTTAATCATAGAAATGGCACCTCTAGTCCAATCAAATTAGTATCATCTTCGATATATCATTGATGCCCAAGAGTGAAAAAAAATACATTCAAAATAGTGTGTTTGAAACAATAGATCGAATTGGATTAAGCCATAGAATTGGCTATAGCATTTCCTTTTCGAACCATAGAGACAATGAACTTTTTGATGCCGTTGAAAGGGTGTTTATTGATTTGAATCACCGGATTAACTCAAAAAATCAAATTTCTTTTAGTTGTTTTGATTTATACTTTTTATATGCAAATCAAACTGAATTAATGAACTTATATTGATAATGTAGCCGACCTTTTGCATCTCTGTATAACCAAAGTCCAAAGGTATATTTCAAACCTTCAATGGATTAGCTTTCCCATTTATGAACTTGATAAAAGGCTTCAAAACGATTTTATATGTCTAACACGCTTATGTACGAAAAATATTATAGATATTCAACGTGTGACAAAGCATGGTTTATTTTATTCAAATTTCATATAATGTACTAAAGTTAACTCTTACGAAAGTTTTATTTAGTATATGAAGAGATAAAAAAAAAATTATATCTCAAAACTCCTCCGCAAATACCAAAACTTAGAACTGACAATGTGTCTATTTAGTGGCCAATATATTATACAAACTCCTGTAACTAGATGGTGCAATTACAGGAAAGAGTCTTAAGGGAAAAGAAAAATGAATTGTCTAAAATTTTCTAATATGTGCTATATGTTAGTAAGTTATCTATGCTTTTAAGAAATTTAGGACCAAGAGAAGTTTACTACTCTAGTACCAAGTTAGGACAAGCTACCAATTTTAAGAAAGTTTATGAGATTATAGACTTTCAACATATAAAGATTCCTGAACTGGAACTGAAGTCATACATGTGGGGAAAGCATTAATCATTACAGAATTGATAAACATAAAACTAGAGATTGAGTTATAATAACTTAGAAATATATCCAAAAGATATCCTCCATATAAGCATATAATAGTGTAGCTATGCATAGGTTGAAATTTCGTCAGACAAAGCAATTTTAATATATCCAAGGAAATCCTCTCGTCCTAGTGCATAATGCACTAGCATTTAACTTAAGTAACAAGTTTTCTGTATTCTACTTGGACTAATTCTTTGACAGACACAAGTCTAATTAGTGTTGGCTTGTCTTGAAGCATAAGTTTAATGTGAGCTAGCAAATCAATCTACATCACGAAACACTTTTCGGCCTTGAACTCAATTTATTTTTTCCTTAATGAATTATTTATTTTCTATTGACTTGAAAGCAAAAGTCAGCATTTCATCAATCATACTAACCATTCTTGCCACTTGGAATGTTCCAACTTGGTCTAATTTTTCAATATTTTCATGATCCAATCGTATGTCATATACAATATAATTTTTTTAATTAAAGTTGTAATATTTATATGTGGCAGCACAACTTCCCAAAGTTCCTTCTCCACACCATAGCTGAGTTTTGAAGATAAGTTGGTTCTTTAATGTGAAAGGTTCCCCTTTGATTTGATTCTTTTAGAAGTCAAGGATTAATTTGACTGTTCTAACTACTGACACTTTCCTCCTTTCCACTTTATGTGAATAATTTAAAACGTTAATTGATCCTACTGTGACCCACCAACTTGCTTATTAGTAAACAAGAAGGTACAGAAAGAAATACCCTTTTCACTAAATTAATACATCTCTTGTTGGTTGTCAAAAATACAATAATTAAGGGTAATTTGACATGGTCATGACTTGTCATTTTTCTGCGTCGAATTTTTACCTTGTCCTTCTCCCTTCTCTTGAAAAAAAGTGTTAACTTTAGTTTTGTTTTCTGTTGAGTAAATGCTATACTTAGGTCCTTTTCTTAAAGATTTTTTCATTCACATTATCATGTTTAGTAGTCTGCTTCAGAAGATTATGGAAGGATTAGAGCAATCCATTGAAAAGAGACTAAGAAATTAACCACAATACTTTTGGTTTTCTTTTTTTCATTTTTACGTACGAATTGGTTTTACCTTGTTACTATTAATTGCTTCTTCTTTTTTTATCATTAAGGAAAGGCTTTGGATTCAACGCTTACTTTTAATATTCTTTTTCTTTTTGGATCTGGCTAGGTTCCTAAGGTAGTAACAAGTTTAATAATACTTTCATTAGATATTATGTTGAAAATGCATTGAAAATTATATTAAATATGCATTATAACATTTTTAATAATTTTTTTTAATTTTTTAACTAATTCTTAGGACACTAATAATACTTGTTAGTATTTGCCTTTGTTTTTTCCATGGAAATAAGCAATTAGTTTTAACTTTTAACGGTGAGTGGAGCAAGCTTGAACCATGCGAGTAGTAAACTTTTTTAAGTACAGTGACAAATAGCATGATTATGGCAACAAGGTTGGTTTGATTCTTCCAAAACCCAAAAAAAAGCCTTGGAATTTACAATCATTTTACCATGTCATAGATATCGAACATAATTATATAAACTTTAAATTCAAAAATTAAATTTGTTGAATTCCTCAAAAGTTTTGCCTCAACATAATTAACAAAGGGAAGCATACACTAGGGACCGGACTCCCAACTATACTCCTTCTAGAAAATGTGTTTGACCACTCTTCTCACTCCATTACACGTTCTGATTAGTATTTTGTTTGTTATTCCTAGCTAAAGACATAAATAATGATTATGCCTTATAGGAAAATGAGGTGAACGAAGACACAAAAGGGTAAAAGAAAACATAATGGAAGCAGCCTTTTGAGAACAAAATCAATCCCCACATACCTAATTCTTTCTTTTAATAAGTTATATAGTACTAAATCAAACCCTTTTCATACTATGAAAATCCAAAAGCCATAGTCTATTATCTATCACCTATATGATATTCCAAAATCCAAATGGTTCATGACAATGCTCACCTAATTCCAACTAGCATATGATTTCTGCATACAAACAGCTACATTCACATGCACTTTACATGATCGGTTAAGAATATATTATCTCTGACCTCTATGCTTAATCACTCAATCTCTTCCAATTTCCAAAGAGAACTTTGTCAAACAATTTACATGGAGACTTCCGCTTGGGCGAGTTTACCTTTGTGTAAACGTGCTTTTGGTTTTTCTCAGCGGTCAAAAGACTGCAGAAGCCTCAAAATAATGGGCAACTTTGACAGACACTACATGTTTTGTCATTTTGTTTTTGTTTGGTGGCTTACTTCTTGCATCACACACACCAAAAATGCATTCAGAACAACTTAATAGGTTATAACAAGTTGTGGAAGGACAATCAGAGATAAGGGTTGGACAAAGTCAAAAGGTTGAAATTTATTTAAGAAACTATAAAACTTTCAAAGATGTCAGGCTTTTCAGCAAACTTTTTAGCTCACCACTGAAATGCTGCAGTCTTTCTTAGAGCCTCGTCACTAATGAATATTATTTTTGGAGCACCTATTTCTTCCCATAGAGGCTCAGTGTCGGAGAATATAAAATTAGTCTACATGTTAAGTTTTTGCATGGCTTATGTGCCTATAAATATCACTCCTTGTCAGCCCAATAATGCATCTTGTAAGTTGCAATAAAAGAGGGCATGGAATTATAAGATAATTCGTTAGTTCATAATCTTTTAAACAGTTTAAACAAATGATAATTTATTTTCCCTAGGACAAGGTACAATATGGTGTTTTGGTAAACACTGTAATTGAGTTACAACACCAGATATGGTTATATCCTTTACAGATATTGTAGAATTTGCTGTTTTTTAATATCTTCAATCTTGACATCCTGAATTAATTTATTGAAGTTTCAGAATTTTTGATATCATTACATATTTAATAATGAAATTACAATGAGCTTATTATTTATTATTATCGTGCTCCCCGAGCTATTGCCATTATTTGCCAACCATGAGGATAAATTAGCACAAGGACAATCAGAAGAGAAACGGAAAGGGAACAACTTGCAGTTTGAAGTGAGGAGAAAGTTAATATATAAGGAACAGCTAGCCAGTTAAAAAAAATTTAAAATACAACAAAGAATAACACACACCCTCCAAATTAATAATACAATAACAACAATCAAATGCTATCTCACTGGATAAGATAAACTATATAAATCATATGATGCCCTTAAACTCATTCAAAAACCATGTTATACTAACTGTTTCTGTATTATAATTTATACAAACCCCCCAAAGGAAACATGCTATGGGCTACGTCAACCCACAAACCCAAACCCGAAGGAATAACAGAGTTGCACGTACTATGTTACGCATGTGCACAATCTACATCGTCCATAAACAATTCCTACTGGATGTATTATCTGATGACCTGGAAATATGTGATTTCAAGTCTGTTCAAATATCTTTACTGAACTCAGAATTTATAAGACGGATATTTTATTACAAATGTAGCTAATCCAATCATCTTGGCAAAGACAGTAGACGAAAGTCACCAAGATGTTCCACATTATTGTGCAATTAACCAAGAGAGCCTTAACACACAAAAGCTCACCGGAAAGAAGATGCTAAAGAATTAATGCAATTGATTTTCAAAAAAGAATATGTACAAAAATAACTATTTAACCAATCAAAATTGTCCCCTCCATTACCACAAGCCATCTCATCAACCTGACAATATTGTGATTGGTTATACCCGAATTATGGCAAGGTCAATTACTTACCATCTTCTAAATAATTTGTGAAATTCAGGCAAAAGAACCCAAAAATTCACCACCATTCACAGTCAATATGCCTCATTGAGTTAATGACCATGGCAGAAGGGTGGAGGGAAAATCTCCAGCATGCAACTTGTGAATCTAATATCCCTCCCAACCCACAAATGAAGAAAGTTCCCTTCAACTGCAGTCCACTCGCCAGCATGCTACCCGAAAATCTGTCACCCCCTTCTCTAAATTCTCACTAATTGACAACATTGAAGAAATCTAATTCCCTTGTCTCTTGAATGGCCACACTGAGCTCATCAATTGTGATTCTCCATGAGATCCGCAAGAGTTATTTTTCCACAGTTGCCGGCATCTAGTCTATCAAACTTCTCGCTAACCTGCATGATGTCTTTCTCAGATACTTTTCCCATCTCCTTGAGCTTGTATATAACATATTCTGATTTACTGCATGCACAAATCCAATATATTCAGCGAAAGCACAAAATGTGTAAGTTACCAAATTCAATTGAATTAAATGAACATTTTCTTCTAGGATAAAAAACAAAGAACATAATTCAAATCACTGCAGAGAAAATCAAGATAGGACCTGAAGAAAAGGAAACTGATAGAAACAAATTATATATGCTGTGTTATTAATCAAATTATGCAGTAAAACTGAGTAAAAGAGCTCAAACTCTATAATGCTAAGATATATTTTTCAGAGTCAGTAATTGACTCCTCCAGAGAGTAAACTCTCCTTAGCAAAACCCACAATATTCTTGCCTACCAAAATTCTCCGATTTCCTAGATTCCTTCCACGTCACCTCCCCTCTAACTAACTAATCATTATTCCCTGGCCCCATTTTCTGTCTCCTAATATAGACTCTCCACACATTGGGCTTTTGTAAAACTGTCCCTTCACCAAATACAGCCCATCACCCTTCCTTATGGTATTTGCCATATTTGGCGCCCTATCAGAAACACAAATGAATTTGACATTTTGAGATTGAAAACAAATAAGACCTAACTATTAAGACATTACAATAAGTACATGTCTGTCAACAGTCCACAATAATGAAACATGATATGGCCATAACTACCAGAAACAATGAAAAGAATATGCATGCAGGCAAAAATTTAGAAGTTATATGTTTATCTTACTGTAGTTGGAAAGCAGAATAATTCAAAAGAAAATCCATAGATGATGAGCAGCCATGAAGTCAAGATAGAAGAGTCTAGGAAAGAAAGGCATTAGTTGGCTCACAATTGCTTAACAAAATTATAAGGTCTAAGAAAAAGTCAGATGAATGGAGAAGCACTTTTATCATCCCTATCTACAAAAACAAAGGAGAAATACAAAATTGTGGAAATTATAGAGGAACTAAGCATATGAGCTGTACCATGAAGCTACGAGAGATAATAAATGTGTAGAGATTAAGACTAGACACTCACATCACTAAAAATCAATTTGGTTTTATGCTGAAGTGGTCAACTGTGCAAGCAATGGACATGCTGTGACAAATGATGGAGCGATATCAGAGGAATCAAAAGGACTTACATATGGCCCTTACTGATTTGGAAAAGGCAAATGATTGGGAATCAAGAAAGGTTTTGTGGAAAGCCCTAGAGAATAAAAGAGTACATGTTACCAATATTCAAGTAATCAAGGATATATATGAGGAGGGTCACAAGTGTAAGAAGAACATAAGGCAAAGTATACAAATTTGCCTATAACTATAGCCTAAAGGGACAACTTTGAGCCCTTATCTTTCCTCATTCTTAAGTGTGTTTATTGAGCGTATCCAAGAGTTATTTGTAGATGATATATTCCTAGTTAGAAAGTTGAGAAAGGAAATAAATGGGAAGTTAATGTAGAGACAAACTTTGGAAGCACATTTTCAATTAAGTAAAAGTAAGACAAAGTACATAGTATACAAGTTTAGCAAGAGATGCATCAACCCTGGCTTATAAGCGAAATCAAAAGGCATACTCACCAAAAGTCACATGGTTAAGAAGACCAGTAATATTGTACAAAACGAAGTGATAGGCAATAAAAAACAAGCCTTATTCCATTAAGTGAGGTCAGCCAATGATAGGCAATAAAAAAAATCAGCAAAAGAATAAACTCCTCATAGCAGAGATGAGAATGTCATGTTGAATGAGTGGACACACTAGACAAGACAGAATTAGAATAAATGCATTAGAGAGAAAGTTAGGATAACACCTAATGTAGAAAAAATGGTAGAATCTTGTTTTAAGTGGTTTGGGAATATGTGGAGAAGACTTATAAAAGCCCCAATGAGGATAGTAGATCAAATGGAAAGTAGCCTTATCATTAAAGGTAAAGGGAGACTAAGAAAAACTAGTGAAAGCATTATGAAGGATTAAGAGGTCAATGATTTGCCTATAAACTAGATTCATAATAGAACACTAGGGTTTTATCTTATCCATGTAACCGACCTCAAATAGTGAACAAATAAAAAGGCTTGATTGTTGTTGGGAAGCCGAAATACTTCAAAATTAGCAATGTACTAGTGTTGTACATGCATCCACATACAAAACATTTAGATACATATCCAAGGAATATCCTGTGTTTTTTTAATGGCTGATACATTTTGAATATGGCAGCCTATAAGTCTTAGCTACATATGGGTTGAGCATATAAAATACAATGCCTTTATGTTTTGTAAATTAAAATGACTTGGTTCCAATATCCCTCGAGATTACTGGACCTCTTTTGCAAGTTGCTACTGTCATGCACGGTCCATTGGTCCTTCTCAATTCCCATATTGTTACTGCAATAGAAAAGGGTTGGGACGTTCTACTCTCGCACCCCTGCTTCTCTTCCATAAGCTCTAGTTTGTTCACTTCTTTTCCACCAAGTCCTAAGTCTTTTGTTTTCTCCCATAATACTTTGGCATCTCAACTACACAACATCTATTGAAGTGAACTATGAATTATAGATTCTTTGCTCAATTCATAAGAAAAATTTAGTGAAATATTTTTCTCTTCAATTTTTTATTAGAACTCTCAATCCAGCAGTCTCCTTTTCTTCATTGTTAAACCTTCATCGCTGACAAATTTTAAGTGCCCAACCTTCATCATGGGCCATCTTTGTCAAGCATTGCATTTTATATTGTATCTCCAAAAAGCTCCAACAGTCCCCCCAACTTCCGTCGCAGCTTCCTCCTTCCCTTCCAACATAGGGTCTCTGACACATAATTCCTCTGCATCTCGGTTTCCAATGTGGTCTAGCATGGGAGTGGCTATAAGTTTCATGGGTTGTTCCTTTCTAACTGCCAAGTTTGTCCATATTTAACCCCTTTTGCTATTATTATTTGTTTATATTTGCAATTTACCAGTAAAATATCTACCCCATTAAAGTGATTTAAAACTGTTCTTTGTTTTGATTGAAAACGGTTCCTTCTTCTTCTTCTTCTTTTTTTCTCTCTCTCTCTTCGTTCTTTTATTTTTTTTTTAGAATATTAAAAGTCTTAAACATTTTCTTTTCATTTTTCTAATAATTAAAATATTTATAACTATATGGATGAAATATATAAAATGCAGATTGACCAGAGCATTAGTGCCTGTCAATGCACTTGTGATTTATAATTATAACAACCATCCTCCAAAAATGCTTCTATCAGTAATTTGCTCAAGCATCATACCAGTTTCAACATAGCACACAGAAGCACCAAGACCCATCCATAGAACACACCAAGAAACAAAATCAATTAGTAAAGATGATCAACAGCTATCACCAATGTCATTTAACTTAAGAGATTATAGTCTTGTCTGATAATAGGTTATCTAAAATTATGAACCAATCATTAGGATTAAACACCTGGACAGCTCCAAAAAAATCTAAGAACCTGAATGAGAAATCATTCTTATAATCACTCTACCTCTAAATGAAAGTTAACATTTATAGAAACTTATCTAGAAATTTAAATACAGACAATAAACATATCAATATATCACTCCATAATATAAATATATAATGAGCAGATAACCACTACAACCAAGACAAAAGTTTTGAGCAAATGCATATTCTGCACTCTATGTTGATATGCATCAACTATTCATTTTATTAAGGTTAAGAACCAACTGGGCCTTTGTGTCATGTAAAATATTATGCGATATTTAAGCCTTCCTATTACTCTTTCAAAAGTTTGATTATAAGCATGCCCAATTTGTTCTCTGGATCAGCTAAAGGAAATCAGTGTCTCTTTTCTTAACTGTTTTTTTGAGTTATCTTTTCAGTCTTCTTAATCAAATGTTTGTTCCATCAGGACTATGTGCATGATAACAAGTTGAATATGTGCAGTTGAAAAAACTTATGCTTAATATAAGTGTATATGAAGTATCCTCAAACCTATTACACAGCACCTGGCTTCTTAATATGGTATTATAGCATGGTTGTCCCCAAGTTTATCATTTATAGCTGTGTGTGTTTAGTTCAGCATATTTTAGAAAAATAATCGCTTATTTTTTCCAACTTCCTGGGAGGGATTTTGGGTGAAAAAAAAAATATTTATCCAACATTCCAACTTTAATCTTTACCAAACAAGCTATTTGTCTATGACACAGATGTGCACTTGATAGAAGTGATGAGTGTTAAGGCTTAATTTACATAAACAAGGTTTATAAGAAATATGGTGGGGAGGGAGGGGGGTAGAATCTAGGCATAAAGGACACCTAGTCACACCCTATAACAGATAATGTAAGCTGAAATTAAAAAAATGTTAAGAACTTTCATGTTCAATTTCTGAGTGATTGGCAAGGATATATGGACAGGGTAAGAGACAAATGTAACATTGCAGTAAACAAATTTTAGAAAACAACTGTCAAGGATGGCATAAATGATATACAAATGAAATGAAAGAATAGTTGCATCTTAAAGTTTTAAGATCTACAAATTATTGCAGCAAAAAGGAACAATAGTAATCCAATTAAGGAAATTCTGCTGCACATTTTTTTCTAAACCACCAGCGCAAGTTCTCTAAGTTCTTTTCCAATGAACTCTATATGGAGATAAAGCCATGCACAAAAAGTAATGTGCTACTCTGAATGCAACAGCAAGTCATGTATCATTCAAGTGTACTTATTAAACAACATCAAGCTAGTTGCAAGGATACCAAATGTCCAAATGTGGGGTCTTTATTACTTTCCCAAGACCAGGAGCAGGGACCTCTCTCAAAATCACTTTTGGAACCAAATTCCCACATTGTTCCTTTTTGACTTTTTCATCACTATCTTATGTCATCACCAAACAGCAAACAACTATACTAAAAGGACAATATTTTCATAATCTACATGTCGAAACATATACATGAAAATCTATTTCCATGGGGTATGAGCAATGTTGTCAGAATCAGTATCCTACATAGGATTGCAAAGTAAGATACAGGATCGTAACAAAGATCGTTAGATCCTACTAAACATACAAATTATACTTAATCATAGACATATGTATAAAAAATAGCATAGATAAAGAAAATAACCTCCAAATCACATGCTTTAATTAAATATAAACTTAAAATTAGCCAAAAAAGTAATAAATTTATCATAAGAAATACAAACATAACTTCAAAAAATAGAGGACCCATGAATAGCAACCACAAAAAAATGCAGTGGCACAGAAGAGCAAAAAACAAGATACCATAGGACCCACAGACAGTGCCACAAACAAGATGCACTGTCAACAAGAAGCAGAAAATCAGATACCCACACAGCTGCACTTGGGTCACAAAAAACAGAGGACCATGCAAAGAACATGAAGGTGCTTTTGAAACTGAGAAAGAACAAGTGAAAACAATCTAACCTAGGGCTAGAAGGCATCATCACACAAGAGGAATGGTCTTGACACAAAAATCGGGTTTAAAATCTATGGAAAATGTTTTTCCAAACAGGGTCATGAAATCCCGACTGCGAGGCACAGAAGATCGGATCAAATCTGCGATCCTGCAATCCTTGGGAGAATGATTGCAATCCTGATGCGATCTTCCATGTTTGCGATCCTACATGTTATTAAGATCAGAGAGATGAGGAAAGATCTCAAGATCTTGAGCTCTTGATCGCAATCTTGACAACACTAGGTAAGAGTTGCGAACTCAGTCTCCATCATTGTGTCCTACTTTAACAACCAACATGGTGATTCAGCAAATAGTTTCTGTCAACATTTTTTACCATTACTTTCCACCCTATAACCAATATCAGTTCACCATTAACATGTAATCTTTCAAGTCTTGATAAATAGCATGCAGGCATAAATGATGGAGACAGTTTGGATAGAATGGAACACGTTTCAATTATAGTGAATCAATACACTAAAATTAATGGGATTTTTCCTTCAATTTTGTCTGTCTTCTACAACTAAAGATATCAATTTCGTTGGGGTTAGTTTGATCAACATACAACTGGAATCAGAATGATGTTGTAACAATATTATGAGGACAAGAAAATAGAATACAAGAGAATTCTCTATTTCCTTTGCAAACAAAGACAGGAAACCTGTAGCGCATACTGTATAGAGCTCCAGCTCAAAGCTTAAACTCTATACATCCAACATAACGATGAAAACATCACTTAAAACAAAAGGCAACACTTACAAAGATCACTGTGCTAAGCAAGTGAAGCAGGCAAACTACTATAATAGCCCTATCAAAATAAACCTATTGGTTAAAAGTTTTACCATCTTGTTTTCAGATCTGATATCTACAAGAAAAGGCCTAAGAAGTAGAACCATATACCAAGCAATTATTCTATCAAAATGGTCTTAATAAAACTAATAAAAAATATTCTTTAAAACGCATCCTCCACATGCTATATAACGACTGACCACAACTTGGAGAATGAAAAGGTAAAAGTACTCCAGATAACTAGGCAATGACCTCCATAAATGAATATAGCTCAAGGGATAAAATTGGGCAGATAAGCATGATTAGAACAATCAATATCCATACATATGCTTCTGTGTCTATTGCTAGTAAACAAAACAATAGGAAATAAAGTAACTCCAGAAAGTTAAAAAATGCATGACAATCAAAGTTCTTAATTTCTCAAATGCCCATATATCCATCATGACATGCCTCACGATAAAAACAATTTCCTTGTCTACCTCATGCAGCATTTCCATGTTTTACACCATGGCTGACATGTCTGGTACGAGCTAGAGATTCTAAATTCTGTCTCAAAAAAAAAACTGACATTCAACTAACTACAAATAATCACTCTCAATTGAATGACAAACATTTAAGATATCAACAAATATGTACGAGAAGGAACATATTTTCTGTTTAAGTTAATTAAACTTCCTAAATTTTTCTCTGTTTTCATATTTTCCATCACCAAAGTAAGTGCCAAAACAAAACTTCAGTCAATATCTAAGCATTTAACCAGATACTAAATGCATAATTCAAAAAGTGATCCAGGATTCATGTAGGGGGGGAAAAAATATCTTGTAAATCTAGGCAAGCAGCAAATAATGTCAATGCTCTACTATCATGAACAATAAAATTGATTGATAACAAAAATAAGCTCATACCTCACAAAGCCATTATTGTCTATGTCTGCAGCAAGAAACTCAGAAACAGTCATATCCTGACCAAGAATCCACTTTGCCATCGTCCTATGTCGCTTATCCACTCTTGCCTCAGCCAAATAGAGGAATGCTCGGGCAACTGCAAGCGTTGACACAAGCAACCAAATTGCAGCAAAGATTCGACCCTGCAAGGTCTTGAATGCATGGTCTCCATACCCAACAGTGGTAACAGACATAACTGAAAGATAAAAAGAATCCAACCATCCAAGCCTTTCCACAAAATGCATAACCCCCACACCTATTCCAATACAAAGCACCACAACCCCCAATGCCAACCCCACCTTCAACCTAATCCTCATCCTCCCTTTCTTCACATCAACTATATAAGACCTCCCATCCTTTTCTCCCCTACCCTTCACTGCCCTCAACAAATGACTCTCCTGCAAATCAAGAACATAGCTAACCATCCCACTGAGCAATATGTCAATAAAACCAAAACCAACCAACACAAACAATATAGAGAAAAGCTTTGTTGCAGTACTATTGGGAGTAATGTCACCATATCCTATTGTGCACATGGTCACTATACAAAAATACAATGCATCCACTACAGGATGAGTCTCAGTTGCTGAAAAATTATGCCGATTGAACCAATATATTACCACCCCTAGAGCCAAATAAAGAACAAGAAGAATAAAAGCCTGGTGCACAATAGACTGGCTACCAAATTGGGGTCTTTTCACAGTGGGTTGGTGATTGAAATCGCTGATCACAGCCATAGCTGGTGCAGTTTTGGAGCGATGAAGGTTGGTTTTTCTCCATGAATAATTGGGGTCAAGGAGCCAAGAGGAGTGTTGCTGCTGCTGTTGTTGTTGTTGTTGTTGTTGTTGGGACTGTTGCGAATCAAAGAGTGCCGATGCTAAGTCCTGTGTGGTGGAGGAAGAAGAAGCACATTTGGGGGAATTATAAGAAAGTGTTAATGCCTCAGCCAAAGGTGAAGGGTCCCTTGGTGAGGCACAAGAAGGGCCAAATATGAGGCGATCCTTGAACTGCGAAGGGGTCAAAGGAAGAACCATCTCATCATGTTCTGGCAAAGGACAAAGCTGCGGTGCCAATGGTGAAGGCTTCTTTCTGGGGCTGAAATATGGAAGCAGAGGCTCCTCCATAATGGTATTCTCTGAAACCGATGTTTTGAGGTATCTGTGAGGAAAGGCGGTGACTTTGAAGAATGAAAACGTTTAACTAATACGGGTCGGTTTCAGAATCGAGGAAATTTGTGTTACCATAAGTGAAACGCGGAGAAAGCAGCGAAAGTTTTGAGCTTTCGGTTACAGCTTTTGATGATTCAAGTGGGGATGGAAGTTATAACAGAGACAGAGACAGAGAGAAGAAAGAAAAATGAAAGTACATAACTTAGGTACATGATCACATGAATATGGGAAGGTGTCGACGTGTAGGGGTTACTATGTTAACTATGATGTCAGTGCCACTCATTCAGGGGAAGATGTGATGCTACACTCACGCGCTTCTTGTTGGATCGTGGGCGAGTGGTCCAAATGAAATCGTGAGATATGGTAGGGATAAGGCTTTTAAATTACCTTGATTTAGTCGTGATCATGCTCATGTGACTAGGAAATGAAAGGGCCAAAAATGTCCCAAGCTTTTATGATCTGATTGAAACATAAGAAGGGAATTTACCCATATTTGATTTGATCATTAGCGAGAGAAAAAAGAGACAATCACTGCGATGAATGAGGCAGGTCTCCTGTGTAGTGGCCATGTTCTGCATAATTAACAAGAGAAAATCATAGTAGGATTTGGTGCATATTGTCAACTCATTTAACGCGCTTTAGATCAGTTTGTTTTAAAATAAATAATTGTTTTATAGTACTTTTTAAGAGGTTTAAATAGTACTTTTTAAGAGTTTTGGTGCATATTGTCAACTCATTTTCCAAGTGCTTATCTGCTGATACACATGAAATCTTAGTTGATTTAACAATCGTAAATATGCGATTTTTTATCAAATATAACTCTTAATTTTGTTATTTACATAAATATTATGAGCCTCTTAAATTCCTGACTTTCTTTTAATTTACTTAGAAACGAAATTTACTAAGATAAACGTAAGCTAATCCAAAACTCTGTTACCGCAATATAAAAAATCCATAATATTTGTTTACCAACTAATGCAAAATTTTATAGTTTTTATATTAAAAAATAATTTAATTTAAGTATATTAACAGTGTAAAAATATTTTATATTATCATTTAGTCATAAATTGTTATATAAACTAATATTAATAATTAATATAATATTATATCTGCAATGTATTCATATATAATAGTTTCTCTTTGATTGTGAAAAAATAAAAACTAGTTCACAACCTAAAAATCTTTAGATTTACATACTAAAATTAAATTTGTTAAAAACTTACCTGTTTCGAAAAAAAGTTATTCTAAAGTTTTTGAAATATACAATTGAGGATTAAATTAAAAATTTTCATAAATTTAGTATGTCTAATTCAATAATTTAAAAATATAACTTAATTAATTACCATGGTCATAATTTTAAAAAAAATATTGTAAAATAAAGGCTAAAAGTAAAAGTATCTTTAATCAACGAGAGTTGATTCAAGTAGTATTTGCTTCATTTTTCAAAATAAGATTTTAGAATTAAATTTTGTATAGGAAAATATAATCGCTGAAAAAAATTAATCCTATCACGATGCATGTGTTATTTACTCAAATAAAACTATTTTCTGTAAAAAAAATTGCAATTTAGAAAAAAGAAAGTCAATAATTAGAATTAAATATGTTTTTTAATTGGAAATTCTTATATATAACATTGAAAGATTAACAAATGTTTTCCTTTTGAAATTTTAATGTTAGACACTATTATTACCGGGCGTTGACTGAAAAAATTCCTTTGTTCCCCGATTGACCAATAAATTTTTTCGAAAAATATTTTATAAAATCAAATTGCATGTAAACTATTAATGTGAAAAAAAAAATTTAATAACTACAAGACAAAATGATAAGATATGTCTCAACTTGATAATTAAGATAAAGGACAATAAAACAGTATACCATATATATATATATATATATTCTTAATTAAGTATTAGTTGAATTATAAAAATAAGATTAATTTATTATATTAATATTTTATTTTATCAAACTAGTTTCATTATAAAAATATGATTAGAAATTATAATAATTATTTTTTAAAAATATTTTTAATTTATTATATAACAAAACAAAATGATATAATACATTGAATAAAGAAAATTTAGTTATATACAGTAGCTATTACAACAAAAATAAAATAAAATAGATGAAAATTAATGTTTCAGTGTTTTAATATCCTAACTTTCTCTTTTCATCTTCCTTTTTCTACTCTTTCTTTTTTCTTTAAGAAATGACTTAATAAATTTTTGCTTGAGTTAAAATCAGACAATAACCAAAGTTTATTTGTTACATATTTGCTCAAGTAAAAAAAATTTCGTTTAAATAGAAATTTGACAGATTCACTTTTTGTCTTTTTTTTTTTTTCTTGCTTTCATTTCTCCATAAGTTCCTGTAAAAAAGGGAAATCAATTAAAAAATATCAAGAAATATTTTCATCTTTATCTCTTAGTCAAAATAATTGTTCAAATTCAAATACTTTTAAATTAAAAGAGAATTGAGATTAAATTTAAATTTATTAAGAATTTTAAATATTCTAATTCATGTTAAAATTTACTATAATTTGACATTTATCAAGTATTTATGTAATTTTTACAAGGACCAAACATTTAATAAGGCTATATTTTTTATATGATAATTTCTATAATATTTTTGAAAATATTTTTTTCATATAAAAAATAAAATATTTAGTATATTTGAAATATTAAATTATATTATTACTCCAAATTTTAAAGATTAACTTTATTACATAAATAAATTTATAAATTTTTTATTGTAATATAAGGAAGTAATTCTTATTATATCAATTCAACATTTCATTAGTTAATTTTTTTTGTTTTATCTATCAATTAAATAAAAAATAATATTGTCTATTTTTTTAATCCTGTTATATCCAATCAAAAAGATTAGATAAGCCTAGATTTTTTCAAACTATAATAAAAATTATTTATTATATATAAATTATTTTAGTATTTTATTAATTATAATTATTATTTTTTAGTTGACTTACGTATTTATTAAATAAATAAATTTTATTAATATATATATATATATAACTTTACACCATAAATAATATTTGATTTAAATATGAGTTTTTAATATTTTTTTAAAAATTATTCTTTTATTTAGTAGATCATTTTTTAATTTTTTTCTAAATAAGTTCACTAAAAATATTTTTTATTTTTAGTTAAAATATATATTTGATTCCTATAATTAATATTTATTTGCAAATTAATCTTTACACTTAAAAAATTTATGTATTAGTTTTTATATAAATATATTATTATATTTTAATTCTTGACATTGTTAACACTGTTAATGACAAAGAATAAAATATAAAAGAGAGGAAAAAATAACAAAATACTTATTTAAAAACTAAAATGTAATCTTTTGAAGTATATGAATTATTTTGAAGATGAATGTTAATTGTAAAGACTAAACTGTAATCAATTATGGATGAATTTCAGTGATAAAAACTAAATATATAATTTAACAAAAATTTTATATATAATATTTTTTATTAAACTAAATTTAATATATTAATAACATTAAATTACAAATTTTAATAAACTTTTTTTCATGTTTATATAAAATACAATTTAGATATGAATAAGTCAGATAACTTCTTTTAAAGATTTTTTTTTTGGGGTGAAACTTCTTTTAAAGATAAATCTTTCATATAATATTTAGTGAAAGATATGAAAATCTTTCATGTGCTATACATTAATATTGACTTCGTATAAATAAAAATGCGTTAATGACATCTATCTTTTATTGCAAGACTAAATTAATATCGAAAATAATCTTATTTATTTTTCAAAGACCAATTTAATGTCAACCTAATATTACACTTAAAATTCAACTCTCTGGCCAAAAAATCTTATAATTTAATACGAACTGATTTTGACAGAAGCTTCATTATACCGTCACCGTGTACATCCCTCTTCTACGTTCCACAAATTCTGTCCCTTGGCCTTCATCCTACCTCCACACACACCAAAAAAGAAAAAGAAAAAGAAAAACATTTGAACCTTAAAGATGCATGTATCTGCCAAAGAGAATTTGTACTAACCTAACTTTTAAACACACGTTTATATAAACATGTATTTTTACAGAAAATCACATCAATTTAACCCCTCAATAATTCATTTTATGCAAAATACTTGACAAATAATTCTCTTTGAATAAGTCAATTAACTCTCCTATATATCCTAACGTCAAGTATTTTATATTTTAATTTAAATACTAACACATTACGTCAAATTAATAAATATTAACATAATGTCGTATTTCTACTAATACTTTCAATTATTATTTTTCAATTTCAAAAGTCTTGTGTATTTAATGTATTCTTATCTAATGACATTCATTATACTTCTTTTAAAATATATATGATTTTCATGTTATTTAACAGTAATGAAAAAATGTCATTTTAATTTTAAAATTTTATTTTAATAATACATATAATGCATGAGAAACTAACTAAAAAATAATAATAATTTCATCCCTTAATCTAGGAGTGGGTACAGTGCTACTCTTATATCTTTGTATTGCTAAATGGGAGTTTATTGAAGAAGAAAAAAATATATCCCTTGAGGCTTAAAGCATTGTACCCAGATTTAGAAGCAAAAGCAACACCCTTCAGCCAATCCAAGGGGAAGAGAACTCATTTTTCACATTCCCAGTTACCGATCTGGTACATCACTAATATGAAAACTGCCAATCACCAAAGCGGGTCTTAAAAAGATCATTTGAAATCAACTTGAAGCTTAAGGGTATGTTTTAGGGAGAAATGAGGCGAGGGTAATTTTTTTTAATTTAAAAAAATATATAATATTTATAAAATAAATAAAAGATTACTACATTAAACTTATTTTAATTTATTGTTTCATTTCTTTCACTCGTAAAAAAAAAATGAAATTAGAGGATGTTTATAAAAAAAAATTACCCTCCCCCTTCTTTCCCATCCACCAAAGTTCAACTCTCAAACATAGCCTAAAATGACCTTCTGCCATGTTTCACTGGATGCAGCAGTAAGGTTGTGATCCAGCTGTTTTACAAATGAATATATGCATGTAAATAGAGAACTTCCAAGTAGTATATAGAACCAAAATACTAGATGATACATATATATTTCAAAATCCAGTTATAAAATACTTTGTAAAATACAAATAAAGCATGCAATTAATACCCAGCACATCATTTAAAGAGACAGTGAAAATTAATCATCATCTTCGAGAACACTTCGACGCCTCTGTATCTGAAAAAGCAATAAAAATGGCATAGTAAATATATAACCTTTGAGAAATGAGATAGAGCAATGTAACAAATACTCTACAACTTACAGTAACTTTAGTCTGCCTTGTTGTTTGGTTGTTTATCTGCTCCAGCAGTGATATGAGTCTTTCTTCAGAAACCTAAATATGCCACTGATTACATGAGGCATACATTGATATAATAATGCTTATATGGAGTTATGGACTAATTACTTTAAATATCCATTGGGACTCAATGATATATATTAGCAATTTTTTATTTTATAGATTTCAATTTCTGAAAACAATTTATTTGCCTTCATATTCAAGGTTAACAAACATGGGGAGCAAAACAATTTATAACCATCATCCCACAGCTAATATCCATATTCAACACTAAATGAAGTGACAAATAAACCCAAACTTCCAGAGATTTAAATTTGGTTCATATAAATCATCATACAACAGCCATCTTCCCCACAAGTAAAACACAAATTACAGATTATAGAAATTCAACCAAAACAAGTGAAGTCATTGTCACAATCATCCATTGAACAGCCTGCACTATATTCAGACTTCCAGCATCTTATTATCAAATATGGTTGTCACAATTGCAATTCAACATGAAGGTTTGTACAATTTTAAATGATCCAAGTCCCAAAAGGAAACTCATTTTGCTAGGATCGTGTTGCCTGGGATCACATTCAAGCACATAAAGATAATAGAATCACTTGCTCTTTACATTCTTAGCCAAGTTATCAGATGTTTGAAACTCATTTTAAAACCAGAACAAACACAACACAAACCCAAAATAAACCCAGCAAAGGCTTTCACTGTTGTCCCATCATCAAGGTAGTTCAATCGCAATCTTACTTGTAAAATTGCACAATTCTATGACTTTTCCCCTTATAATAAACCAGATCACACTCCAAAACTCAATCTGGTGAGGTCACATGGATTGTCAAGTTAATGCATAGGAACAGTGGAACCAGACAATCCCACCATGCTGATCAAAAGTTCATTAGACTACTAGTAGAATTGCAACCAACATTTATATTAATCCTAATTAACATCTGCCACATGACAGCAGGGCAGGCAATTATAGACTGAATACCTTTTCTGGATCAGTGATTGATTGCACAAATAAGAAACAGATAGATTTTCACTGATCAAACAATAGTATATCATGAAAAATTCATTGAATTTAAATTCAAAATGTTACCAACTTGTGATAAGAATGAGAAAGCTTGCAGCAAAAGACAAGATCCAACATACCTTTTCAGTTATCTGACCCACTTGAGCAGCTCTCAGTATAACATCCTCAACACCTCTTGCTTTCTCGGGTTTCACCAGAGCAATTCGAGCAACTGCATATAAAAATGATGGCAGAAATTTAAAAGAATGTAAGAAAGACAACTATGTGTAGCCAATTAATTGCTAAGAACACCTCACTAATATCCAGATGACTAATGATTAATAAAGTCCCAACTAACAATTTACACAAACAATTTAATGCAAATAATTCTATTATACCTAATCCATACCACTACTGTTTCTATTCCCTACCCTATAATTATTCTCTATTCTTTGTTTCAAGAAGAGTTAAGAGTAAATATTCAACTTCAACATACACAAAAATGAAACAGCACAGTTAAAGTGCATTGTTTCAAGTCTGAATCTGAATGAATACAGTGAAAGAGTGAAAAGATTAATTTGCACTGTCTGTAACAACTTCTGGCACCCTTTGACTTCCTATCCTATAACAGTGAAAAAATTAACTTACATTTCAGATGTATGGCAGATTCACTGTTTACACAATAACTGCATACTAATGCCCATATATAGAAATGTATTCTTTTGATAAAGTTCATTTTGGTCTATATTCCGGAGAAAGACTATAGTCACAACTCACAAGAGGATTATATAGAATGAAATGGATATTATTATCTAGTAATATATTATCTATTCTTAAGTGTTAATGTATGTTCTATGATTGTTTGTCCACTTCTACATATATAGTTTGCATTTGTCAAAATATCTTACAATGCCTGATATGATGCAGACACAGTAAACAAAAGTTTAAGAAAACTATAATGCTTATAATGCACAACACTAACAACTATGCCCTCAACATGTTCTCTACATTCATTGATGCATGACTGAAGGCAGGATTGAAATATTAAATTATGCCATTGTACACGTCATTTTCAAACCAGACAAAGTTTTCGAGGAAACAAGAGAACTAAAATAGATAAAAAGTCAACAACACAGAAGGCAAGAGTATATTATAAACTTACGTCTTTCTCGTGCTTCAGCAGATAATATCTGACTAAGCATCATTTGTCTTCGTTCCTCTGCCTCCCTAAATTATTTGTTTTTCAATTCATATCAATAATTGGTTTTATTCGGGATGAACAACTAATATCAATAATATCACAAAATTTGTCCCCAGATGGAATCTATGCAACTGAGACAAATAATTAGTGCAATATGTCGAGAAATCAAAATTCAAAACCTAACCTCTTTGCATCATCCTGAGCCTTCTGCTGTTCAGAGTTCTGTTGATTTCCCTGTAAAGTAGGAGGTGTGATCAACATAATTACAAGCAAACTCTCTCTCTCTGCAGTGAAAGAATAAAGATACCCATAAGGAAATTATCTCTCACCACGCCATGCCGAGCCATAAGCTCTTGCATTCTTCTCTGTCTGATTGCTTCCAACTCAGGATCAGCCTGAACCAGAAAATAAGTAATAAATAAACAATTATTAAAAACAAAAAAAACAAACTTAACAGTGTAGGCAAAGTGCAAGCAATTGAGATCCGAAACTCAAAAAATTAAAGAAGTGAGCAGCAGAGAACCATAACGCTAAGTATTTGCAATTAACGGTAGGGATTTGGCTAAAAATTATTTAAACGCCAAAATCCAAAAGGTTATTTTCTTTCGAATAAAATAACGCGCAAACCCTAATCGAAGATTAAATTGGAACCGGAACGTACCATTTGGGTGGGTGTGCAGAAGAAACCCTAGCGGTTCTCTGAAAGATTGATGCAGCAGCAGGTCGCGTTAGCAATAAGCTGTTGTTTTGTCTGTGGCTGATCAAAACGGTTGTTTTATTTCCATAAAGGGCTCCATAATATCAGTCCAATCCTAGAGCTATTTTATATTGTACCAGTTTTTTAAAAAAATTCTATCTTTTATAAATAAAACTTTTAAAAGGCTTTTTTATTTAATTAATACATATTTAAAAATAAATTCTTAAAATATATTTATTTTTAAACTAATTCTCTGTCTGGACTTTTTTTTTACCAAATCAGCAGTAACATCAGTCATGCCCCAACGATAATATTTTTTTATTACTCTATCGATTACAGACGTCTAATACTAATCTGTGGATTTTTAGAACAGCAAAAAAAATAAAAAAATAAAAAAATTAGTATCGGCCAAATAATGACGATAGAAATTTGAAATGGATGGTTAGGGATTAAGTTTGCCACATGTTAAGATCGTAAGTATATCGACTCTGACACAGCGACTGAACTATCGTCGCATCTGGGGCGGTACTAAGTCTGATCTTGACACGTAGCATATTAGGAACCGACGCCTCTCACAGTTTCTTCCCTTCCTCTCCATCAGTTTTCTCCATTAACGCCGGCCTCCAAGAACGCAATGTGATTTTGTAAAGTTTTTGTCAAAAAATTTGTTTTCATTTGCAATCTTGTGTGAAAAATTGGAAAGTAAGAATTAATTTGTTCAATTAATGATATTTTGTTGAGTTGCATTTGGAAAAAAAAATAACCATTTAAATTTTAATTTTAGGATCTTCGTGTAGTAAACTGGAATAGTAATTTTTGCCGACATTCAAGGTTAGTGATATAATACAGTTTTATGTTTTTTTTCTAATTTTTTTTTAGGTTTTAATATATTTTTTTGGTATTTATCATGAATATTGTGAATGTATGTATATGTAAACATTGTGCATTTAGCTGGAACCGTAAAATAAGGCAAAAAACGATATATAGAAAATAATTTTTGGTATTTTTTTAAACTGTAATTTGTTTCTAAACTGTAAATTATAGATAAATTTAATTTTGTTGACTGTAATTAATATAGTTGTTAATTTGTGATGAAAAAGATTATATGTAAATCTTGGTTGATATTTAAAAAATTTATGTATAAGTAGTGCAATTTTGTTATTAGTTGTAATATTATGTTTAAGAACAAAAAAAAAATATAAATGTTATGATAGTTAATATATAAAAAAAAATATGAATCCAGTTAAATCAGAAAATATTAAATTTAAAATACACATTAGTTATATTTATAAGATAATAAGATAAATATATTTAGAAATTAAATTATTATTAAGTAAAAAGTATGAAAAATTATATTATATTAGTTGTAATATTATGTTTAGGAAAAAAAAAATATATATATATATATAAACGTTATGATAGTTAAAATATAAAGAAATATAAAAATTTAGTTATATCATAAAATATTAAATTTAAAATACACAATTAGTTATATTTATAAGATAACAACATAATTATATTTAGAAATAAAATTGTTATTAAGTAAAAAGTCTGAAAATCCTTCATATATTATTAGTTGTAATAATATGTTTAGGAAAAAAATATAAATGTTATGATAGTTAAAATATAAAAAAATATATAAATTTAGTTAAATCATGAAAATTAATTTTAAAATACACAATTAGTTATTAGTAAAAGATAATAAGAATAATATGAAATGTTGTTGTTATCGGCTTGATGTATAATTATTAATTTTAAAGTTTTTATTAAAATTTAATATATAGATATATGATAGAAATTTGTATTCTTTTTTTTATGTGAGACATAAAAATAAAATACATAATTGTTGTGTTAGACTTGTTATATTATTATCAATTTTGAAAAAAACTTTAGGGGTTATAAAATTAGAATTATATATTTTTCATTTTATATTCTATTTATATTATGTTAAATTTAATTTAAAAATTATATTATTAGTAGTTTAACAAATTGTATACATGAATAATTATTTTTAATGTGTTTATAATGATATTTAAATGGTAATATATATTTTTATTTATTTAGATGGCTTCATCTTCATCTCAAGGTATGATAATTAATTTTGGGCCAGAGAATCCATCTTTATTGCGTTTTCAAAGTATACATGTCTCTGAACACATTTGGGATGGGCGAGAGCATCCAATGTTGAAGGTCAGGAAGTCTCAGTTCATACTAGCTGGCATAGACGGTGTTCCAGCAGAGATTATACCTCATTTAGAGATGGCTGGCTTTGGTGGAGTTGTTCACCTTGCTAACTTTCCATTGGATAAAAATTTGATCATTGCATTGGTTGAAAGATGGAGGCCTGAGACTCATACATTTCACATGCTACCAGGAGAGTGCACAATAACGCTTCAGGATATAGCCATCCAGACAGGTCTTCAGGTTCATGGGCTTCCAGTATTTACATCTTGCATCCACTTGGTGACCCCTCACATAGTCATTGGTTTCAATTTTGTGTACTGACCCATATGAATGTAATTGTATGTACTCCAAATATCTTGGCAATCTGGCATACAATTCATCTCAATCACCAAAAACTTTTACTATAGCTTTTTGTTTTGCCTTCCATGCTTTCTTGTAAGAAACTTGATAGTCAAATTGACCACTAATTCTTTCTTAGATTAACGTGATTGGCACCGATAGTTGTTCTTTTATCATACCTACAAATAACAAAATAATTATGTATAATCCTCTTCAGTAATATATAGAACCATTAAACGTATTGTAATAAAATTAGTGCAACTTACCAAGAACGCAACTGCAAATGAAGTTTGAATCCAATTTTTTTGTAGTCAAGAGACATCATTGCATGAACACATGTATGTGGTCCACCACACCTTGTGATTTTTCACTTGTTAAGATTTTTGCCCAAATTTGCTCTAACCCTCCAACGACATCCTGTATTATGGTTTGAGCATTTCACATGAAATTTTATTGATTTTGATTCCACCACAATATAACTTTGATGTGTTTTCAATGCAAAGCTTTTAATAGCCATTTTAACATCTTCTTTACACTCAAATATTTGCCTAACAAATAATGCATCACCCTTCCTCCATGCTTGATCAGGATCAACATCTATATTTTTCGATTCATCATCAGCATGTTCCCAGTTAATATAGGTATAATGTGGACTATAATTCAAAAAAGGAGTTTCAACCAATCTTGCATATTACAACATAATCGATTTATTTTACATTATTATTGAAACGTATTTTATAACAGCTTAATGTACTTAATACCTTCGACTCCAGCATTATCACTTATATTTAAGCTACTATGAATTTCACCCTCCATATCAGATTCAGATGAAGTTTTTTCAGGATCCCCCCATTCAATTTCATTGTCATCATCATCTTCATTTTCATATTCACATTCTACACAATCGTGACATTTATTGTTAGGTAAACATACTTACAATGAAATTAACTTGATATATTTTCATAAGAGAATATAAAATTACTACACCTGATAAAAATAGGAGTTCATCTACCTCAGACATGTTATTACGTGAACCTGATAAATTTAAGTCCACACCTTATGACTGAATACCAGAACTCTCACTATACACAATATCTACATATACTTCAATTGCACTTCGCTAATTTTGTTGAAGAAAAGCACTTAACATGCAATCAATATCTTCATTATCACATATATCCATAATTGTGTATTGTCTAACAATCGGGTCTACTAAAAATCGTGACATCAATCTAGATATAACCTGACTACTAGACAGTTTTAGTTTTGCATAAATCTTTCTTTTCAATGTCTCCAAACTTATTTCACGTGCAATCTTTATCATTTTATTATTTCCTACAAACGTAACACCTTCATTACTTGAAAATATTCAACCGTTCCAATATACAATTATCATAAAATCAGTCATCCTGCATCAATAAGTTATACTACTCAATTAGAACACATTTATTTATTTAATTGTTAATAACAAATGACCCCATTCATATTTCAATTATAATTACAACATTTCACACATTTTTCAATAATTTAATAAATAATTATACTTCATTTTATTATATTAGTAATTTTTTTAAATTTTCAAAACATCCATATTTATTTGTTACATAACTTATTACTTACTTGTGCATCCTAATATACATCATTTCAACACTTATTCTTCTGAAATCCTATTAAATAAGAAATTACTATTTATTTTTTTAATTAACAACTACAACAATAACTACATTTACAATACAGTAGACTCACCATTACAAACGTTTTACTTTACATGTTTATCACAAATTTTCCCTAATTGTCTTCCATAAATCAATTATAATAAATTATAAATACATACTTATCAACAAATCTACATATATATTATATTAAATTTATTTAAATCCTTCGTTTATTTTACTAATTTTCAATAAAAAAACAAATTAATTTAATTTTATACTAAATTTCTACACTATTAATACAAAAATATAAAATTAATAATAACATATACTAACCTCAAATGTTCTTCCGCTCCTCCAATCCAAACCGCATTTTTGGAACTTCCTCCATGTATATATACTAAGTAAAATTGGGTAATATCTAATATACAGTAAGAATTAACAGATAAAATGATGCATTGTGCCACGTGTCAGGAAAGGAGCAGTATCGTCAAAGTCAAAGCGATAGACCTGACGTACATTGACTACCGACAGCACTGTCGTCGCAAAACGTCTGATACTCTGCCTGCTTGCCACATGTCATAACCTTGACTAGTATCGCCCAACGATGACCGATAGACTATAAAAAAATATTAAAATAATGTCTATCATTCCTTTATCTTCAATACTAATTTTTATTTTTATTTTTTATGCCGTTTTAAAACCACGTGTCAGATGATGGATTAATATCGGATGTCTATAGAGTAATAAAAAATTATTAAAAAAACATTATCGTTGGTGTATGGCTGATATTACTGCTGATCTGGCAAAAAAAAAAAAAAAGTCCAGACACGGAATTAGTTTTAAAATAAATATATTTTGAGAATTTATTTTTATATATGTATTAATTAAATAAAAAAGCCCTTTTAAAATTTACTTTTACTTTAACTGATTCATAAATTTTACATGTTTATAAACTTATAAATAAATATACTAAATTTTAATTTTATCTTATTTCTTAAATTTTATTTGTTTATAAGAAAATAAATATTCTACATTATAATTTCATCCTAATTAATTCTTAAATTTTATTTTTTAATTAATTTATTTTAAAGTTGGAGTTAAATTATTAATAAAAAAATTTGTTTTCAAAGCTTCCTGTATAATTTTTTAAAAACAATAAATGAAATAAAATGAGATAAATGATATTTTTAAAATTTAAAAGCTTTATTTAATTTTTTATCATCATATTTTAACCTATATATGAATTTTATTTATTTTATTGTAATTGCTCATTTTTATTTTCTAAAATTTTTAATTATTCAGATTAAATCTCTTGACTTAAAATTATATTTAATAATTAATAAAAAAATGACATATTATTAATTATTGATTTATATAAATTAGTAAAAAATGGATAAATTATTTGAATACAAAATTATAAATACAGAATCTAAAATATAGTAAACACATTGTTATTTTTGTATTATGTTATGTATTTTTTATTTGTAAATTTTTATAAACATATAATATATTAAAAATATTTTTTTAGTAATTATTAGATAAATTTTGGAGATGGGCGACTAATTGTGAGTAATTAAAAATAAAGAAACTAAAATATCAGAATTAAAAATGTAATTAAGCTTAATTAAAAATAAAATAAAATTACTTTCTGAAGCCAACTTACCCTATTTAAAATAAACAAATGATTGAATTTATTGCTAAAATTGTTTTCTTCCAAAAAAATATATTTTCATTTAACTAATTAAATACCAATTTTACTTAACTACATTTCATTTTTTTAACTCAACCGTCGTATTAAATTTTAACTATTTTTTTTACTAATATATTATATTTTTACGGTATAATAAATAGTTACACGTGTCCATCTATTAAAATAATCAAATATATTTTGAACATAAACAATTAAATTAAATTATGTTGATTCATACTAAGAAATTTTATTCAGAATAGTTGTAGTTATATTCATATAATAGGTTTGTGTGTTTTTAAATAAAAATAATACAATCTTTCTTTTAACTAATTCACATAAAACGTAATGTAATAATAGTGTGTATAATATATTAAACTTAACAAATTTAAGCAAAATTACAGTAACCTTAGTATAACTTATGCACTTAAAAAGTAACAAATGCACGTCGTAATTATTGATAAATTTAACAATAAAAAAAATAATAGTCATTATGCCAAGGTGAAAACACTATAATAGTAATCTTATGTTATTTTTTCTTTTAACCTTTTATATGTTTTTAAAATAAATATAAAAAATACAAATAAAAATATTGTAAAATAGAATACATTGTAAAAGAATATAACATTGTATACAAAAATAACAAAATATATATATAAAAAAAAGAAGGGTACCATTGACTTAAAAAAAAAATGAAAGTTAAGAATAGTAGTAAAAATTAAAATAAAAAATTAGAAGAGTTCTCATAAAAAGTCTTAAATTTCAATGGTTAAACATGGTTAATGAGTATGATAGTTTCTTACATAACTCCACAAGTAAATATGAGAATTCATCAGGTCATTTATTGAAGTCTATAGTATAGTCTATTTAAGTTTTAACTTGACTTAATTCGTTTATTAAAAATATCAAACTTAAACTTTTAAAAATGTCTATTTAGACAAAGATATCAGACTTAAATTTTATAAAAAAGTTTTTTAAGCCTGTTGAGTCAGTTCAAATAAATAATTATATTATTTTGTAATTTATATTTATTTATTTATAATACTTTAATATAAATATAATTGTTCAATATATATACATATATATAACATAATATAATATGTAATGTATATTATAGTTTAATATTTATACTTTAATAATATGATAATTATAATTATACTGTTATAGTATCAATTAAAATTTATTGTAAAAAAATTATCAATTAAAACTTTGTACATATTAATGTATTTAACATAATTTAGTATGTAATCTATAATAATTATAATTATATTATTAGACTATCAAAATTAAAATTTATCGTAAAAAAATATATTAGTTAAAACTTTGTCTGAATTCTAAAATATCTTAATTCATTATTAGAAATTTTTTTTTCAATTCTTATTTTAGTCTTTTTAATTTAAATACTTTTTAATTATAATATAATTCTTTAAAATTTTATGAAGTTATTGAATATGATTATTTTGAGATATGATATATATGAAGTTATTTATTTTTTATTTTTCAATAAACATAGTATTTAAATATAGTCATTTATCATATATTTCTAATTTACTAATAAGAATAGACTTTTTGGCTTGTTACCCTATTGATTACTAGTTCATTGGCCTACTGGACCGTTAAATTTAAATTGTTAGTATTATTTGAAAGTCATATTGTTAAATTGACTACTAAATAAGTTATTAGGTAAGGTTAAACTTCTACAATAGTTAGGCTACACCTAAAAATTTAAGCTATGTCAAGTTATAGGCTTAAGCTTAGACTCTAATTTATATAATAGACTAAATTTATTTAATTTTTGACTTAGTCTAACTTAGCCCATTCTCATTCCTATCTACAAGTAATCAATTGCCACATGTAGCAACTTGACTATGGTTTTTCTTCACCATGCACAAAAGCTTTTCACTCATTGTCAGCACCTTCTTGTTAGGCTACACACATTTCATCTGTCACATGTTTGTATATACATCTATGGTGCTTGTTCAAGATGGTCCACAAACCAAAAACTATTATGAATCACGTTTTGCAGTGTTTCACCTTTTACCTTTGTCTCATGCAATAAATTTTCTAATAAATTAACCTGTCATGATAGTTAATTTCTAAACTACATTAATTTAATAAATATTTTATAAATTTAAACTGTTTTGGTTAAAATTAATGTGCAGTGTAATTTAAAGAATAAAATATTACCAATTGAAATTATATTAAATGTTACAAATTATTATATAGTAATCAAAAATTTAAATTTTACTTTTGTAATTATTTTTTTTCAACATTAATTTTGTAATTCACAGTAGTTACTAAAATTTATTGCGTCTCATACTTGAAGGGAGTCCAATTTAATTTTTGTTGACAGTGAAGTTCAATTGTTTTGATATGAAAAATGAGTTGGGCCGCAATAGTTGGGTTTAGCCCAGGTCCAAGTATAATTAACATAGGATTATTGTAAAAGGGGAACACTGTCCATCGTCATTGTGCTTCTCTCTTTTGCGAGGTTGTCGTTGGAAGCACTCAACCTATTGAAGCTGTGAAAGGGGAAGACAACAAAATTCACGAACACATGGATCCCAAGCTAACAGAGGTTTCCCAGCTCTTCGATCGCTTTAAGGCTGCGTTTCTTAGAAACGACTACGATACCTGTTCCAATCTCCTTTCCCAGCTAAAGGTATTGTTTCTCACCCAACCAAACCCTAGTTTACTTGTTACACTAAATTCGGAAAATTTTCCTCATCCTCTTTCGATGCTTATATTTCAAGATCAATTCAGTTGCTTTAATTAATTTTCCTTTTGAAAATTTGAATTTTGGCATTGTGCCAAGTGAAGAAGTTGAGGGTTGGTGTATGTTGCTTCAGTTTGAGATCCTTATAGCAATGGGGCATTCTGGGTCTGATAGATTTAAGTATTTTACGTAGTAATCCTTTGGGAAACTTGTTTGCTGGGTTATGAGAAACTGGGCTTTACCTTTGATTGGTAGTAATTTAGTTTTTTGTTTTAGCACCGTAGCGATCAAATTGAAGTGTAATTTGCTAGATTGGGATCTTTATTGTGTATTAACTACAAGGAACTTATTACAGCAACTAGTTGGGTGATTGATTTACAAGTTCCTCTCCCATGCTCAATGATAGAAGAGATGGTTTTACTTAGAAAGTATGGTGTCTTACTGTAAGTAGTTATTTGGATTTTATGAATACTGCAAGAAGCTTGAATTCATATGTCCGATTTATAGTCTATAAGATAGTATATTAGTATTATGCAAAGTTTTGACTGCCTTCTTTTTGGGAACGTATTTGCAGCTGTTGTTATTTTTATTATATAGAGTAAATACTGAGTGACTTTGTTTTCTTGCAGGTGTTACTGACAGGATTCAGAAGCCTTCCGCCCTTGTTTGCAGATACACCTAATGCAGTTCATGAGTTAACAATCGCAAGTAACATTCTTATCTACAATCAGTTACACTGTTCCCCCTCGCCCTTCTTCTTGGTCTATTTTTCTATAGTCATTGCTAAGCTAAGCCTGAGTAAAAGAAGTGGACCCTCTTAGTGAATCTTAAATATGGTAATGGTTGATATCATAATGGCAATTTTGTTATTTTTATGCATTAGCTTGGCTATAATACCTTTTTGGTAGAAAATGGAATTTTCTCTTCCATGCCTGCTATCATAGTAGGCAATGGTGAGTACTGAAACATAACAATCCTGTTTTTGTTGCCTGAATTTTACTGCAAATTAGCCTTTGTTTTAGTGTATGACAAATAGTTAATATGGTTAACTGTAAACTAGAGGAGAAGAAAAGAGTATAGTTAACAGGAAAAAAAGAAGAAGAAGTTCAATGTCTGAGATTTTTTTTTCCTGTTGGTTTTTTAAACTTCCAGGAGATATATATGAGCATGCTGTTGTCCTTAGTGTGAAAATTGAGGATCAAGACGCTTTTGAGAGGGATTTCTTCCAGTTGAAACCTTATTATACGGATGCTTGGTAAACTGATTTCTCTCTCACTTTCTCTCTCTCTGGATGTATAAGATATCTTTTTCTACTTTGGGACAGCTGAATTTGTAGCCAAAGCAATGGATGTCTCCAGATCGTTTGTTCTCTTAACATATGCCTGTATAGTGTATGCCTAGAAACATAAAAGTAGTATCTATATTGGAGTGTAACGCTATGTGCAATATTTTTTTCTTGTTAGGTTCTTATATTTTATAGGGACTTTTCCTCTGTTGCAGTAATCGTCTTCCACCATCTCCTCAGGAGTACCCTATACTAGGTCTCAACCTGTTGAGACTACTTGTGCAGAATAGGATTGCTGAATTCCATACTGAGTTGGAATTGCTTTCATCCACTGCTCTAGAGAATCCTTGCATTAAGCATGCTGTGGAGTTGGAACAATCTTTTATGGAAGGGGCTTACAATCGTGTCTTGAGTGCTCGACAGACAGTGCCGCATGATACCTACGTTTATTTTATGGATCTTTTGGCAAAGACTGTCAGGTAATAATTGTTATTATTTTTCTAATAGCCTAGCAGATGATTGAACTTGAGTGATAGACTAGAGGAAACTGGAAAGCCTGCTGGATTTCTTTACATCAGAAGTTGGGCTTATAGTTAGATCGTTTTGAAATTTTCTCCCTTACACTGTTTTCTGTACTATTATTGTTAAATTTTGTGAGTTATTTATATGCTTATAATTCTATTATTTTTCCTTCCTGCAATGGCAATTTGGTAGAACCACGACTTTTATTATAATCTTAAGGTTCAGACTCCCGCCCCCTGGGTGGATATATTATTTTACTATTTGTGTATCTATATTAACTTTGTAATTATTCTATATCTGTCTTCAAACATTCAGAGACGAAATAGCAGGATGCAGTGAGAAGGCATATGACAATCTTTCAATTAAGGATGCTAAGCAAATGTTGCTGTTCTCCTCAGACCAGGAACTTCTGGAATATATTAAAGAGGTGAGCAATGTTGTGACCCCTTAATATGCGTGTGTGTGTGTGTGGTCCAGTGGGGAGGGGGGAGGGTGTTTGGAATGTTCAGTTTTTTTTTCTTGTTTAAAACACTACCTGTTTATGTGCCAAATAGAAGTATTTGTCTCTTGTTGCACAATTTAATTTTCTTCTCATGTTCTACAGTTATTGTCTATAGATTGCATGATATATAAAAATATCTATTGATTGCAGGAGCATCCTGAGTGGGAGATTAAGAATGGTAATGTCTTTTTCCAAAAGGCAAAAGAATCTGCACCTTGCAAAGAAATACCCTCTCTGCAACTCATCAACCAGACACTTAGTTATGCTAGGGAGTTGGAGAGGATTGTCTGAAGAGAAATGCAACGGCTTTTGTTTTTCCAAAATTTCTAGGTGTCTGGATAATTGTTGCTAATACTGTCTTTCTAAATTGTTTATTTCTGATTCAATGCGGAATTATTCAATTGTTCACGTCTGTATTTTGGTCATCTAGGTGGTTGTATTATTTCTTGGTTACACCCCCCTTCCTTTAATTGTGCTCTGGAAAAAAAAAAAAACTGCACCATACTTAAAATCCATTTTTCTATGTTGATGATTCTGTTATCTAAATTTCAACCCCATAGAAAGGTTCGTATTCAAATTATGGGGATATACAACTTTTCGAGCCTTGTATTCTTTGTTTACTTTTGGAAATTAGAATGGTAGTTAGGGGATTTTTTTTTAGGTCCAGGGGGGACGGGGCAGGGATAGGAGGGGAATAGAGATGTGGTTTTGCAGGTGACAGGTTTGAACACTGCTCCTTCTATTATCCTTCTAGCTTAGCACTAAGCTATCAAGGAGGGACGTTAGGGAAAGATTTTGAGTTAATTTTTTTATTATGAATTCCTCCGGAGGCTTGTTTTTGGGTTCGACTATGGCGTTAAAACTGATTGCTTAGGGCATAAGAGCGTTGGGGTTTGTTCTTTTGTGCTACGAGCACTGAAGCATAGTAGCGTTAAAATTTTTTTTTTTGTTGCTGTGGTTCGGTCCTTGAGCAGTGACTTCATTGAAGTCTCAATACTGTTCGTGGAATTTTGGTTTCTTGCCATTCGCAACTCGAGGAACACTTGGTATTACATCTTCCAAGTTTAATTTTGTAGTCGATGCTTATTCAGCCTAAATTATTTACTTCCAGTGCAGTGCGGATTAAGATATTCCTTGGTTGTGGAATTGGAATGGAATAATCATTGCACGAGTTTGTTTGCCCTAATTAGAAAAAGTGAACTGTTTGATTTTTAAGAGGTAATATTAATTAAGGTGTAGTAGTTTAAGTGTTTTTTAATTAAGATTAAAGTTTCATTTTGGTAAATTATGTTTACTTTTAATGTGATGATTGTTCAGATGGATCTTTAATTTTAATTAGAGTAATATTAATAGTTCGTATAATGTCGCATTTAAGCTTTGATCATTCTTAAATTTGATAGGTCGTCTCTTTGCATAAGTTGGGTCATAACAACACGAATCGGTATATAAAACACTAAGTGCGCTATGTTACCTTTGTCGGTAAGCAGTTCGTATGATACTCAAATTATAGATGGATAATTAGTTCTTTGAAGTCATTTTAAGATTTATTCTGTATTTCCTTGCGAATTAACTCTAAAATATGCTATTATACAGGACCAATAGTAAATATCATCTTGCATCAGCCGATCTTTTTATAAAGGAACTAAAATATAATATATATTTTATATATAAGACTAAAATGTTATGTTATTTTGTATAAAGATTAAAACGTTAGCTTTATTTGAAGACTCATGTCACATCAATTTTTTGTTACATATATCACCTTATTACCATTATTATAATGTATCCAAACGGTAAAGACAAAAAAATATGATATTAATTTTGTATATGGACTAGAAATTAAAAAATATATATATTATAGAAATTCATTTGAGATGATTGTTAAATATAAATATTAAACGATAAATTTAATCATAAAATTAAAAGAAAATGTTTAATGAAAAAATTGTTTCTTTGCGCCAAGAAATATTTATTGATGACATAGAAAGAAAGAATCGTTTTCACTTTTCATTTGTGAGGATTCATACCTTCTTTTCCGTGAAAAGTTACACGTACAATGGATATGATATTGATAGAGGATAAAAATATAATAATTTATTGAAAGCTGATAATAACAAGAGTGATGTAACTAGGGACTAGGATGCGTGGTACTCCAACTCTGAACTCTCTGTGAAGCCAAGACGTGGCTACAAAAGTAATTAATCTGTCTATCTGTATTGCTTGGCCATGCTACTGCTACGCCAATTCAATTCAATGCTTCTGCTACTTGTGAGGCTCGTCCTTATTCGCCAACAATTATGTGGCACCCTGTTTTCTTCCCAAGACATCAATGTCCCTAATTATAATTATTAACTTTCTCTACAAATAATATTAATACATTTTATTTGATTGTTACTTACAACCCACCTCTTTACCTGGTTGACACTAGTTTACGTCCTTTATTCCCCCCCCCCCCAAACGACTCTCAAATTCTAAAGATAGCGTAAAGAAGCAATAAAAATGTACATGAAAATGAAATGTTTGAAACAATATCCAACTTGACAAATTCACGTGCATCCTGCTACTTCGCCCCTCTTCTTATTTCCATTCACCCCTCAAAAGATATTTCTTTATCTTTGATTAAAAAATGGACTAATTTAGAGAAGAGAATAGGAACTAGAAACAAAGAAATAAAAGGAAACTCCACCACTTTTCAATGTTCATTGTTCACTGTTACCACTCCACCCCCACACTTACCTACGACCTAAGAAACAAAACTCTGTCTTCACTGTGGATCGAAGCAGCACAGATCATAGATTCTAGATCTACATGAACACAGTAAAACCAAGATTCCCTGGGCCCACAGACGACAGATCCCAATCCTGCAGCTAGGAACAATCCATCACAAATCTGTGGCTTGATCATTTCCCACAGTACACTACACTTCACTAGTTCACTTACATCTCTCCCTCCCAAAGTGAAGTCCAATTAGTCAACCTCCAAACCCCACTTGGTGAATCTTAAAATCAGCATTTTTAGCTTCACAAACCCAAATTACCCAAAACTATACAAATAAGGCAAAGACAGAGTGAGAGTGAGAGTGAGAGTGAGGAAAGGAAATGGGTTTCACATTCACCACCATGACTCTAAACCTGCTCCTCCTAATGGCCATGGTCGCCACCAACATCCTCTCCCTCTACCACCTCTCCACCACACTCCAATCTCCCAAATCCCCAAAACCACCCCCACCAGTCCCCGACCAACTCCTCCACCAACTCCACACCATACGCGCCACCATCAACCACCTCACGCGCCTCCAAAACACTAACCCAAACCCAACAAAATCAACCATCCCTTCAGATCTATTGCTATACTCACACCTCTCACCTATAGCCTCCTCATGCCACAACCACCCTGAACTTCTCCACAAGTACATGACCTACACTCCCTTCTCTCTCTGCCCTTCCGATTCCGATTTAGCCGAATCCCTAATCCTCCGCGGTTGCCACCCTCTCCCTCGCCGTCGCTGCTTCTCCAAAACGCCACAAAAACCTCCTTCCCCAAATTCACTCCCTCTAAACCCCTTTCCCTCTTCCCTCCCTGATTCCACCGTCATTTGGGACCGTTACACTTGCAAATCCTTCGATTGCTTAAATCGCCAAAACCCTAACCTCGGTTTCGAACCCTCTCGCGATTCCTCCAAGTTTACCTCCTACAAGACCGACCTCGATCTCCCTATCCAGCAGCTTTTCCAGATCGCGAAGTCATCGAAGTCAGTGCTCCGCCTCGGCCTCGACGTCGGCGGCGGCACCGGCTCCTTCGCCGCGGCGATGAAGCTCCGCAACGTGACGGTGATCACCAGCACGATGAACGTGGCGGCACCGTACAGCGAGGCCGTGGCGCTGAGGGGGCTGGTGCCGCTGCACGTGCCACTGCAGCAACGGCTGCCAATGTTCGACGGGGTGGTGGATTTGGTGCGGTGCGGGCACGCGGTTAACCGGTGGATTCCGTTGACGGTGATGGAGTTTCTGTTGTTTGACGTGGATAGGGTGTTGAGGGGAGGTGGGTACTTGTGGTTGGACCACTTTTTCAGCAAAGGTTTGGATCTTGAGAAAGTGTATGCGCCTTTGATTGGGAAATTGGGGTACAAGAAAGTGAAGTGGGCGACGGGGAATAAAACCGATGCTGGCGGTGTCAAGAATGGGGAAGTTTACTTGACTGCGTTGTTGCAGAAGCCTGTGTCTAGATGAGGTTATGCACAAAGGTAAGAACTTTTAATCTCTAATTTTCTCACCAGCTTCAAAGTTTTGATGGGTAATTATTGACAAAATTGAAATTTGTGAGTGACTTAATTAGACATCCTTATTTCAAACAAAAATAAATTATAAAAGGTTTGATCTTCCATTTACTGCGGAGATTAATATATTTGATTGGATAAGTCTACTTTAAAATAAGGGTAAGAATGTATTTTTCTTTTTTATTCTTAAGTTTATTATAAAGTTCGTCGTGACTATTGATTGCATTCAATTTAAATTTAATTTAAGATTACTATTTATTAATATTAATATGGGTTTTAAATTTGATGGACTGGTTTTTGACAAGGGGTTCTACAGTAGTGCCGCCTAATGATGTGTTGACGTTTACAATGCATTAAATTTAAATCCTATTAGCTTAATCTTAAAAGCTAGTTCAAGAGAAGAGAATTGTCCAACTTTATGGGGAATGTTTTGGCTATATCAGGCAATGTGAGATATCTCTACAAATTCATAGGCTAATTGAAAAATTGGGCGTTAAATAATTTCAAGGCTGGCCCTGGTTGGAGGAAGCACCAAAGGGATCTTCTATTGCGTGTTTGGTGGGTCATTCTAACACAAGCATCGAAATTACTGGGGGTAGGTAGTTCCAAATTTACAATATGATAGGTCTTTATACTTCTGAGAGGTAGGCGTCTACGAATGTTGATGAACTTGAGCGATCAGGCCCATCTCAAACACAGAGTTTGCTTATGAACAAAAACAACTTTCTGTTCCTAGTCTCCTTAGAATCAGGGGTTTTTCAAGTTGTTGCCTTTCTGCAAACTTTTTTTCGCCTTTACATTGCATACTAGCTCAGAAGAGTTGAAAACAACTATCTGCTAACCATCCATAAGTACCTTGAAACAATCATCTGTTAACCATCTTTCTGAATTTCAAGTATCTTGAATTATCAATTTTTTACACTTTAACCTTTTACAATAAGTTCACTATTGCGGAAGTCTTGCACTCTGATTAATACAGAAAAAATATATTTAGAAGTTTGCGAGATTTTTAGAGAGAATATATTTTTACAAATCTCCAAGTTTAGCTTGATAGCTTCCCTGTAGGTAGGTGTTCCTATTGCAAAGGTGAAGCCGTTCTGCAATCCGCTTAGAGTGGTTGCTTGTTTACCCTTAAAGAATGAGAATGGGAAGTTACCCCCGTGCCTCTCCTCTCTGCTAGTTAGCTTATCCAAAGATCTTTCATTATTACCTGAGGCTGTGTCCACGAGCGAGGACTCACCTAAGCATTGAAACATTCTGAAAAATTAAACGTGGATGATGAGGGGGGAAATCTGTTGGCATCACTGCTTCAACATTTACTGATGGAATTGAAACAATTGTGCGTTGTTTAGTGTATCTCTGTAAACCAAGCTTAAAGATTTAGTTGTTAGTAAGTAGGGTGTGCTACCGTTTGATTTAAAATAAACTAGTAAATTTACGATATCAGTTGTCTCTTTCTAATGTGTTAGAATATCTAAATTCGTTTGGTTGATATGTTACAGTTCTATTACTCTGCCACTCCCCTTTCTGACTCTGATCTGGTGGGAATATTTCCACCCTATTGTGTGCATTGCAGTTTGATATATACTGTAAGGAAGATAAGCAGGTCGGTTTATCCTGATTTCCTTGCTTGCCCATAGGTGTTTATGGGGCACGTAATGAAGCAATTTTCATGTCCACTATGAAGATGGATCATAGAATCAACCCATTGAAGAAAGATAGAAGGAAGTCAATGAGACAGGTGTGTATACCCCTCGGTGAATTTAGGAAACTGGTCGTGGAAAATAGATTTTTATCATCGTTTTTGCTTCCTATTCGATTAAATTATGCTATCTCAATTAATTGTTTTGAAATAAATTTAAGAAACGCCATTGCCTGGTTGGTTTTCAGAGTCCTTGCAACGCTTGCCATATATAAATGACGGAACCGTCCTTTTATTTTTTTTTTCACCATGGGTATCCTACACGCTAATTTAAAATTTGTGGAAAACTTTTATATGAATATGAATTAAACAATAATATGTACCCCAAAAAAATAATAATGTACCAAAAATTTGAACAAGAAAAACTAATAGATACGTTTCATGTTATTTCCAGATGTTAATTTATTAATAGCAAGCCACTAGGGTTGGGCTACATTGAAGAACTTTGATAAGCAGGTCATCAGATGATCATATGGTGATTGAAAAGAATGTATGAATAGGTGTTAGTTATGTATTTCAATAAAAGGTATGTTTACCTTAACATCTATGTCTCTATAATTTAGAGGTTTAAGATTACTTTACTTAATAATTATTTATCAAACAAGAATTATAACGAATTTAATCATTCAACACGTTGACCTTGTATGTTAAATTTTATAAAATTTAGATATTGATAAAATTATTTAATGTGATGTTAAGTATGAATTTTTTTAAACTAAATCTGTGTATATAAAATTCAATTAAAAATTAAGATTAAGAAAATCCAATATTCATAAAATGTGATTAACTGAAATAAGTTTGACAAAAGTTAATTTTATAGGAACTTAATGCTCGGTCAGATATCGTATTCATAAATAAATAGATAAATATTTATAATATTTTAACACATTTTATCACTTAATCTTAATTGCATTTCAAGATTGTTTTAATTTTAAATAAAGCATATTTAGAACAGTTTTGTAATATATTTTTTATTTAAGTTTCCAATCACCTCTATCTATTTATTTTTGTACTCTAAGATATTAAAATAACATAATAATTCTTGAAGGCTAGCTTTGGTAGGTCTATTAGGCTTATCAATATTTTTGTTCCATAGGCTTACATTTTAAGTGGCGTCTGTTTGTTGGGCTAACAATTGTTTGTTCCACATGTGCAAAATAAAGTTGGGTAGATGTGATTTAAAACTAAAAGCGTGGTTGGTTGTATTATATTCGATAAAAAGTGCATTACAAGTTATATCTTTAAATATGATTTAACCTGATTTTATTAGGTTTTAAATGCCCGATAGTTAAGGATAACTCAATTCATTTTCAGGCAAGTGAAGCTAATCTCCTAGCATTTAAGGGTCATTCAGAAAGCAGGAAACTATAGTTTTATTATACCCACAATTTCTCATAGGCTTTGGGTAGGTAGTATTAATCCATTTGTAATTTGTAACGCTAATGAAAATGACTCTCAGGAAAAAAGTGTTGATTTGGACATGCTTAATTTGTTAAAATATTTGTATATTAACATTAATAATTGCAAAATCATTGTTTTATTTTTTAAAAAAATTGTATAAATTTGTGAAAATAATATTTTTATGATGCTAAATATTTTTAGACAAATCTTTAGAAATAAAAACAAAGTAATATCTTTATAATTATTAAAAACTAAAATAAAATAATATCAAAGATCAGGCCAAACTGTGTTCTAGCTAGCTTTGGTGGATATATAAATGAATAAATAATTTAATTTTCTCAACAAAATTTAGAGGCCAGATGAAGTGCATGCTTGAAAAGTTTATATAAACATATTAAATCACCATTTTATCCCGAAAATTGAGTTATAATATCAAAATAAATTTATATATAAACAAATTCGATGACAATTTCTTTTAAAGGATGGGAATTCTAGTCGGGACCTAGCATCTGTGGAATCAGATAAGAATGAATGAATGAGAGGCTTCACAACTTATTGTGATTGTGGATTAACAATATTTTAATTAGCGTATGTTTAATAAGGACACAGTTCAATAAGAGAAAAAAAATTAAGTAAAGTAACGATAGTGTAGACAATAGTACACTCGACTGGTTATTAACCTTATCAACATAATTATATTTTCTTATTCAATGTTTGAATTGATAAAATTTAATGTTTAAAAAATTATAAATGTGTATATTTTAAAATTAATATATATGTATTAATTAATTAATTGATTTCTCTCTTAGTCGATAAATTGCACACACTGAAAGGGATGTTAAGGAATTGTTTTCCCTTCCACGTGATGACTGGTTGGAACTTGGAAGGGAAATATTAGCTTCTTCTGTCTCCAAAACTAATTTCCAAACCAAAGACGCATAATGAATAAGATGTTTAAAATATAATAATAACCTCCGAAAAACGACACATAAGAGGCTGTGCGATTACAATTTAAATGATTAGAAAATGAAAGCGACCATAACAATGAGATTTACTTATAATAATATTTTTAACTAAAAAACAAGTGAATGGATTGAAAACCAATTGTATGAGTATGTTATTTTGGATAGATGCATTCGTTTTTATCATTTCAAATGAGAAATAAATTTAATAAAAAACATCTTTTATAAAAATTAAAAAGATTAATGATTAAAAAGTCATCTACGAACCTATAATAAAATTGATATGTTAATCATTGTATTACAAGCATTAGTTAAATAATTGAAAATGGAAATTTTGTTATTAGAAGATATTACAAATATATGTATTTTCCTATAATTTTTAGTGCGGTTTAGCATTTTTTTTTTTAAAATATGACAATCATTTTAACTTCTATGAAATAAATTAACGACAACGACTATGCTTTTACAATTTCAAGATTAATATGACAATTTAAACACAAAGAAAGGTTTTAAAATCTGTAAATGTAAGTAAAATTCATTTCAATTTAGCATTAATATAATATTTAATAGTATATTTATTAAATATAATAAAATATAATCAACTTTACTCGTGTGATTAAATACTGTATTAATATGATATAATATATTTATATTTATTAATGTTAGAGTGGAATAAATTTTTTTCTTTTTTTCTTTTAAATAATATTGATATATAGTTTTGAATGATCATTTTCATGACAATTCAAAGTGTTATAACAGTTTTAAAATCTTATAAACAAATAAAAATTAAGAATATATTTTAATAATTTAGAAAATATGTCTTATTATACTATCTGTATTAATCACCAACGTAGAAAACAAATACGTTAACTAATGTTTTAAATTTCCAATTTTTATAGTTTTTTTAAATAAGTAAAAATTAAATGTGCATTAATTCGGAACAAAGCATAAAATATTTGAATAGTTATATTGATAAGAAAAATAGATACAAAATAAAAAAATATTAATATAATATAAATATTTATGATTTTTCATATTTTAAATGAAAAGTATTTGTATGATATTAATTTAAAATTTTCTATCTTAACCGGTAATATATTGAAATAAACATACATAAATTTATACTTTGATTTTTCATATATAATTTTTCATAAAATTGTAAAACAATTAGTATTATAAGGTATATTAATTCTTAATTGATTATAAAAAATATTCTCTTGCATGTATTATCATAAATAGATAAAAAAATATATGAAAGAAGCTTAATCTGAATGATAAATAATTTAGGGTTTAGGGCAGTATTACTGAAGTATTTACCGATTATATCTAAATGCACAATTCAGATTAAATTTAAGATTAATTAGGAAGAAAAACTAAAATAAAATAAAATAAAATAATAAAAACTATTACAAATTACGTATATATTACATTTTATTATAATTAAAAATGTTAAATAAAAATATTGATAACTATAAATAAATTATTTATTAAGAAAAGAAAATGAAACAATATATATTATTTAATGTAATAAATTATTATTTTATTATTTAATTTTAATATTTTTACGATAAAAATTACTACTATTTATTATTAATATATTTAAGAAATAAAATTTTAAAATAAATTTAAAATTTAAATTTAGTCAAACTGTAAAATTTATAGAATGAAGTGATGATTTACTCCGAAAAAATGTTGTAGCTATCGTAATTATGTCACGGCTTACGATATTTAAATATTGAGAAAGGAGACGTGGGGGCGTAGAAGTAGAATGTAGGATCTATTGCGCGTTCTCATCATGCATTTGGTCTCCGCGTTTACCTTTGGTTTTGCGGGTCCCATAATGCGACACTCGTCTCAGTTCCCAACCTATTCCAAAACCGACGAAACCTTAGACTGAATGGACGGCAAAAATGTTCACTCTCAACATTCCCAAATTTTGACTATAAATCTACTTTTATGTGTTAAACGGTGGCACTCTATCTCGTCAAACTAACACTTCAGGGGCTTTAGATGTTTGAGGTATGCAGCTCCATTTTCTGCCATCACCGTCTCCTTTTTCCTCCACACTCTCAACGTATTCGACATCATCGCATCTCAGGCTATTAAGTGTTCATGAATTTTAACTGTTTCAGATGACCCACATCTTAATTTGTTTTGAAGCTGTACTTTTTACTTTCATCTTGGGTTCATCTGTTGACTTGATACCTTATTCTCTTTACTGTGTCCCCTTTTCTATGATTGGATGTTAAATTGCAAATCAAGCTGTTTTTTCCGCCTTAATTGTGGTCTTAATTAATCTTGTTCAGACTTTGGGTTTCCATACTTTTTTCTTCCCCTCTTTTAACATTGTAGTGCAAACTCTGTTTGGCTTGTTTATGGTAGCTGAATTCTTTAATGATTTCTGTGAGGACTAATTGGATTTTTTTTTTTGGCAGCATCTAGATTTCTCTTTCGTTCATTTCTGATGGCAGAATTTCCTTGTACTGTCTTGTCAGTGAATTTTCTTCTGCATCACTAATAAAGATTTTGTTGACAGATCAACATGGGTTTTGCATCTCGAGGTTTGTTATTTTCATTGGCAATACTTGTGTTGGCGTTGGGCGCTTTTGGGAAGACAGAAAACAGTAACATAAAAACAGCTGTTTTTTTGTCCCCAAAGTTTGAACTTGGACCAGGATCGGTTATCAATGGATACTACTATGATATTGATTTTCCAAGGGGTCATATTGCACTTAAGAGTTTCAATGCTGAAGTAGTTGATGAGGCAGGGAACCCTATACCTCTACATGAAACTTATCTCCATCACTGGGTTGTTGGAAGATTCTATCGACGCAAAGATGTGACACACATAAAAGGTTATGAATATGATGGCCATAGAGTGCTTCAGCAGTCTGGTTACGAGTTTGTGAGGAACAGTGGCATATGCCAAAGAGATATCCTTGGACAGTACTTTGGCCTTGGATCTGAAACACGAGGAACAGCAACACATGTTCCAGATCCTTTTGGAATAGTTGTTGGTGATCCTGCTGAAATTCCCGAGGGGCATGAGGAGACGTGGATGGTCAATGTTCATGCCATCGATACACGAGGTGTAGTGGATAAGATGGGGTGCACTGAGTGTAGATGTGACCTTTATAATGTTACAAAAGATGAATATGGGAAACCTATAAGCTCAGATTATAAAGGGGGTTTGTCATGTTGTCGTGATCATGCCCAGTGCAAATTGAGGGAAGATTTTAAGGGCCCCAAGAGGAGCCTTTACCTAAGATACACAGTTAAATGGGTTGATTGGGACAAGTATATAGTGCCTGTTAAGATTTATATACTTGATGTGACTGATACTTTGCAAATTTCTGATGAGTCTAACGGAATGATCCCTGAGCATGATTGCCGAGTAAGTAAATTCATCAACAAACGTGTAGATTGACTTAAGTTAAAATCAACACAATACAAGTCCCTTACTTTGCTGGGTCTAACTAATCAACAGAGATTTCTTTGTTACAGATTGAGTATGGGGTTGAATCTTGCAGCACTGACCACAAGGATGGTAATGGCTGTGTTCATGTGAAGAGGACAAGCCTCCCAATGCCAACTGGCGGTTATGTCATCTATGGTGTTGCTCATCAGCATTCAGGTGGCACTGGATCAACTCTCTATGGACAGGTGGTTTTCAATATTATAGCCATTCTTAAATATTTGTATATAAGTGTAACTTTTTTCATTTTTCTGTGGCATGACTTTATTTAAAAGCTAATCATGCAAGAGGGTGATGAATAATGACTGTTCTCTTTAAATTAAAAGGGATTGCAAATTTGCACCTATTTTTTCTTTTCAACCGAGGATCACAAGCTTAATTTCAAGAAAATGGTGAACAATGAACTGTTTGCTGGCAATTTATTAATAGTTTCATCTTTTTTATCCAAATTTGCAATTGCTAATAAATTTTGATTCATAATTTAAATATTCTAATATAACTTGTTTCCTATAATTTTGTGCTTGTTTTCAGGATGGGAGGGTTATATGTACTTCAATACCAAGTTATGGAAATGGGAAAGATGCAGGAAATGAAGCACAATACATAGTGGGAATGTCCACTTGTTATCCTCGACCAGGTTCTGTCAAGATAATTGATGGTGAAACCTTAACTCTGGAATCAAACTACAGCAGCATCCAAGAGCACACTGGAGTAATGGGCCTTTTCTACTTTTTGGTGGCAGAACAGCTACCACACCAACACTTGAGACATTCCTCTCGTTCTTCTTTCTTTATGAATATAGATAATATATTTGATTGATGGGTGATTGGTGAGATGCTTGTATAAGTTGAGTGTCATCGATGGTATCTAAGTATGTATGATGATCAGAAGAAATAAAGACAAAATTTGGAAGTGTAATTGGAAAATATACTACTTGTTGTCTGCAGCAATGACAACAGTGGTAAGAGCCGGCAATGAACATAGTAATCGGATATAGTAATCGGATAATTAGTCATTTGTGTTGGTGATAGTTTGTACTGTTGTATGAAACCAGTCTTGCTTATATGGCTATGTGATACATTTGTTGCACATAAAATGATCTTGGTATTGATGTATGTTTGAAATAACAATTTAATTAAGTATTTATTTAAACTTTTTTTTGTAAAATGAAAATTTATATAAACTTGGTTATGAATGTTATTGAAATTTTTAAATAAATTAAAAAAATTATTTTAACAAGTATTCTAGTGAATCTTGGAAAAATAAAATAAAAAGAATTTATATAAATGTCACGAGCTAGTTTCATGTATTCAAATAACATCTCTCAGTTAGTCCTTTGTCTTCCATGTAGTATGAAACTAGTAATGGTGTCACAGTACAAATGCACGGTCACAAAAATGTAAGTGAGAAAAAGTAACGAGGAGGGAAATGCGTGTGACGTTCCATTTTTTTTCGTAGTAATAGATATCTTACGCTTTGTTTGAATGATTAAATGAAAAAGAGGAAAATAATTAAAATGAAGAAGAAAAAATATGAGAATGAAAAATAAAGTAAATATAGAGTACAAGAGATATATTCTTTGGATGAAATTACCTATATATATATATATATATATATAAATAAAAAAGAAAGTAAAAAAAAATCAATTATATAATTTTTTAATAAAGAATTAATATAATATTTCTAAGTTTTTGTTTTAAAATTTTAATATTGCTTTGAAAAAGATTTAACAAAAGAATAAATTAATAATTTCATGACATGGATGGCATATTTTTGTGAGTCCCACTTCCTTAATTTCTTTGCCCCCCTAAATGACAATGTCTCCAAATAAGGAAATCGTCTGAAAATTTCCCTCTCAAATTAATCTCAGCCAATCATTTTATCTCTTTCTTATCTCCCATCATAAAGATGGTGTGAGTAGCTATCGATTCGTTAGTATATCTCAAAGTTGCTTCAACTTGCTTCTCTCGTCGAGTTAAAAACTGCTATAGAATAGTGTTCATGTAAGGACATTTCTCTAGTTTGAACGGCTGTCTTAAACCAGTCTTGCTGATATGGCTATGTGATATTTGTTGTACATAAAATGGTCATGGTCATGGTCATGGTCTTGGTCTTGGAGTATACTCAGATAAATAATTGAATTAAGTATTGTTTATTTCATAATTTTTTGAAAATGAGAAATTATTCATAAACTTGGCTATGAATTTTGTTAAAAAATTTAAATAAGTTCCAAAAAACTATTTTAATAACCATCGAAGCTTGGAAAAGTAAAATAAAAAGAATTTAGATAAAGTTACGAGCCACTTTCATATATATATTTAAATAAAATCTTTCAACTAGTAACAGTGTCACTAGAATGCATGGCTCAAAAAAATTTAAGTGAGAAGAAAAAGAAATGAGGAGGGAAAGGCGGGTCTATGAGGACTTGCTTTTTAATTTTTAGAAAAAGGAAAAGATACAGAGTAGAATAAAAATAAAGTAAAAAATTATTATTTAGAAAAAAAAATCACTTATTTGAATAAGTTAAAGTGTAGAAAAATTATACAAAAATATTTTTATAAATATTAATTATTCTTTAAAAAATAATGTTATTTTAAAAAATATTTAACAAAAGAATAAGCAAAAAAATAACTAACGTCTCACTTCCTTAATTTCTTTCTCCCACTAAATGACAAAATGGAACCAGTCTTCTCAGTTTATTTTCCTCTCAAATTCATCTCCTGCAATCATTTTATATTTTTATCTCATTTATGAGTCTCATGTCATGAACAGTGAGTAGCTATAGTTAGTGTATCTGCTGAAACTTGCTCCAAGGAGCTTCTCCCCTTGGATAAAAAATGTTAGGCTAGTGTTCATGTCAACTTGTCAAGACTCTGTGTTGTGATCGTTGTTGTTTCCGTAGCCGTGTTGCCCATGTCAAGTGGCGACAGCAAGATAAAGCAAGTAAAGGAGCAGATTGAAATGGCAACAAGAAACACTATATGGGGAGTTCTTTGTATAATTTGATAAGATCTTTGAGAAGTTCGGCCATCTTTTCAAAATCACTTTCCTTTTAATTTCCAGAATTCATATCTGGTAGAGATAAATTTATTTAGAATAATTTTTAAAATTCTTGTAATTTCTATTCTTATAAATTCTTCAAATTACAAAACCAAAAAAGTATCTGATGTGTTTCATATTTTTAACACAATAATAAAGTAGGAGGAGAATTGTTAAAAAAAAAAAGACAGTAAAGTTCGTTTATTTATTTAAAAATAGCTTTTATTAAATTGGATAACTCTTTTATTAGTTTGTGTTAAGCAATGTAATACACAAAATAATCACAAAGATGATAGCTACCAGCTTGAAAAAACTCATACCTAACAAGGTGGCAAGGGGTTCTTTCGTTTGAGAGTGGACCTTTAGAAGGCCTATGATAGACTTAGAATTTCTTGCACGACACGTTGAGGGAGTTGGACTTAATAAATTTAACCATTAGACATGTCTCTAATTGCTCTATGCTAATGTTATAGAACAAAGAGAAGGCCATGCCTTTCACTCCTTCTGGAGGGGTGTAAACAAGGTGGCCCGTTGTCGCCATACTTATTTGTTTTATGAATAAAATGAATATAGACAGTGAATGAAGTTAGGAGGGTAAAAAATGACTAGGTCAATTCACTTAATCTGCTTAAAAATAGTGAGTTAAGTTGAATGCTTTGTGTTTGTTGGCTCCTCTAACCTGTTCGATTTTAGTTTGTCAAAATGCAAGTTAGGATGGGCTGATTAGTAGGGCTAATTTTAAATATTAATTTTATTATATAAAAATAATTTTTATAAATATTTTTATTTTTATATTAATTTTAGATAGACTAACTCATTAATTCATTGATCTATTAACTTTTTCCCTTTTTTTTTTTAATCTTTGACAAGTTAGCCTACCAACTTACTCTTAAATAAGTCAAGTTAAAAAACTTAACCTATTTTCTAAATGGAACAGAACAAGCTAGTTCATTTTTTGGCACTTTTAATAAGTTAGGGTGTACCACGTGGTTTCAATACCTCTAAATAAGGTAGGGTCTTTAAAAATTAATGCAAATTTTCATAAAAGACCTTAAGAAACTGCATTTAATCTTTAGTTGACATTTCGCAATGTGATACAGTAAATAGCATGACAAACAAATAGAAGAAATTATATAACAAATGAAATATACATAGTTATATATATAAAAAATTAAGTAGTATATAAAAATAAAAAAAAGTTATATATAAAAAAGTGATACAGAATTAATTCAAGTCAAAAGTTTGATTATTAAAACTTCAAAGAAACGGAGTTACACATAAATCTCCATATTTACTCTCACAAAATCATGGTTTATACTTTATAAAGCTTGGATCCTTAATATGCCGTGGTATGATACGATGAGAAGGTAGAGATATTAAGAGGCATTAACCATTTATCATTGATACATAGTTATATTAATAAATGATAATTGATGTCATATCATTTCGGTGAACGTATCCAATGTAAATTGCTATAAAGTTGAAGCAGTGAATAATTTTACTAATAAAAAAAGTACTCCAAGTCCAACACTTAAGATAATAAATATTTTGACAAAGTAATATTCATGCATTGATGTTGTGCTATATACTATAGTGTTTAGATGTAGGTGAAGCACATTTAAGCTGCGAGAGGATATTTATTTAGTGCAAGCTAACATGGTTTAATCTTATAAGGTCTCCTTATAGATTTAAAAAATATAGTTGTATCATTTATATGTAAATAATTAATATTATTAAAGTTATATTTTAAATATATCTCTAAACATATATGACATTAATAATTTGTCATTTTTTAGCATATAAACGTCATAGCTTTTTATTTGTCTCAAATAAAGGTGATAAAATAGGTTAACTCATTCTGATTTGATCCATCCACCTAAAACTTTTTAAATGTGGGTTACTCTATTTTAAAAATTAGCTAAAATATAAGATTAAGATCCTCTCATTTTTTTAGTACGAATATAATCTCATGTGCCTGTATTTTTGTTTAAGCGAATAATTTTTCGTTTAAATAAAAATGTAAAAATATAGAACATGAGAGTCATGTAACATAAAGATGAGAATCATGTAACATAAAGGGATCTTGATCCAAATATATTAGTCACTCTCTCATTTAGAGGTAGATTAACATGTTACCAGGTCAGTATCAAAGAGGGAAAAAAATGCAAAATATATTGGTAGTTCAGCCTATTTAAAAATAATTTTAAAAATGAGAAATTTATAAAAAATATTAAATAATATAGCTTAACAGTTTAAACTAATAAATAAACTTGATGATCCAACTCATTTTAACTTGTTTATAGTGAGTCAAAATAGAAAGGATTGAGCTAGTTGACAGGTATAAAAATTTCAATCTCGCTTGACAATTTAGGTGAGTTTAAAAGATTGAAAAAAAGTTTGCATCACATTCAAAGTAAAGATAGCTTATATTTAAAAGTTAGATTTTGTTTTGAATACGTAAAAATAAAAATAAAAATTGATATTAGATAAAAAGCAATTAATTTAATATATATTTTCAAACCTTGTATATTTTGTGCATAATTTAAAGAATAGTATTAAGTAAATATTTTTAAATATATTTAACTACTTCAAAAAATATTAAACATATTTTTGTTTAAAATATAACCAAAATTAGTATTTTCATTTTTAATTTTAGAGTAGATTTAAATTTTTTTATATAAAAAATTTGTCATTTTTTACTACGTATATTTATTGTCTTCCTCCCATGTTTTCTTAATTTTATCTCTAACGTCTTTTTTTTTTTTTTTTTATCTTCATCTTCTTATATTTAAAACTCCATTTTCTTACCATCAACACTAAGCACTCACTCTCAAATTTTAACTCATAAATAACCTAACTTTCTAAATATTCATTTTTCATCTCTGATATATTTGAATGTATAAATCTTCATTTTATCATTTTATTGATTTTTCATGCTACCATGATTTTTGATACTTTCACTAACAAAGATATTGTGTTCTAAAAGATCAAAGCACAATTTGAAAATAATGTTCTTTCAATTTTTGTGTTTGGATCTGCAAAAGATAAAAAATGAGTATATAGAAAGTTGATGTATTTATGAGTTAAGAATTAAGAGTGAACACTGGTATTAACGGTAAGAAGATAGAGTTTTGAGTAAGATAAAGATGAAATGAAAAATAAGAGAAAAAAATGTGTAACAGATAAGGTTAGAGATTTAAAAAAGAAGACGATGAATAATGACACATGGGAAACCCTACAAGTGTTTAAAGAAAAAAATCTATTTAAATTTTTTATAAAAGTTAGAAGATTAAAGTAAATAAAAATAAATTAAAGATAAAATTAAAATTTATTTTAAAATTAAAAAATGAAAGTACTAATTTCATTTAACATATGCTATACAAGTTTTTATTTCTTTAACTTATACAATTGATATATTAAAAAAATGTCATTGATAAAACTTGTTTAAAATAGTAGTGAAAATTACTTCAATTTTATTTATCACATTAATTTTTTTTTACTTTATGTTAATAATTTATATTTATTTACACTTATAGTATTATTTTTTTTGCTATTCCACTTATAGTATTGTTTATTATATATATATATATATATTTATATTTAACTTATATTTCATTATATATTTTTCATAATAACATGTTCTTTTTTTATTTTAAAATATAAAATTAACCAAATCTTATATTTTTAAATTCTTAAGTTTAATTTTATCATGAAAAACATGAGTAATGTATTAATGTATGGAAGTTGAGATAAGTTAAACACATGGAAATACAACATTTGTATTTACAATTTGAATGAACTTATTTTGATTCAATGTTCACACAAAATTATATATGAAAAATTTAGATAAGCTACACACAACATTAGTAAACTTAGGGCATAAATATAAATTATAAAACTATTAATTAAAATTTTAGTGTTTATATGATGTATATATGAAATATTCTTTTTATATAAAGATCAAACTAAAACATCCTTTGGTTTTTATTTTTTAATTATAAAATTGTATGATGTATCTATATGTATTGGTTTAAATCTATACACTCGTTTAAACTCTAAGTTCAATTTAAGTTAGTCGCTAGTCTGAGTTATAGTAAAATACATTAACTATACTTTTGAACTTTCTATTATAGTTAAATTCTAATTTTGCTATTTCGATAACTTTTTATTTAAATTTAATATTTCTTTTTCATAATTGTTATAATTAAGTCATTCTTTAGTCTAATTAAAAGCCTTCATTTCTCTATTTTCTATTTATATATGTCGAGGTTTTCGACTGTAGGATATAAATTTATACTTTCAAAATTTAAAAGTTAAAAAAATTATGAAAAAAATATTTTATAAAAAGTGACAGTATGATTTCAAAGAATAAAATTTTGAGATTTTTTAAAATAAAATGTAATTTTATAATCAGTGAGTTTTTGAGAGAAAAAAATAGTTTAATAAGTGTATTTTGTTGATATTTTAAATAAAAACAATGATATTAAAAATTAGGTTAAAAACTATTAATAAAAGAATTTGATTGTAATAATTAAAAAATATAAAATTAAATTCAAATGAAATATTATTAAGAGCACAAAGTTGAACATTAGAAGAACACAATTAAACCTAAAAAAAATTATCGGACTAAAAATATCAAAAAGATGATTGGAGCAGAACAGAAATCCCACGTATTAAAAGAAGAAGAAGAAGAAAATGGTTAAAACTTAACTAGCAAGTTAGCACATGATTCCGCTTGGACTTGGCAGTGACTAGAGAGACCCAAAAGCTTTCCCTCTTCTCTTCCCCTCACTTGATTCTTATATTAATACAACACAACAATAACTATCATTCCCTCTCCATCTCTTTCCAAACCCCATTGCACGCGCTCTCAACTCAAGGAAGGTACCATCGCGTCACTTTCTTTTTAAATGTTCAAATGTAATTGCTTAGAAGCGCTTTTACGTTCTCAACTTGCTTCTAAATTCTGATTCTTCCCCCCTCACTCGCTTTAAAATTCCGCTCTTAATTTCAGCGATATATTTTTGTTTGATGCTGGTCGACATTTGATGCTATTTTATTAGGATCATTATCGACGTTTGGGATTCATTTTCGCTGTTATAACAATTCGTTGTTTCAATAGAATGGGAGCGAAGCCTTTTTCTTTTTAATATTTAATTCCAATTTTGGCGCCAGTACAGACATTGTCCCTTTTGCTGGTAATCGGCTACAAAATGGAGTTTAGCGATTTTCTTTTTCTAGTTGTTATCAGAAATTTTGTAAAATATATTTGGACTAGAGTAACATAGTTCTTATGCATTTGGCAACTGAAAATGACTTGCTTTTTTGTTTATAAACTTTATGTGTGTATTGGTGAAAATGTATAAGAGTTTTCTGGAAAAATTAGTTTGGATTAACTTTTAATTACCCATGTTATACTTTTGTGATACTTATGATTGAGGGTTTGGTTCCCCCCACCCCCAAATACTGGTTGAAGAATAAATTAGGTTCTAATTTATTGCATTCAACTCGTCCTTCTGTTTCAAGATTTTACTATCCCTTCGGGAAAATGAAGGCTAATGTATATATTTCATTTATTCTGAACAATCTACGTTTTATGCTAGTTAACTCTTAAAAGCGTTTTATCGTTGATCTGAGGATATCAAGTTTCAAGTATGTAGGAGATAGACGAGTTCTTGTGTGATCTATTTTTAATATTTTTGGTTTTCAAGGATTTTGGATGCTGTGGGCTTTTTCTCATGGAAACAAAAGGGCCTGTTGTTGATGCACCAAAAAAATCAACCCTTACACCTAAGGCTATAATACACCAAAAATTTGGCAATAAGGCTTGCTACATGGTAGAGGAAGTGAAGGAGGATGATCAAACTGAATGTCCAGGATTGAGTATTCCACAGACGGGACCCTGCCTTTATCGTTGTACATTGCAGCTTCCAGAACTTTCTGTCATTTCGGGGACCTTTAAGAAAAAGAAGGATGCTGAGCAATCTGCGGCAGAGATTGCTATAGAGAAGGTATCACTCAGGTGTTCTGCTTTCTATTAAATCTGTCTATGTTTTTCATGATAAGAAGCTCATTTATTTCTTCTTCAGTCACAGATAGGCCCAGTTTGGATAAATTTATTAGTAAATTAATAAGTACTTATAGAAGTAAAAAATTAAGTAGTAAAATGAATTAACTCCTCTCATAAGTTACAAGTTACTTATGATTCTCTATTTTTTTTAGAAATTCTCTCATTTAACTTCTTTAAAACTTGAGAAGGCAAGTTGCTTTTAACTTATGAAGGAAGTTTTATTCATTTTTTACATTGATTTTCTTCTCCTATAACAACTAATCTAAAAGCTTACTCAAATTGGACCTTAGTTAAAATATAGGTACAGTCTTATATCACTTGCCTTTTGAATTTTATAGTTAATTCAAACAAGTGCTTGATAAGCTAGCAAGAAGAAATGGAACTAGTAAATTACTAATTCTGGTACATTTGGTTATTGACGATTATTTTTATTTTAAGTCCTGCTTTGAAGATGATAGTGGCTGAAGGGGTAGGGTGTGTTTTGTTTCATTTGAGAATGTCAATGCCATTGCCACCACTCTGAGATTGCTATATATGCGAATCTTTCTCTTGAGTTTTCAAGTATAACTAGGGAAGTCTTTTTAGTAATAAGACCATGCTTGTGTAATGTATCAATTTACTTCCTACATCATAATTGCTTTTTTGATTGTTATATTATCGTATAATGCTACAGTGAACATTTAGTCCAATTTCAACATGGCTTAAACGAGAACATGTGTGTATGCTAGAAATTGTAAAAAATTGATAGATGGGCTATCATGTTACAAATGGAAGCTTTTGCTGGAATTTAAGTCCTGGAACTTCTCTTTGGATGGTATTTTTATTTTTTAGGTCATTACCCTTATTAAATGCATTTGTTATGTGAGCTGGATAGTATTTTATTCTGACTCATTGTTTCAAACTATTTTTTCAAAAATATTTTGGATAAGCAAATAAATATTTTTATGCTAAAGTGATTAGTCAATTTAGTCCAATTTCAAGATGGTTTAAACTAGAACATGGGTGTATGCAAGAAATTGGAAAAAATTGATAGATGGGCTATCACGTTACAAATGGAAGCATTTTTGCTGGAATTTAAGTCCTGGAACTTCTCTTTGGATGGTATTTTTTACTTTTTAGGCCAGTACCCTTATTAAATGCATTTTTTATGTGAGCTGGATAGTATTTTATTCTGACTAATTGTTTCAAACTATTTTGGATAAGCAAATAAATATTTTCCTAATACTGATTCTTTGGTTACACTTTGTTAAAATGTATGCTTCCTGCTTAGATATTTTCTTATAAATTTTTACTACACAGGAATTGGCTTTATATTGTTACATATACTATTTAAGTGTTTTCCTTGTATTGTGGATTACTGCATTTTAACTTTCACAATTCTACATCTACAACTTTTAATTACTCTTTTGCAGCTTGGCATTTGTACAGAGACTGTTGATCCCACTCCGCAGGAAGCACAGGAAAGTTTGGTTGTTCGAGTTGAATACTTATTTTCAGAAAAAGTAGGTAAACTATTTTTAATTATCGAGTGTATTAAGTGATGCATATTGTTAGTAATGAAAATCATGTATATTGATTACAATACCTGTTCTGTAGTCAAATTATTTTGTTGTATTTAGTTGGTTAACCATGTAAAAGGTTTGGACAAGTTTTACATTGACTACCAAAGGCCTAACACAATCCTCCACTTGTACCCGAGCTTGTGATTGGCTGTGGTGCCATAGATGGAGTTTGAGGCATTGAACTAGTCTTGGACCAAACGACAAGGAATTATGATAGTGGAATGAAAGTGTGCAAGAGAATATTAGAGATAAGAAGATGTGTTTTAAAACTTTGTATACATGCAACAATTTTAAAAATTAGGCAAGGTGTTGATATGCAAGAAACAAGACAAGAAAAATAGTGAGTGAAATATGTTCTAAGACTTTTGAATATCAAGATGGTAGGACAAAGTATGGTAAAAGAAAGATTTATAAGTTTTCCAAAGGTAGAGGAAAAACATTTAGAGATTTAAATCAAGTTAGATGCATTAAAGGTGAAGAAGAAAAAAAATTGGTTTTGCATCAAGACATCAAAGACAGATGTAAGAAATATTTCTATAAACTTTTTATGAATGAATAAGGAGTAAATGAAAATATAGCAGAGTTGAAAGTGCAAGTGAATGATCTAATTTGACATATTACTGTAGGATTCAAGTTGGAGAAGTAATAGAATTTTTAAGAGGGTGAACAATTGTAAAATGGTTGGTTTTGATAATATTCCAATTGAAGTTTGAGTAAGAACAAGGACGGGTGACTCATTAAGCTCCTTTAATGAGATTTTTAAATTTAAGAATGATTTTTAAATTTAAGAATATGTGAGATGAATGGAGGAAGAACATTTTGATTCCCATATACAAAAACAAGAGTGACATCTAAAATTGTTGAAATTATTGGGGAATTAAACTTATAAGTCACATTATGAAGTTGTGAAAAAAGGTAATTGAACTTAAATTTTGGAATGAAACTAAAATTATAGAAAACCAATTTGGTTTTATGCTAGACAAGTTTACAGCAAAAGCTATATATTTGTTACAAAAGATGATGAAAAAATATTGTTCCAAAGAAAATGACTTATGTATAATTTTTATCAACTTGAAAAAAACATATGATTGTGTGTCAAGAGAAGTGGTATGCAAGGTTTTTAAAAAAGAAAGAAGTTTGTGTAACATATATTCAATTATACAAGAATGTATTAAGAGAGAGGAGGGGTGGGGGGTGGGGGGTGGGGGTGGGGGGGGGGGGAAGGGCAAGAAGGGTAATTAAGTGTATGTGAACTTCTGGAAGTGCATCTAATAATTTCTAAATAGGAATATGTTTACATCAAGACTTTGTTTTGAACCTTTATTTATTTGATCTAGTTCTATATATGCTTACAAATACATACAAAATATTATCTTTAAATGCATGCTTTGTGAAAGATGTAATATTGCTTGAGAATTTAAAAGAAGAGGTTAATACTAGACTTGAGATATGAAGAGAGACTTTAAAATCTTAAGATTTTTATTTGAAGAAGTAAGATAGATTATATGCATTGTAAGTTTAATAAAAAATATGTATTGAAAGTTAAAATTTGGGATGATATTATATTACAAATTTTCAAGTTGAGGTACTTGTGATTGAATTCAAAAAATGATAGAAAAATTAATAAAGATGTTATTCATAGAATTCAAGTTGGGTGGTTAAAGTGAGAACAAATATTATAAAGTTATTTGTAACCATGAAGTATTTATGAAGCTAAAAGAGAAATTTTATCATATTGCAATACGATTAACTATTTTATATGGTAGTGAACATTTGGACTTACAAGAATAACATGAGAAAAAGTGAAAGTGAAAAAAATGAGAATGATAAGGTGGATGAGTGGATGCAGAGAAAATACATGATATGAATTGTAATATACGTGAGAATATTGGAGTAACACTTATAGCCGAAAAATGATTTGGTCATGTGCAGAGAAAAACTTAGGAGACACAAGTGAGGTGTGTGAATTACATGGCTTTTAGCTTTGTAAAAAGGGGTAAAAGGAGATCTAAAAGAACCTTATAAGAAGTTATTAAAAGAAACATTTTGATTAATTATATCTATGGAAATTTTGTTTTTGACTGAGCTCAATAACATTATGTGATTTATGTAGCTGATCCCATCTAGTGAGATAAGGTTTCGTTGTTGTTTTATTTAGTTGGCTGCAAAAAGAATCTTCCAGCTCCTCTTTTGTTTCACTTGACAATCCCTACTATAAATCATTTTTTTTAATAAATATTTGTCTATATTTGGAGGTTCTAATAAGAGTTGTTAGTAGTGCGCTTTAGCACTGTTGTGGAGTGGCCCCTTGGTGCTCCACGGTCACCCTATTGTGTTGCATTTTGTTGTCGTGGACTCGTGGCTGCTTCCGTGGCATTTCATGGCCATCCCAGCCGCTATTTTGCCATTGGATGAAAAAGCCCATTTTGCCTCAATTTTAAATTGTTTCAACCTGGTTTACCGGAGAAATCTTGGGATTTTACCCTCGTTTTACATATTACTACCTTAGTAGACCCCTAGGGTCAGGGTTCTTCTTTTGCATGCTCCCAAGGCTCCAACCCTAGTAGCCATTGACTTTGACAACCCCTTGTTTTAGTGAAATTTTGAGCAGGTTACCATTATTTTTGGCTGGAATCCAGTGGTTTTCTTCATTTCCAGCTGGTTTTTGGTCGTACGTGGCATCTCCAGTGAAAACCACCTCTCTTTAGTTCTTTTTCCAGCAAGATCAAGCTCTTTCTGGTAAGACCCACCTCTGTTTGGGTCCTTTTGCAATGCACTCATGCAATTTTCAGCAATACCCAACCCATGTTTGCCCAATTGTTCGGCAATTCCTTAATTTAGTGTTATTGATGGGTGCTATTAAGTTCTCAAACTCAAATTTTGATTAATAATTATGAATATTTTTAATTTGGGTATTATTTTTTTTTTCAGCATATATATGTGTGTGTGTAGTATAATGTATGTTGAAGGTATCTTAAAACTTTAAAATAGCAGTCATCCTGCTACCCACTATAGCATTTTTGAGGTCAGCCACTTTGCGTTGTTATTTGGGATTGACTACTATGGTTCTAATTGCTAGAGTGATCTGTAGGTAGCTTTCAATTTAGTTAGTAATCAAGACATTTGATGAAAATGTTTGAACTACAACTACCTCACCAACATCGTAATTGTATACTATGTACTCTGTACACTATTCCATTTCAAGTTATTGAATATCAAGGTTTAAGTGGTGAATGACAATGATAAAGGTCTGGTCCTCTATCCTGGGAAAATTTTAACCGTAAAAAGTGGAGGATTAGATGAAAATGCTATATTTTTGTCGTTCTACCAAATTGTTTAGTAGAAACTAAATATTTCTTTTAGAGTTGGTGTGATCCCTAAACGTTGTGGACATTTCTAGTTGGGAAACACTAAATTCTATGAATTCTTTATATATACTTTATTTATGATTTTTTTCCTTTTATAATTTAATTTTGGTAAGATATGTACAATTGTTTTGGTTAGCTATTATTGGTGACAAAATAGTCAAAAGGAAATTTAGTTTTGATGCTAAGTTGTCCCAATATTATCTGTTTGTGAATTTTAATTCAATCTGATACCATTTTTGACACCATTCAACACTTCTACAGTTTCTTATATGTGATCATCCACTCAGTGGTCACATTCGGGCATGTTTGTGGAGGAAAGGTGATCTTTGCGGATTGGTTCCTATTTCTGTTATCGCTGCGTATGATGCAAAGCTTTTTAGCTTGTGTAGATGTATTAATCCAGAGGTGGAGTCAAACTCACTTTTGGTTATTGGGCACATAATGAGGGCCGCCAGTACAAAGTTACATGAGTCTCTTGTTGTTTCTGAGCAGCATCTCTGGATTAGAAAGCAGAGTCCATATCCGCAAGACATTATAGAGTCATTGATGAAGGAAGATGGTTCACAGGAATGCCTTCAGGTTGCTGCCATACGCATTCCTAGTTCAGTGGAGCAATCTATTGAAGCAGTGACTCTTCATATTTCTTTAAAAGAATACTACCTTGATATCATTGCAAATGAACTTGGTTTTGAAGATGCTGCCAATGTTCTGATTTCAAGGTATGATGAAATTACAGAAAACTTTCTTAGCATTGATTATTGCTTTCTAACTTATTCTTGACCTGTGGGGCTCTTCAGAAATTTGGGTAAAGCTTCTTCTGAGATGAGGCTGTTTTTTGCTGCTCCTAATTCATATGCACTGGATCCATCTTCTATAGTGTCAAATGGAAAAGAAAGTCTTTATTCTGAGGGGTCTCTGAATTTAAGGGCAAGTTACTTATCCGGGCAAGATATATTTGGAGATGCCATATTAGCATCCATTGGATATACACGAAAATCTAGAGATCTCTTCTATGAGGATGTCACGGTTCAGTTGTATTACAGGTCTCTTTAAATTCAAAAGATTTGTTGAATTGTTTATTGGATAATAGTCAACCTTATTTTCAAGTAATACTTGATTAAAAGGAGATCTGTTATCATCATGTCATGCACTTTTGCTGTATCACAGTTGCCAGTCGAAGTGCGTTTTGTTTTTGCAGAACTTCACTAAAAATTTCTGTTGGTTTTTTTCTTAGAAAATTTCCTCTTTACCCATTTGTTGTATCATTTGTTTGAACTTAGAAATTGTGCCTCTAAACTATCACACTGCTGAAAATTCTGTCTACCTTGTTCTGGTCTATTTATTCTGACAAACTTATGGTCAATCTATGTAAGCAGTAATTTCTGTAGGTGTTTGTTAAGGACCCTATAATTACAGAAGTTAAGAAAGCAATAAAAAAGAGAATAGTTAGGAAAGAGAAACAAGGAGCAAAAGAAGGAAATGGGTGTAACGATCATGCTTACATGGCAAGAGGCCTGGGAATGAATGAGAAACATGGGTAGCTAGGATAAAACAGAGGGAGGGTTTCCAGTGGAGTTATCTAGTAATTGAGCAAGGACGGATCTTTGGGCAGTGGGGAAGCATTCCCTTGAAGTACCATAATATGTTTTCTTTTACTATTTTCTTCTTCTATGGTTGTAAAGAATTGTTCCTGAACTGATATCCCATGGATATCAGCATCATTGTTAATAAACGGAGCTATTCAATGAAATTAAAGTTCTATTTCAGTGGGTATGTCTGTGTTTGATATATTTTTGTCCTTGTTTGGTTTTCTGGGTTGAGGTGTGGCATATCATGCATGACAACGATAATAATCAGTTGTTTATTAAATAATTTTGATAGATAAAAATTTCCTGATGTCTCTGCAAACTGCACGTTTATAATACTAGAGTCCTTTTTATTAGACTAAGTTTTCCTGTTCTTCCGATTTTAGTTTCTCATATTCCTGACCCTTTTGAGACTTGTACACAGTTTAATTTTGTCCATGAATTCTGCATTTGTCAAATTTTTTTTGGACAACAGGACTTGTAATTTATTTTTTTGGGGGGAAAAAGTTTTCAATTTCTACCTCTGCCTGCCAAATTGCATAAGTTTGCATTGTTTAATAATTTTTTGTAAGATTGCCTTCACAGGATGCTTCTAGGGAAGACCCCTGCTGGCATTTATAAATTATCCAGGGAGGCAATCCTCACAGCTGAGTTGCCTTCAAGATTCACCACAAGAGCAAACTGGAAAGGATCTCTTCCCAGGGATATACTTTGTATGTTTTGCCGCCAGCACCGTCTGTCTGAACCTCTCTTTTCCATTATTCATCCTTTCAAAACACCATCTGAATCATCAGAATCATATTTGAAGGTTGCAGCATCTGGCATGAATATGATTGAATGTGTCAATGGGGCCTCTGTAGCCACAAATTCAAAGCATTTAGATTCAGAGGTGTTTAAATGTGAAATAAAGTTAACATCTAGGTTTGGAGATTTAATACTTCAGTGTTCCCCCAAGGGTTGTTATAAGAAACAGAATGATGCTATTCAGAATGCTTCCTTGACCCTTCTATCATGGATGAACAAGTATTTTAAGAGTATGATTGTTCCTTTTGAGCAGCTTGATGAGACTGGAGACAACTTCGAGGTTCAGATTTGTTCTGAAACCATTTTCAGAGAGATTTTTGACGGTCAATCAATTCACAACGGTCAGCTTGATGGAATTCGATGCAATAAATTAGTTGAATCAATTTATATGAATTCATCATATGATGCTCTTAAAACTGGAGTACGCTCATTAAACATTGAGGGTTCAGATTCTGGCAACTGTCCATGCAGTGGATCTTTACCTTGTATAAGATATTCAGTTTCTTTGGTCGTGGAGGGTGAGAATATAAAAGAAGTTATTGAAGTTTGTAATGAGTTTGAGTTTGAGGTGGGGGTTGGTGCTGTGATTTCCTATGTTGAGGAGGTTGTGATGCAGATGTCTGTTGGCCAGCATGCTTATTTCACTACAAACTTACTCACTTCTGATTTGATTTTTGCTTCAGCTGGTGATTCAGTCAAAATGCTTGCCTTGCTATCTTGTAGTGAGTTACTTTCTCTGTCACCCCCTCAATAGAAAAAAAAATGTTCTTTGGTCAGCATGTGGCTAAATTGCTGAATCTATATTGCTGACTGTGTAGGATTTATATTCTTATTTTTCAGAAGATTGCTATATGGAGTATGAAATAGGTTTGACCAAGGTTGCAGAACCTCCTGAGGAAAGAATGGAGCAAGCTCTTTTCAGCCCTCCACTTTCAAAACAACGGGTGGAATTTGCAGTGCAACATATCATAGAATCCCATGCTACTACATTGGTGTGCAAAATCATCTCATCTTTGGTTTTCTTTGGTTAATCTGAGTTGTAAATTTGATTTATCTTTCATCACAGGTTGATTTTGGATGTGGATCTGGAAGCTTGTTGGAAGCATTATTAAACTATCCAATATCTTTAGAGAAAATTGCTGGTGTTGATATTTCACAGAAGGGTCTTGCCCGTGCTGCAAAGGTCACATGCACCTTCATACAACAAATTTCAATTTTGTCTTTTTAGAGTCCCTAGAGTTTATGCTTAGAGATGTACAAGAAAGAACTAGGTTCTGTTGTTCAAAAAGTATAATATCAGGAGCCTTGTCTGCACAAGATAGCTTTGATTAGTGTTAAAATATGCCAAAGTGATAAATGTTATTTTGTGTACCAAAACTTTGTATAATTTGAGAGGGCTGTTATCATGTCCATTATGTAATATGTTAGTTATTAGTTCATCACATATAGTTAGTGATTTGTTGCTATCTGTATAATGTTGTCCATAATTTTTGGGATTTCAAAGTAATTGGTCATACTATTTTATCATTTTTGTTTAATACCATGGATGTGCCTTTTTTTAAGTTGAGGGAAATATTTTAATGTTGGAGGATGATGTCTTTGACTAAAGTAGCTTCTGACAAGTATGGAAATATTGTTTATGAAATTAGTTAAAGATTATGTTGGATGCTTGATTAATACATACAGCCTTTTGATTTTAGAGATCTTGGTCATGGAGGAGCTGTTTCTGTGTGTAGGAAACAGGCATCATAATTTTATTGATAATTTATTCTTGCATATAAATTTGAAATTTCTTTGTTAGTAAAGCTGCTTGGTTTTCTGTGCATGAATTCTGCAGGTACTTAATTCAAAACTAGTCACAAATTCAGATGCTGGTGTGCAATGGACAAGCATAAAATCCGTAGTTCTTTATGAAGGTTCAATTACAAATTTTTGTTCCAGGTTGCATGGATTTGATATTGGTACTTGTTTAGAGGTATTTCACAATCTACTATATATTCTGCTACTGCTGACTTCATTTTGATATGGTGTGACCTAATGTAACATCATTCTCTCTCCTAGTAAATAATCTATTATGTATGGTTTGATTAGTGTTGAACTGAGAATGTGTGTACTATCTGACAAATAAGTTTGCTGCCTGAAACTTGGGTTTAATATATTAAATTGCACTGTGTTAGATGATTTCTTGTTATGACCATGCTATGCTTAACAAATTTATACCAATATAATCTTAACTGGAATCAAATTATCTTCATGTCAGATACGTAGTAAAAGAGTTTGACTTTGAACCCTGGAAATTTAAAGTCACGAACAATTATTTGACTTCTGAAAATTTCAGTTTACCACTTCCATTCAAATTGCAAATATGGAATGGAAGAGAATCATGTGGAACAGTTACACATGATGAAATTAGTTGGTATGATTGGAGGAGAAGAAGAGTATTTCTGATGATATCTAATTTTTTTTTTTTTTATTTCTGTGTAGTGACTGCAGTCACTGGTATCATGGTATATACACACATTTGCAGCATTCATCTACACAACCTAGTTCAAGCACCTTAGCCTTAATTAACCGTTATGCTGCTAGTGTGCTCTTTATCATTATTATCCAACGCATGAACAAGCAGTCAAGCAATTTTGCATTATTATCACTTAGAATTGTATATATCCATATCTTGTTATTTTCTGCAGTCTGCACTAATTCAATGGAAATGTGCTTCATTGTAACTAATTGAATTACTTTGTGTATTATGCAACTACTGTCATCATGTGTCATGTTCCAGTGCCGAGCGACTTAATATTTTCCTCATGCTACAATATTTAGATCTATGAATCAACTGATGTCAAACGTTGAATCAATGTAGGTGATTGAACATATGCATGAAGACCAAGCTTGTCTATTTGGGGATGTGGCATTAAGTTGTTTTTGTCCTAGGATTCTCATTGTTTCTACCCCAAATTTTGAATACAATGTAGTGCTCCAGAAGTCGAATCCTCCAACCCAAGAACAACATGAGGAATCAGACGATCAAAGCCTCTTACAATCATGTAAGTTTCGCAATCATGACCACAAATTTGAGTGGACCAGAGAGCAGTTCAGACAATGGGCATCTGAGTTAGCTGCACGACACAATTACAATGTGGAGTTTAGTGGGGTTGGTGGTTCTGCTGATGTTGAACCTGGCTTTGCTTCACAGATTGCTGTGTTTAAAAGGGAATGGAACCTTGAAGATGATGTACTAAAGCATACTGATATTGAACACCATTATAATGTAATATGGGAATGGAATAGTGGAAACAAATAATTAAAAAAACTATAGTGTGATGATACTTGTACAGTTCTTTTAGGTACTGAGATTACTGGGCTTTTTGAAAGAAGACAAGCAAAAATGAATGGATGCTAGGAGAGAAGGAAAAGAGGATTTGAGAGATTTAGGTAGAATGTCTTGTGACTTTTGAGTTTTGACAGTTCATTTACTAGTCTGATTTGATTGCTAGATAAAGTGCTCCAAGATATTTTGTGGAGGATGGACAATAAAAAATAGGATTTTAGTAGAAGGATATAAAGATAATTGTCGAATTGAAGGGAAAGGCAATCTGCCTTGTATTTGGTTGAATCATAAACATAATGAACCGATTTTGATGATTATTCTCACCCATTTAAACAGGAGACTGTGTATTTATGCTTTATTAGTCAATTCGTACGGTACTAATAAGGAAGTTAGGAAGTGTATCTACACGTTAATCTGATATTGATGGTGCAGGGTTATAGACGTTGTAGGTTGTAGCTGGACTTGATTGACGCTAAATTATTAATTGTATGTGAGATTAAAAAATAAATAAAAATTACTTCAAATAATTATCGTAGAAAAGTTACTATATGCTGTAAAATTGAAGATGAGGATTGGTTTAATCAGATTATTATAGTCGAATAAATAATTATGTTCAATTATACTAATAATCTTTCATGAATATTATTATATAACCTTTGATATAATAAATTATAACATTTATTCTTCGAAATGGAATAACTTTAAACATACACTTTTTCTTTATATAGAGTCATATTTTTCCCAATTGTTAGACAAATCTTTTAGGTTTTAATAGTGAATTAAATTAATAACTTTAGTTATTTATGCAAAGTAAATATTTAGTTTTAATTTTTTATTTGGTCTTTAATTTTTTAAAATAAGTTTTTAATAATTATTAGTTATTTTCATATAATTTCTTTGTTAGTCATTTGTTATTTACTTATATGATATTTAACTTAATTTATATAATAAGATGTGGAGTTAACGCAATGACATGATCTTTATATTTTTGTTTCTTTTTATTCTCAAATTTTAACTTTAAAAATCTTAATCTTATAATCTAAAACTTCATTAAAAAAAATATAATGAATGTAATATTGTTAATAACATATCTTGTTTTTGTATTATATTATAACAAAACTGAGTCAACATAAAAGCTATGAAAGCAAATAACATCACGCTGATATATCACTGATATATAATGACTAAATAGAAATAAAAAGTGATATTTTAGAGATTTAATTAAAAAACAAAAAATATAAAAAAAAATTAAAATTGTATGAAGACAAAAGCTTTATTATTATTTTATCTTAACCAACAAGAATACTAATAGGTATTTCACATATTATATGAATATTTATAAATATAAAAGAAATAAAAATTAGTAATAGTATAAATTTAATTGATAAAATATTTGAAAAAGAGAGCATGAAGGCTTTCTGAACCAGAAGATTTGAAGTTTTCAATACTGAAAGAAGAAGTCCTAACCTTTTCTAATAATAGCTTAGAATATCTTTTCTTATCAATATTCTTAAGAAGAAGAAAAGAAATGTGCCTGTTAAGAACGTAATTAAGTACATTATAGTGTTCGGCTAGGGAATGTAACTCAACTTCATGGTACAATTGCAAATAATTAAAAAAAAAAATCATACACTGGGATTTTACAATTCTTATAGGTATTATTGCTGGAGATTTTTTAAAGACAACCAAAATAGCAAGGATGTCCTAGACAATTCATATGAAGCAGCAGTTTACTTGATGATTGCTTTTTGAGCTAATGACAATTTCTTTTTGAAGTCAAAAATTGATTGCAAGGATGGGAGAGAGACATTATAGGGATGGATAATAAAATGAATCTTATCCAACAATGTAATATATGAAACTTGGAGGATAATGGTCTAATGGAAATGATGTGAAAACAAAATAATAATAATACTAATAATAATAAAATCATCTTAGAAATAGATACACGATAGAAAAGATAAGAATTAAATCCTACTCGCTACTTGCTGGAAGAACTAAAAGTTATCAGTGTGTGATTCTGGTCGCAACTTGTACTAATGCTATAAAATATAGTTTTCTTAACTAAGAACAAAAAAAAAAAAAAAAAACAAAAACTCTCACAATAGAAAACTAAAATGTATTGAGATTTAACTTGATTATTCTGATTTGCATAGTTCTTATTTATATATAAAAAAAGAAAATTTTAAATATTTATTTTAAAGTAATTTAAGATAATTTTTATTCAATTGTAATCTAAGATAATCTTTATCTTAATATTTAAATTTAAACATGTTTCTAATAACATAAAATCTCAATAATTTTTAATTTTCAAGTGATTTGGTCAAGTTGATTCTTTGGGCTACACTTTATTTTTGAATCTTTATGTACTTGGACTTGAGCAAGTAAAATTTAATTTTATTTGTTGTCTCTTTTTAGACTTTATTCTTATGACTTAATATTGTCTCTTCTTTTTTCTTAAGCTCCATAATTATGGCATTGTAAAGCATGTAGTATTCTCTTAGTCTCTACTTTAGTAGTTGTATCTCTTATTTCATGCAAATAATTTAGGTTGATTGCTTGAATTTTCGTCATAAAAGAAAAAGAAACACTCCTTTATGACGATGGAATCTAATAAATAATAAATAATGACTTGATATTAACTATTTTTTCAACTTTAAAACAACAAGTTGCATTTTACCTTCTTCACCAATTTACATGGAGTCTACATTAAAATGAAATAGTGTTATGAGAAGGAATGTAGATTATAAATAATTTGTGATATCATAACTTTATTATTTTAAAGCACAACGATAATAACGATTGTTGTATACTTGATATTAAAGAGTAGAATAGCATGGAGGATTGACTCAATTGAAAAGATCGAACATACAACAAGTTGAGTTTAAAAGGAATCTAGAATTTTAGCAAGTTTGTAGTTTATCATCTACAAAATTTCATATATTTTTAACTGTTATAAATTTACAGTTATTTTTTAAGTGTTGAAAAAATTATTATTATCGCTTAAAAGTAAGATTCTTGCATTATAAAAACAAATCTCTATGCTCCTAAATTTTTTATTAAAAAATTGTAAATTCCTTTCCTTAAAAGAAAAAACTGTAATATTTTTGTTGTCTATATAATTTTATAACATAAATAAAATTTCTCACAGAGAAAAGATATCAACTTAACACTTAATTATATATGGGGAAAAAAGTGATTAATTATTAATTACCGAAGAGGAGAAGAAAGGCTGGTGTGTGTAACTGTGAAGCGCAACTCAAGCATCGAAGGAGCATATTGCATTACGATGATGAAGTCATATAATTTGTCAAAGCTGAGTGATACTGAGGTTCGAAGCCTCATCGCTCGCCCTCGCATCGATTTCTCTTCGATTTTCGCTCTGGTCTCCTTCTCTATCCCTTCACTCTTCACTCTTTTTCTCTCTTTTCTCAAACCATCCTTTTCACTCTTTCTCCCTCGCTTTGCTTTGCAGGTCAACCCCATTGTTGAACATGTTCGTGAAAGGGGTGACGCTGCTGTCAAAGAGTTCGTGTTCCTTTATTCTTCTTTACTCATTTCATCATCATCATCATCCTCCTCCTCTCTTCTTTACGTGTTTTTTTTTTTTTTTTTAGATATACTTTGAGATTTGACAAAGCTGAATTGGATAAGATTGTTCAAATTGTTTCCGATCTTCCAGATCCGCTGGTATGTTTATTATTTATAACTATGCGTATCACCTTACTGTTATTTGTTGAAATTATTTGTGTTATCTTTGGCTTTCTTCATTGCAGCTTGATGCAGGTGTTAAGGAAGCTTTTGATGTTGCTTACAGCAACATATACGCCTTTCATGCTGCACAGAGGACACCTGAAAGAAATGTTGAGAACATGGAAGTATGATAGGATCTTATTCTTTAGTATATTATGTTTCATTGAATAGAAAATTGAAAGATACAACGGTAATGTATTATCCGTGGGTTTTGGTATGCTTTTGTGAAACTTCTTGTTAAGAAGTAGGTGCTTGCTGGATTATCTGTTAGATAATCCTAGACCTTATAAATTTCTTCTACCTTCATTCTTATTTATATGTCCAAAGAAAGAAGAAATTACATAGAAAAGAAATTCAATCATTTTATTGAAATTATTTGGTAAACTTCCTAATTTACCCTTTACTAATGAGTCTCTCTTACTCTTTGACCTTCGGACTACTCAAACAATGTAAGTGTACTTAAATTTTCAATATAGACAAAAGGGAATTAGTAGAAAAATAATAATTAATGTCGTGTTGAACTTCTATTTGGACAAATAAATAGGGGCAATATTTTTTTTTCGCTCCTGACAGATGATAGGAATAGAAGTGGTACATAATACATTTTTTTATTATTTGTTTTTCTACCGGTACTTGTTGTTGCATATGCATTGCTGTTCTTTGATCAATTTTGTCTGTCTTTTATATATTTATGGCAAGTTAATTCATTTCACTATCATGGCTGAGTTCTTTTGACAATGTCAGGGAGTCCAGTGCAAGCGAGTTGCAAGAAGTATTAATTATGTGGGTCTTTATGTTCCAGGGGGAACTGCTGTTTTACCCTCAACTGCTTTGATGCTTTCAGTTGTAAGTTGAATTGATATTTAATTAGTTCATGGTATTGTTCACCATCCTATGGATGCATCATTGATTTTCATCTCTTAAGATCTAGCTGATCTTTTATTATTTTTTATAACAGCCTGCACAGATTGCTGGATGTAAAACTATTGTTCTTGCAACTCCTCCAGCTCGGGATGGCACTATATGCAAGGTTCTTGCTATATTGTATAAAAATTATAATTGAGGTTAGTAAGTGTCTGACCTATATTTTTCCTGCAGGAGGTGCTGTATTGTGCAAAGAAGGCTGGGGTGACTCACATCCTCAAAGCTGGAGGAGCTCAGGTTTGAATATTGATAGTTTCACCCTTGTCTTATCCGTTTCTATAATTTGAGACTGATATTCTTATATTTAATTGTATGTTTATTTCTTTGTATTATCACAGCTATGATTCACGTAAACAATGATTAATATGACATTCTTTGACCTTGTAGGCCATATCTGCCATGGCCTGGGGAACAGAAACTTGTCCCAAGGTGGATCTTCTCAATATTATCTCTTGTTTTATTGGAATTTTAATTCAAATTATTGTTAATATTTATTAGATTGAGCATTATTCCTCTCATAGTGTTACACACTTACACGTGTTAGCCTGTATGGATTTGATTTATTTAGTTCTTGTATATCTTATTCTGTGTTGGCGCAAATTCATGGTTTGACATGGTGGCTTTTGCACTTCTTCCCACACACACACAGCCACACCCACTGATAGGTTGAATGTCTCAATTAAGAATTTATTATTATTGGTTTGAACACACAATGACCGACTGTGATATTATGCCAGAATTTGTTCATATTGAAGATTTAAAGTAGATATTGGATGTATTAAGTAATATATAATGTGGTGAACATTATTTGTAATTTAGCCCTCTCTTTTCCAAAAATAAAATAAAATAAAAATACTTCAGAGTTCAATATTTTGCATAATTTCTTATTATCAGTTCATACTAATGCTTTTGTAGGTCGACAAAATTTTTGGCCCTGGAAACCAATATGTCACAGCTGCAAAAATGATTTTGCAAGTAAGTTTTAAGTCTCTCTCTCTCTCACCCTTTACTTCATATGCTGTGTTTCAAACTTCAGATCTTATCCTGCTTTATATTACTGTTCAAAATCTTATACAGAACAGTGAAGCCATGGTTGCAATTGACATGCCAGCTGGTCCATCTGAAGTTTTAGTCATTGCTGACAAGCATGCAATTCCTCGTCATGTAGCTGCCGATTTGCTTTCCCAGGTTTACTGAGTTCTAAAATGCAAATTTATAATATGAAATTGGACATGCTATTTACATTCATAGTGTGAATAGATTATCTTGTCTCTTCACTCTCTTAGAAAGGTATCTCATGCTCTTTTAAAATTTATGCAATTAAACCTTGGTCCAAAAGCTTCGATTTCTACATTATGATGTTTGTTATTCCAAAATACAATTCACTAATGTAGTATGAATCAATGTGGTCAAAAGTTAAAAGTTCTTGGGGCTTTTAGTGCGTTGAAGGGAGAGGTAACCAAAAAGTGCATGGTTGACTGAAAAAGCAAACATACATTATTAAAAAGAAAAAATAGTAAACGAATTTGCTTGAATTTTCCATTATTACATCCATATTAAAATAAAACAGTAGAACTCTTTAACACTTCCAACTGATAAAGAATTATAGTAAGTCTATGACCATCTTTAAAAATAATTATAAACTGATGAAATGAATGGCTCTAAGTTAGACAATACTATTTTCCTTTTCTCTTGGCAGAACTTGTATTCCAGGCCTTTTAGTAGGCTATCTGCATTAACTTTGATATTTAGGTATATTATACAATTTTTTATATGCGACACAGTGGAAATCATACATAAAAGTTATGTGCAACTACTTAGGGATAAAATTCAGTTAAAAAAGATCACATACTATAAAGCATGTCCATATTGTTTTGAAAGTTGCATATGTAAATAGACAGAGAGAGCTAACTGGAACCGCTGTCTTCTACTGTGAAGTTCGCTCGATGGAGATATGGCAATACTGACATGATGACAATAACAAGTATGACATGACGTGGGTATTCCTATTATCTTTGTATTTGCAAATATAATAAAATTAATATATAGATTATGAGATATCAACCAATACATGAAATTAAGATTTTTTTTGAAAAGAAGTATTGAATGTTAAGATGTCGATCTCATCTGCCTATCTGAGTCTCAGTCTTCCTTAATTAGTACCCGTGTGGTTTACTATTTGAAAAATATGGAAAGACAAGGACTACTCTTTTTTATTAATTAGAAATATAAGCACAGAAGCATTTTATATACTGATTATAAATGGTAGCATGAATTAACTCTCAAACAGGTTATACTTCACCATCATACCACTGACCTAAGAACTTTTTGGCTTTCTTATACACTGCTGATGCATCTGCAACTAATTTACAATTTTCAGGCTGAGCATGGCCCTGATAGTCAGGTTGTGCTTGTGATTGCTGGTGAAGGTGTGGATCTGAATACAATAGAGGAGGAACTCAGCAAACAGTGCCGGAGTCTTCCAAGAGGAGAGTTTGCTGCTAAAGCCCTGAGCCACAGTTTTATTGTTTATGCACGTGATATGCTTGAGGTCAGTGCTGTTATCCATGTTCATCTCTGTATTGTCTCAGCTCACTAAATGCATAGTGAAGAGCAAAGGAGAGAAACAACCTGTCCAGAACCACTAATACAAACTGTTAGGCTTTCTCTATGCCTGTATTTATATATGTGCAAAAGTAGGTGACACATAACACAACCATATATGCTTAGTCATGTTTTCTTAACAGTTGTACCGCAATGCTATAACCATACGTTGCTTTAAATGCTGGTGATATATGTCATAGTTCATAACTTCTTTGAAAGAATTAACAATTAGGCCTCAATCACTTTTTTGTTTTCTTTGAATTTACATTTTGTGCTGAAATCCTAATTCCTCTCGCTAGTTAGGTTTCGATGTATCAATATCTTTGCTCGAGTTTCAGAACTAGAAGTTTCATTTTTATGTTGCAGTCAATCAAATTCTCAAACTTATATGCACCTGAGCATCTAATTGTCAATGTGAAGGATGCAGAGAAGTGGGAGGGTTTTATTGAGAATGCAGGTATGGCTTTGTCTTATCGTTGGTTTCTCTCTCTTATGATATAGGAAGGCCGGGGATGAACTTTTTTAGTTATTTTTTAAAATATGTTGAGAACCAATTTGGATGCGGCTTGTAACATGACAAAGTATAGACCTTTTGCTTCCTTCTTCTTGACCTTTAGATTCACTTGATAACCTCTTCTGTCTCGTCGATCACAATTCAAGATCCTAGATTTACATGTTCAATGATTACGTCTGCAGGTTCTGTATTTTTAGGGCGGTGGACTCCGGAGAGTGTTGGTGATTATGCAAGTGGGACAAATCATGTTCTTCCTACTTATGGTTATGCAAGGATGTATGGTGGAGTTTCATTGGATTCTTTCCTGAAGTACATAACAGTGCAATCTCTCACAGAAGAAGGGCTGAGAAAACTTGGACCATATGTAGCAACAATGGCTGAAGTTGAAGGTCTTGATGCTCATAAGCGAGCAGTTACCCTGAGGCTTGAGGATATCGAAGCCAGACAGGTTTCAAGATGAGGTGATAATTTATGGTAAGCCTGCTTTCATTTACTCGATTACTAGTTACTAGTGTAAAATTAGTACCTGAGCAATTGGCGTTTTTAAGTCATGTAACTATAATGGGTTTTGAAATTTTAAATTTTGATGAAAATTTGGTTTTTGATATGTCGGTCTTGCATAATTGGCATAAAATTAAGGTTGTAACCACGATGAATTTTGCGATTATTAACGGGTGGCTATGGGCTTAAGCTATAAGAAAATGATTTTAGATAACCTTTTTCTTTTTCTTTATTTGACAAAAGTGCTAAAACTCTGCTAAATTTTGTTGATTCTTGATTCAACTTTGAAAGATGTGTCTGCTCAAGAAAATATTGGAGCATGGTTTGATTTATTCTTTGGTGAGTATAAGTAGTAGGTGTAAAGGGAAATTTAAAGAGTTTAGTTCCGTTATTTGAATTATTAAGAATTAATATTGTATATAGCTGTTTCTTTCTTCTTCTTTTTTTTATATTTTCATACACTCTAAAATATATCCCCAAAACAAAGGATATACCTAAAGGCCTCTCTCCTAAAACGTTTGTACATAATTTTTGCAACACTGCATGACCACAAAATTTCAGTTTTATTATTTTAACATTAAAAATTGACATCATATGTAACACTGTACTATTATTTTTATTTCTCAATTACTTTTATCTTTTCTGTGTAGAGGAATCCCAAAAATATACCTAAATATAAAAAAAAGACACCTTTAGTTGCCCATTGTCAGTGATACAAGCAACATTTTCCTAAAATTTTAAAGAGACATTTCCTTGAGTTAAAGAAATTTAAAATAATATCCAGCAGGAGACAGGCAAATATGCAGCAGCAGTGTGAAGCACGTAAGCTAGAACATAATGACTATGCATGAAATGTCGTCATAGCTTCCTAGAGATTTGGCTTCTTTAACTAACTTTCTAGATGCTTTTTGCGCATGGTCGACATCCCTGATACAGTCACAAGCCTCCTGATTTGTCATTACCTGCGATAGAGGGTCAAAACTATACCTCCTAAAGATGAGTTTGGGTTAGTTGAAAAAAAATTATTTTAGGATGATAATCGGTTATAATAAAGCTACTTTTGCCAAAGATAGTTGTAATTTATTTATTCAATAACTTGTAGCTTATTAAAAATCAATAAACTTCTGAAGTTATTTGATATATATACAATGAAAGGAACTTCAAATTATATTTACAAATATTTTTTATTTTTAATATTAAATTAATACAATATTATATGTCTTTTTAAGTGTAATCAGTTAGAAAATATGTATTAAGTAAGAAATAATTTGAGAGTAGCCCGTGCAACGGTTGATATTCTATTTCTAAAGAATTATTTATAAAATGTAGCATTTTATTCTTTACACGGCTATTTTATTTATAAGTGAAAAATGAAATATTATACTTTATAAATAATTGTATATATAATAAAATTTTAAATAATGTTTTTTAAAAATATTTTAAATTAACTCTAATTACAAATAATATGCATCAAAATAATAAATATTTAAAAATAAATAAATATTTTAAAATATAATTTATTTTATAGTGTATTTTTAGTTAAATATCGATAGTAAATATATATCAACCTGATAAATTTTTAAAAGTAAATTCTAAATTTGAAAATATAAAAAAATTAAGATAATTTTTACTAATATATGAATAAGTATTTATAAAAAATGTAAATATTTATATGGAAATAAGAACAAATCAAGTTAAAAAAAAAAAATCTCCAATAGACTCTTATATATAATATAAATAAAAATTGATTTATTATATTTGGATGGTATAAATAATTACTTTTTCTAAAGTGAAATTGGAAAAAAATATGAAATTATGTGTTATAGTAAGTTTTGTATTTAATTATGAAGGATAAAATGAGAAAAAAATTACTAAAAATTAAGATAGTTTTTAATCATGTTTTAAAAATTTTATTATCCTAAATAACAAAAAATAAATAAAAATTATTTTATAATGTTTTAAAACTCATGAAGCAAAAAAGAATAATATTTTTGAAGACTTTTTTCATATGAGATTTACAAAAATAATCCAATCCAAATCCGAACACACAGTATGTTTGTCTTACATTTGCCAACATTGCAAGCCAAGTGCATATTTAATTTTACATCCCAAATATGTTTTTTTCCTCGTAATTACGAGTTAATATATTAGTATTTTATTGTACTCTAGTTTGAAAGAAAATAAATTTCTCCACATAAGAATTTATTACCTAATCACTTAAGAAACGTTTTTTTTGTCAGTTAACAGTTCCTCTGTGATTTATTATGTCAGTAAACCAAGGATAATTTTCCTAATCTGATTAGACAATGTTTTAGGAGCTGCACTGTGCAACAGTAAGAGTACAATCCAATAGTACACAAATTCTGTCCTTTAGTTATCTATAATTGTGAACATACACATTGTATATTCAAGTATAATTAACTTAAAGATCAAGTTTATACTTCTGATCACAACAATTATGCAAATGTAGATAGCATGACATGCAAATGCAACCATATACTTCAAGTTTCTCCGCCTAGTGAAATTGATATTTTGGTTAATTGCTTAATAGATTTTCCTAAAAAAATTGAAATGATTCTTCTTACAAATTGAAATGAAATCTATCTTTCTTTAAAATTTAAAATTTGTGGAACTTATTTAATATGTTTATGCATCCTCTACTTCAGCCAAGTTGTTCTCATCAGTAACTATAAGATACGTGCAATATCATCGTACCTTCCACAGACCATCACTTGCCAAAATGATGAATTCAGTGTCTTCATCAATCTTCCGAATCGTCACATCTGGTTCTGCGGTAATGTGTTCCTTCAGTTTTCCATCTCCAAATGCCCGTGTCATTGCTAATTGGCCATCCACTCTTGGAACACATCCTAATTACATCATATATTTTCTGGCAATTCAGTTAATATTCGGTACTCACTGGACTAGGAGCAACACAAGTTCGCAAACGCAAATATTAAAATAATAAAATCAAACGGTGAGAAAAGTATTTTTATATGCATTTTTTTATTTTTACTTCTAATTGCAAAAATATTACTTTTTTTACTCTATTTTGGCTTTTAGATGACCAGAAAGTTATGTCTTCAATAATAAATAGCAGGTCTGATGCCAAGACTTGACTATGTAGTTTTGTAGTGAGTCAAAAATTAATTTCTTGGATCAACAAAAAGGTAGAAATTTTAGATTTATAGATGTTGATGAATGTATTTCATCATTACCGGGTTTATTAGACACAAAACCCCCTCTGCTCTCAACAAGGTCTTTCTCCTTCTCTGGTTCATGATCTGTAGTAAGTTGTTTTGCCAGACCATTTTTGCATGATATAGCTCGAGAATCACCAACATTGGCTACCAGTAGCTTTACTCCATTAATTAGTATTGCTGCTACAGCAGTTGATCCTCCACGTGAACCAGCTATGTTTTCTAAAATCTCATCATCTGTATCTTTACATGCTTTCTTAACAGCATGGACTGGATTTTTCCAGAAATCAGACTATCCATGCATGATTAAGAAATCAAATATTGGTGAGAATAATAATGATGTAGACTCAAATATAACAATTACTAAAGGATATTCATATACCTGACTCAGTATATTTTCGAACAGATGGCTCTGCAAATATTTTGCAACTTCATTACCGGAATGACCATCAAATATTGCATACAACCCTAAGTCACAACCATTGAGATTCCTGCGTTGAGCAAAAATATAGTCCTCCATTCCATGGTTCATCTTTCCTTGGATCAAGTGATATCCATGGATGAAATGTCGACTAGGTGGCTTATTCTTCACCTCTGCATCTGTTGTGAGTAGACCCTTGTGATGTCCCTCCTGTGTTTAGCAAAAATTACTTTGCATTCAAGTTTTTCTTCTTAACTTCAGATTATAATGATGTATTCTATTTCTTTTACTTCTTGATCATTTTACAAAAACAGTAACTTTAGATTACTGTTTTTGTAGGGAATGAAAAGCTAGAATGGTTAAGTAGTTCTGTTGACTGAGAAAGAGTCAAATGAATACCTAATCTATTCATTTTTTTAAAAAAATTATTTAAAACTAATAAATATTATTAGAATAAAATTAAAATAATATTTTTATATTAATAATAATACAAAAAATTATTAGTTACATTTTCTTTTTACTTTTTTTTTAAAAAAAATATAAGCTCGAACTGGCCTGTCCTAGTTCGCATTTACAGGTATACCTCCTAGTCCAAATGGCAGGTTAAATGGGTTGGCCGGTTGAGCCAAGCATTTTGACATCCCTACTAGTTAAAAACTTTTGAATGAATATCTTATTAAAAAAAATAGTGTTTTTTTTTTTAAAAAATTTCTTGGACTCTAAATCTGACAATTATAAGAGAAAACCAATTACTTTGACTGGAATATCCATGTTGTATATTATGAATCAGATCTCACAAAGAATCGCTGTGACTCCGTTGTTGTAGTTACATGCCATAAAATATAGCTCTATCTTTCACTGTATATACTTAGAAATAACGACCCCAGCTTCAGACTTTCATTCTGTTGCAGTGATAATGCATAGAACAAGAATGAAAGAGGATAACCTTTCTTTCAAGAGACTCCGTATAGCTTCCCTTCCTTGATCTCATCTTCTAATATAAAATGAATTAAATTAGATCATTAATTCTTATAAGCTCATAATACCAGTAGAAAGAGGACAGAAAACCACAACATTTTGCACCAATGGTTCTCCTCACAGTCGTGCTGATTTACTGCTGGACAATACTGATTTTTACGATGGTCTTATTTATTTTTTCAAGTTCTGTTACTATTCTGTACGAAGCAGAATTGTAAAGACATGCTTGCAAGCAGATGTTGATAAATGAAATTGAATACACATGGTTCTAAGATGCGACAGTTTTTCTCAATCAGAAAAGTAAACTCAATCAGATGAATTCATAACCTTCTAATCATCCCTCTCCTTTCTTTTGCTCCAAACTCCTCCATCCGAACAAACCGTATAGCAGGCAAAAGTTGCATGCATGTACCTTAAATGCAGGAGGATTTTCATCACTAATCGAGTTAGACTTTCTTTTCTGCAAGTTAGAATGGGCCTGTTCAAGACAAAAAAAATAAGTTGTTTGGATTACATTAAGCGCGAAATACTCAAGGCAAGATCTGAACAGCATATCATAACCTACAGTTCCCTTAACACATGATAAGCAACTTTCCCCGCAAAATGGTGAAAAACTTATATGGGTGTCACACACATTTTAAGCCGCCTCTTGCATGAAAGCAACATACCTTCATATATGTTTGAATGATGGGTGATTTTGTCTTGGTTGAGTTCAAAACTTGAGGGCGATCAAGGGGTGTTGAGACTTTGACAAAGAAAAGGAAGCATGGTGAATTTTAACATGTAAATTAGTATATGTTAAAGTATGTGCTATGTCCAAGTGTTAGGTATCTACGGAATTAAAAATCCTTGCCGGGAATGGAAGGACACGTGGTCATACAAGGCACGAGGCAGTGTCCTTCACCGCTTGTGTTAGATTTTTGTAGACTTCACAATTAACCATTTGATAATGTGCACAGCTACTTCTAGAGAACAGGAACCGGATTACTCTATCGGCAATAATTTTTTCCGGACCCAAAAAAATTATATTATGATCCAAATAATGATAAATTTTATATTTTCGGGGGCAGGACTTAAAAAGGTATGAACTTTTTATATTATTTTGTTTTTGGGTCCAAAAACTTTTATATTCATAGAAAAATTCCACAGAATAAGAGAAGTTTTATACCGGCTTCAACAATGGACAGAGTAACAAGGTCCATAATGCAACGCTTATCTGCATCCAAGTGCTGTTTGACATATTGCTATGCTGCAAGAAACAGGAGGCATTCCTTGGGTTTTCTTTTGTTTGCCCAATAAAAATGAAACTAGTGTCATTTTCCTTACCAATGCCCACTGGGGCATATTTCGGTTTTAATGTTAAGCTTAGAATACTGCAAATGAAGGCATCGCTGTGTAAACGATTATTACAGCAAAACAACACCACGTCGCCTCAAGCGTTGTTTCTTCTTCTATTTGTAGTTACCATGTGTATATTCTTGTTTGGTGTCATGTTGATTAGAGAGCAGGGCAGTTCGTAACATTCAAACTTGTTTTAATTCTGCATCTTTACTGACATGGTACACATTTCGAAAGAGTAATATGAAGCTAAAGGTACTGCTAAGCATGGAGTTGAATGGTAAACATGTTATAAACCTGTAAATGCAGATCTAACTGTGAAGTTGTAATTAGTAACGTTGAAATAAACGAGGATCCATGAACAATTTAAACGTGAATCTAATCATATACTGAGTATGTGCTTGAAAACATTTTAAATTAGTGTTGAAGTAAATGTAGATTCACATGCATCTTAACATGAAACTAAAGTTTTTGTTGGTTAACTAGCTGCCAGATGTCAGAATTAGTTAGATAGTTATCTTAGCTTTTAACTACCATAATACACGAAGCTTAGTAATTTCAGTTCAGTTTTTCATAGATCAAAACTTCTATCATTCTCTCTGGTTCTTGATTGATATTTGTTACTAGGTCAATCAGCACTTGGATCTATATTATGGTAGATTATCACACCAAAGAAAATATATAGAATAAATAACTTAAGAGAGTTGTGTAATTCCGGCCATATACAACCCTGTGGTTGACATTTTGATTGAAATTGTTTTCAAATAAATTTCATAGACTTAGCTTTGAGTGTCTGCTTATCATCGCTAGACCTCCCTCCTCTACAAGGTTGATCTTGTTATTTCCGTAACATAAAATGAATAGGAAAGAAATAAACGAAACGATGAATGCAAACTTCAAAGTCTCTACCGCCTCCATGATGTTTGGTGATTGAGCTTGCTCTAAATTCCCAGCCACCCTAAACGCTGGCAAACTGGCATATTGAAACAAAAATAAAAAGAAAGTTAGTAACTAGCAAATACAAACTAGTAGTTGATGGAGGAGAGGGTCGAAATGTGTATGTATAGTAAGAAAGTTTAATTGTTGCAGTAATATCTGAAGCAAAAATTGTTATTCCCACAGCTTTTTTTAAATGTCTCTAGAAGTTAATTAGAGGGGAAAAAAAAAACTCGGTTAAAAATGCCATATAAACAGAAGCATGATAGATTGATATTTGATTTAGATTGGACAGCTGCATTTGAGTAGCAATCTATATCCATTTAGTTGCATAATTGTTCCCAGTTTCTCAAATCTTTTGACATGAAGATGTTAGAATAGGACTTGTGATAGACATGAAGGCTGCACCAAGGAATGATTAAAAGTAATGTTGATGCATTCATCAGTTTAGACTGAAACAAGGTTCGAATTGGCGGTTGTTGCGGACCATATGAGGATGTTTAGAGCTGGTGGGAAAACAGGCATGTTAGCAATAGGACTTGACTCTTTTTAAGGCAGAGTTGCTAACTGCTAGAGAGGGGCATTTATTACTTTGATAGTTGAGCTACAGGGAAGAGAAGTTTATTTGGAATGTAACAAATTTTTCTGAAGAGAGAATAATATGTAATTATGTGGTCTAATATATAGAAGTGGAGAAGTACACTACTAGATTATATGGCATGGTTACAGATGCCCATGTCCATGTATCTGTTTCTAGTGGTTCTCAGGTATGGATCGAAGATCCTCTCAAGATGAGCTTGTCACTTTTGAATTATTCCAGCTAAAGATGTAAGTTACATCAATACAAAAATACAAATTGAATTTTCTACATGTGCAATAACTCAATCCAACAAGATTTATAGTTAAATTTAAGGATTGGTCCATAATTCAGTCCTAGGAACACGGCTGATTTTATTAGTAACCTGAATTCAATATATATGCAAACTTGTAAACCCAAATTGAATTGAATCAAAACACTGAACGAATTCCATTAAGTTGACATTAGAAACGTCATTCAGCTGGACAAGCAGAATAAATAAGCATCAAGTAGACATTAAATAGAAGACAGAGACTTAAGGAATCCACACTTACTTCAAGTTCAACATTTGGAATATGAGCTATTTTGGACCAGTCAGGGCCAGTATCTTGTTTGCATCTCTCAACTAGCTGTGGGCATCCATATATCTTTAAGTTCTGAAGGCTATCAAGACGATCCATGTTCTGTGGTAGTGTCAAGTTTGGACAATCACCGATGAGAAGAGTCTCAAGCGATGTCAGATTTGACAACCATTCAGGCAATGCTGTTAAGCTCGGACATTCTGACAGGCCCATGTATCGCAATGTTTTAGCAGACCTTCTAAGCCAAAGAGGTAATGCTGCTAATTTGGGTAATTTGTCAATAGAAAATTGTTCAAGTTTCAAGGAGTAGTTTTCCTTTTCTCCTTGTTCTTCATCCTTAAAACTAACTACCTCACAACAAGCCTCAATACTCAACCTTTTTAAAGCAGTCAGGTGCCTCAAATCACGTGGAAGGAAGACTAAACTTTCACAATTCCACAAAATTAAAATTTGTAGATACTTTAAGCTCCCAATACTTAAATAAGACAAATCAGTGACCTGTGTGGTAATCCACAGAATCCTAAGGCTTACAAGATTCCTCAATTTTTTGGGTATATATTTGAGTGCTACACATTTACAGAGATTTAAAACCTCTAAGCTTTGGAGCTTGCAAATGGAATCTGGGAGCTTTTCCATCCTCTGGCAATAGCTGAGATTAAGATACCTCAAATGTTTCATTTTATTGAAGCAGTCTGGCAAGAATTGAAAATTTGAACCTTGTATGTTCAACACCCTGAGGTACTTGAATTCCTTGCAGATCCATTTGAGAAATGGTTCAGCAATTGCATCAGCACTTCGACTTGCATGCCAGAATCCAATGGTTTGGACCTTATTCAACTTTTCACCAAAAGTTGGAACTCCTTCACCACTGTCTGAAAATGATAAATGCTGCACCTTTTCTTCAACTTTTGTTGAATTAAATTTTACTACTGCCCTTTCACTTTGCATTGTGGACGCAGCAAGGTCATGAATAAGATCGTGCATTTTGAAATAGGAGATGCCGAGAAGCTTAAGTTCTTCAAAAATAAGACCATCAATAACAACCTGTTCTTCAAGAGCACCTTCAAAGAAAGATCTTGAAACTAACTCCTGAATATACAACTCACCAAGATCTTCTGGCTCTTCATCTTCATTTTTGGTTTGTAGTAGTCCATGGGCCATCCAAAATGAAATCAGCTCCAGATTAGTATACTCATAACCCTTTGGAAAAATTGAACAATAAGAGAAGCACTGTTTCAATTCAGATGGCAAGTGATTATAGCTCAGTTTTAATGGAGCCAAAATGCCATCATCTTGTTGGTTCATTTTCCAAATTTCACTATCTCTTATTTTCTTCCATTCTCTTTCATAAGGTTTTGAGTATAGCGCGCACCCCAAACTTACCACTGCCAGGGGCAAACCTTTACACTTTCTAACAATGTCCTTCCCAATTTCTAGAAGCTTTGGGTGTTGTTTCTCCTCCCCAGCTGGAAATGCACACTTAACAAATAGCTTCAAACAATCCTCTTCAGGAAGATATTTCAAGTTGTGTTTATACATTTTCCCCATTATCAAAGCAACCTTCTCACTACGGGTGGTGGTGATGATCTTGCTACCAGTTCTGTTATTTCCATCATTCATGCCTAGTAAAAGATCTTTCAATTCAAGCCATTTCCTATAATCTTCGTTCCAAACGTCATCTAGAACTAGCAGAAATTTTTGATCATATAATCCCTCACGGAGTAGATTTTGTACTTGATCAAAACTTAAATTGTGAGCATCTACACCTGTTCCATGCATAGCTTTAAGAATCTCAAGTGCCAGCCTCTTAACATCAAAATCATCAGACACAAACACCCACATTTTCAACTTAAAATGTTCATCCACCCTTTCATCATTGTAAACCATCTGTGCAAGTGTGGTCTTCCCCAATCCTCCAATTCCAACAATTGGAACAACATCAATCTCATCACCATCTGATGGCAGCACCATCAAAGACATAATAATCTTCTCTTTCTCCTCATCTCTACCAATCACATAAGAAGGCCTAACATAAGAATGTGTCTCTCTCCTAGCCATCTTCTGATTGTCTGGCACATTACTACTACTGCTACTTGCATGGATCTCTGAGAGACCCAACTTCATCCTAAGAGAAGCTATCTCATCTATTTTGTCCTTGATGTCCTTGATCTGGTGGGCCATCTTAGCACGAAACACAAGAGGGTTAGAGGGTGAGAAAAAGCGGTGTACCTTTGTGAAGAAGTTTGCATACTTCTTGACAACTTGATTCCTCAAGGACTCACACTCAATCTCATCCAAGATGTCACGGGCATCAAAGAAAGCTTCTTTGAGCCGGCGCAGCCACACCACGATGGCTTGGTTTTGGGTTTGCTTGTTCTCAGCATCCACAATGAAGGCACTGATGATTGTGAGAGAGTTTTGGAGGTTGCCCACGTCATCATATAGACCCCTTGCCATGGAAATATTCTGAAAAGCACTGGTTGCTAACTTGTCCAACATAGTGGTTGCCAACCCAAGAACTATTGATTCCATTCTATTCTGATTCCTTCCTTTGATTGCTATGCAGAGAAGATGGAGGAATGAAGAAGGAGACGAACGGAGACTCACCCACCAAGCTAAATGATAAGCACCAAGAGTAGAATGATAGCAAGGTGAACCTCACTAATAATGCAATTGTCAAATGTCAGAGGAAGGCAACACTTCTTTGCTGTATACTTGGTTTTACTAGTACTACAGTTATGTTAACATTTTAATTAATTAATTTAATATTTTGTCTATTATTTCTAGCTAGAAAAAAAAAATATTAACAAAATCGATAATAATATACCAGTATATTATTAGAAAAAAGTTGGTGAGGCGTGTGTCCAGTGGGTGGCTCAAGTAAATGTTTAATAACACTTTTTAAATTTCTTTTAAAAAACTAAAATAAGTTATTACTTTTCAAAAATAAACAACCAAGCACGTGGATCCAATAGCTTGATCCTTAAACATTAGTTAAATAAAGAAAAATATAACTTTTATTGTTTACGTAAATCACAGGTACTAAATAGCAATGCTCATTCGAGAATTACAAACCCGAGATTAAACTACACTAATTAGTAATTACAATTAAAAACCTTATGTTCCTCTCTTTCTCTGGAGTGGTTGTGGATGAGATTTCACGAATTCATGCTCATTCAGTGGTGGAAGAAGCCGTTGTTCTTTTATTTTCCCATTTTTTAAAAAATAATTTTCTCAATTTTTTCATTTGTTAAAATTGGCATGATTATCCGATCCGGTTCGGTTCGGATAGTTTAGTAATTTCGGATAACGTAATTATTTTAATAATTTCGGACATGTAATTATTGTGGGATTGCACGTTAACATGTTTTACTCTTTCTCCGTTATCTTTCTGCGCTGAAATGTGCAATCTGTGTTTATCGATTGATAGATGGCGTGGATTCTCATCGTTGCTTCTCTCTTTTTTCTATGGATCATTTCTCTATGCAAAGTTCTCCTTATCTCTCGCATTCCTTTCGCCAAACACTTTTCGCAAAATGGTATATTTGCCTCCTTTTTCATTTTGTTTCAAATTTTCTTCTTCCTTTTTGTATTTTTTTGCTTCAATTCGATCGTATTTCAGGTAGACCATTTCGGAAGAGACATGTCTTGTTGGTTATTGCACATCCCGACGATGAATCCATGTGAGCTCGAGTTTGAGTCCATTATTTGGTTATTTCTAATGTTAATTCCTTTATGGCATTGGATCTGGATCCTTCTTTGAATTGAGATTTCTGATACTTTGATCCCGCCACTAAGTGATGCTCCTTGTCTAGCACGTGTTTCTTCATTTTTCATAGCTCGTGATGAATGAGGCCTATTAATGACCAATTTTCAATCTTTATTCCCAGGATAAGATTAAACTAGTTCTCTGATACGAAATCCAATATTATTGGCTTGAAATTGGGATATCAAGAAAATCTTCTGGATTCTATCCACCTTTTTACTGAGGCTAATCCTGAAAACTCAGTAAAAAAAATTGATGACTAAGTTACTATTCTAAATTGTAAAAAAAATGTAACTTCGTTAAGTTCAGGAAATTGTAAAAAAATATAGTCACTTTGTTTACTTACGGAAATATTATCGCTTCTTTTGTTTGTGTTGTTTTTGGTGTTAGTAGTTAAAGTATAATGAAGGGTTTAGAGGTGTGAACATTGAAGTATTTTTATATTTCTGCCTTATGATTTGTATTGAAATTTTGTTCCATTTCTGCAGGTTCTTTACTCCAACGATAAATTTTCTGACTACAAAGGGGCATAACGTTCAAATACTTTGCTTATCCATTGGTGATTAGCTTTAGACAATCTGTTTTTGTCTTTTAAATTAGAGCAGTTATGGTATATGTGTGTTTGTGTTGATCTTTTGTGTTTTTTTCGCATATTTCAGTTTAGACTCATTTTTTTATTATTTTTAAAACAGTTGTTTCTATTTTCTCCTCTTCTGTAAATGATTTTTCTTCAACTTGACATCTTTATTATTTAAGCAAGTTCAGTTTTTGTCTTGAAAAAGAATTCCTGAGCTATTTTCAATGTATAAAGTTCTATATTATTAATGAATCGTATTGTTCCCCCTTCATATACATCCACATATAAAAAAAGTTAAAAATTATTGATCAGATGATAATAGATATATTGCTATAATCAAACTAATAAACAATTGTAGCATTGTGAATCTTGCTTTAGCTTGAGCTACACGCTACACAACTAAGTTTATTTCTTGTTATCAGTTTTCACTGTTTATATTTGATAGGAATTTTTCTTTTCTTTATCTTTTCTATTCTGTTCAAAGGGCTTTGATACCCCTCTCCCCCCCCCCCCCCTCCCTTAACGTATGAAGAAAAATGGAATATGGGCTGGAAAAGAAAGGGCCTAGCAGAGTGGAGGGATCACTTTGGGGTGGTGAGAAGAAGATGAAGGAGGATTCTGTTACACAAAGGGACAGCTGGTAGGCCATCAATGGAGAGAATCAGAGGGAATGATTTAGAATCAGTAAGGAGGGGGGATCAAAAGGATTGTGGGGAGTCAATTAGCAGGATACTAGTATTGAGAATTGAGAGAAAATTGGGAGTGTTGGCTACAGTAAGTTCCCCAGTGTCTGGAACCTTATTGTTACTTTGTTTCCATTCTCTTTTCCATCTGTATTTCCTGTCTCATAAATTCAGAGGATTGCCTTTGAGTTCCTTACCAGCAAGTCTCCATTATCCACTATTATTGTTTACATATCTCAGTCCTTAACATGTTTTAATTAATAGAAGATTTATTTTGCATGTTAAAGATTTAGGGCAAGAAATCTATCTTAGAATGTTAACTGAGATTTTGGATGACACAAAATCAAAGCTTCAAGATTAGGCTCTAAGAAAGATTTGATGTTTCTTTTTCAATCTGTTAGATAGCTTTTTATTTTTATTATTTTTCTATAGGGGATGCAGATGGAAAAGGATACATCAGAAAACAAGAGCTTTTTCAGGCTTGTGTAGCCCTCAAGGTGATTTACAAAATGGCTTAAAATAATTGTTTTCTTTACATTTTAAACATTTTCCCTATCTGGAAACTATAATTTTTGTTTACTTAAATATCATTTAATGGTCATAGCTTTTCAATCTTAAGAGCATCAATTTCTAGGGAAACTAAATGGAAATTTCCTTTTGATAATGTTCTTACTTAAGTTAAAGATGACAGTCTCTGTCTAAAAATTTAATAGGGGTATTATTTGTATGACATTGGGCACTGTGTACTCAGATTCCAATGCAACAAGTGAAGATTGTCCAGCATCCAGATCTGCAGGTTTTGATCCAATAGGTCTCTGGAAGTTAAAAAATTTAGTATTATTACCAAATCTTATTGTTAGTTGCTTATATTGCTATTGTTTAACTTGTTGTCATACCTAGGATGGTTTTGGAAAAGTTTGGAACCATAGCTTATTGGAAAAGATTATTGAGGAAGAAATAAGCAATCGCTGCATTGATACAGTAAGATCATGCCTTTGTACTACTGTTGTCAATTTTGCTTGTAAAGTTTGAGTCATGAATCACCCATTTGTGCTACCCTAAAAGCATCTTTTGGCAGACTGGTATCTTCTGTGCAAATTCTCTTTTAATGCTCCTTTCTCACTTTTGTTCCAGATTATTACCTTCGACAACTATGGTGTTTCAGGCCATTGTAATCATCGTGATGTGCATTATGGAGTATGGTAAGTTGAACTGTTAGTATTGATCAATATCAAAGAACTATAGTGATATAAACTGGATCAGATGAGAACAAATTGAATCAACTGTTATTGAGAAAACCCTAAGTCGCAATCTGCACCAGTGGATGACGGAATTGGTTAGGGAAGAAGTGTTGGAAAAAACAAGAATGATTCCTGGTGTTCAAGAGACGAAGGCTCTCCAAACTCTCACTACCCAAAATGTATCCCCTTTTTTTTTATTTCCCCTGTTTATTTCTTTCACTATACAATTTTCAGCTAATTAGTTAGGTAGTTACACAGTTATAACATACTCAGAAGTTATGATCCTCTGTTGTTTCCCTATTCCTCCTCATGTACACCCATCTAATTGGAGGGCTCTGCTATCATAACTGGAAAAATCTGGAGATCTAGTACTCACACAGTTTGAGGTTTATTTCACTTTATATAATTTTAAAAGTAAAATGACAATAAATGGGGATAATGGCACACACTAGACTCTAAGTCTATTGCCCCCATTCTTTACTGTGCTGTAATGATACCCATTTTCAGCTGTGTGGTGTTATTTTGTGCTTGTTAGGAGGAGTATTTTAGTTTATTTACTTAAAAGCTCCTGCAAGCTGCTGTACAGTGGTGTTCAGAATCTTCAGATTATTACCATGTTATTAAAATATGATATTTATACTTTATCATGCATGCTTCTTATAGAAATTGTTTAAATTTCGCAAGCAATTTATCTGTTTATTGTGCCTTGCTGATTGTTAGAATTATCTTTGTGGGTGTTTTTAACAGTTCTCCTAGTCCTCATGTATGTTTTCTCTAGCACAGTATCCACAAAATGAAAGATTGTGGGACTTAAGTGAATGAGGGTATCACCCTTGATTTATCTACTTAAGTAGTATATATTAATCAGATATCATTTTATGACATTCTTATGCTGCTCTCTGACACCAAATTTTTTTCCACGTTGTTAACAGCAAGCTACTATTTGATACTTTACGGGGGGATATTGAAGTTTGGGAGCTTGTATGTATTTTCTCTATTAATTTTATTTTCATATTTGACCAATTATTTTATTAGAACTCATTCAAATTGACTTGGTCTCTTGGGATGTCTTCATTATTCTTAGGTGAGCACCAACATATTGCGCAAATATAGTGGTCCTGTTGATATTTGGTTGTCCATGTTTTGGGCCATGCTGCACTCAAATGGGACCGTGCAGTGCTTGGTAAATGGACATTCACATAGGAGCTTTAAAGCTATGGCCCAACACGCGAGTCAGTGGGTGTGGTATGCATACACATGCTTTAACTTATTATTGTAAAGTATTGACTAAATATCATTGCCTGGAAATTTGCGAATGTTGTTTGATTGGATTTCTTTCTTTTAATGTTTTCTTCCTTGAATCTTTATCCTTTTTCTTGAGTCAATCTTCCCATCTGGAACGACATCTACGTGATAGACATTTAGAAACTTCAATTGAAAATTTTTCGTGAAGCATTGTACAACAACACATCATTTTCTCCATCTAAAAATTTCAATTTTGCAGGTTCCGCAAGCTATTTGTAGCCTTGTCCAGTTATACATATATAAACACACTTAGAAAGGTCAAATAAAGTTGCAATGCTGAAGAAGTGTTGCTTGTTAGATCAGCTTTCATTGGTTACAATCCTGTTTTGCATCTGTCAAACTTTCCTGAGTCCAAGCCATGCATTAGGTGACTGTACCCTGCGCGGTTCAAGCTGCCTTCGCTTTCTCTTGACATGATTGAATGGAATCAGTGCTAATCTTCCTAGATGCCTATGTTAATTAATGGTGCTATCTTTGTCAGAATTTGCTTACTAAGTTTTCAGTTCTTTGTATTAGTTAAGTAGCACGATAAATATTCTTTACTACCTATAACTATTATAATTCTTAAGTAGTCCAGTGACTTACAGGATCAAAGTACTACTTTTTATAACATTTTTATGGCTCACATAACATGTAGAAGTCATGCTTATAAAGATCATGTCATAATCTAAATCTATGTGCATTCATAAATTGACAAGTAGGATTTTTTTTAAACAATTCAGAATGTGCATTATTTTCTTAATAAATAATATAAGCTGATTTGATGTCTATGTAAACCTAGGTTGCATGTGTTTGTCTTTACATGTACTGGTTAATTTTCGAAAACATGACCTTGTTATATTTAATGATGCAGTAACATCTGTCATAATCATTCGTTCTTCGGGTAAATCCACACAAAATTCTGGGCTATTCTAAAATTAGACTCAAATATTGAGGAGACTGCAAACGATTGTGGTTGGAATTGTTCCACTTAAATCATAATATGGATCAAACAGGTTCCTTAAATTTCCAATTTCTAGCGGAGTTTGGTCATCAATATTGCAAACATCGGCTATGAACTGTTCCAGTCTGAGTTGGTAACTGAATCTCTTAAGCATGTTGTTAAAAAATCGACTCCGAGGGATGTAGTAGAGCTCGATTGACATTCAAATGCACGTCCAAGTCCCCGTGGACGCACGGGTTTTTGTTTAAAGAGATCTACTCAGAGACAGCGTTGGGGTCAAATCAGTATTTGTATTGAGCAATGGTGGCAGAGAAAAGATTGAAGCATATGGCACCCTTTAAAATGAAATTCCCTTCTTCACCAATCACCTTCAACGAGTCCAAAGGAATTGGGCTAGGTGGGCAAACAGAGCTCCTACGAGATTAGAATTTGAAGACACGTGAAAAATCAATAAAAAATATATCAAATTAATAAAGGGTTTAGTTTCACCTTGATATACATTAAAAAGAATTATTTATTTAGTTAGAATTCTAATTAGAGAAGGTATTAAAAATATACCCGATATCGTATTTAGTTCCGTGCATTTTCTATATCACTGTTTCTCAAGTTGTCACGTTGATTAACAGAAACTGTGCTCCACCTAATATAAATGAAGGCGGCTCCATGGGCATCGTGTGTCATAGTGGGCTTGTGTTGTCACAAAACACAGCCCTGCAAGTTGTTATTATCAATGAAACACTACACTATACGGGTACGCTATAGCCTCCATTTTTGACAATGAACCGAGGTGGAGGACTGAGTAGCAACATGCTTACTCAAAATAATAAATAAATAAATAAAATAACTACATTCACTTGGTGCCACTGCTGGGTGGAAAATATGGTGACTTTAATCAAGTTTCTGTTAGATATGCAGGCTTGACTTTTTCACCATGTAGAAAGCAAGTTGCAATAAGGCAAGTTCATATAAGAAGCAGCAGCTGGCTCAGACCCAATTTTTCAGAAGTGTACTCATTGGAATACTATAGTATGCACATACCATATATATTTATTTATTTAAACGTGATTCAACAAGTCACATAACAAAGAATTACATTAATAAAAGTAAGAAAAGGAGTAAACAGTGGTAACAGCATGCTTTAATAGCGAAAAATTGTGTTTGAACGCTGAGCAAATTTTAGAAATAATTCATTTTTTAATCTTAGCAAGTTCAAATCTAAGAATTATGCAGACCGTTATTAGTAGTAGTTTGTTAGGTTATTTGTGCAGACCAAGAATAAAAATATTTAGATTACTTAATACTTTATTTAGGAGTTTAGAGAGAGAGAGGGGAAGGATTTGAAGGAAGAAGGGAAGGGAAGGGAAGTAAAAGGAGGAGGAAAGAGTTTAAATCTCTCTTATTTAGATGTTTAATATTGAGAGGGGAGAGTAATAGAAGTTTAATTATATAAATGATATTATATTTTTTATTTTTTATTTTTATAAAAAATAAATTTTTTTTCTTTCTCTAAAAATCAATATTTTTAAAATTAACATTTTTATTTTTTATAAATGTTTTTAAAAAATCATCACTCGAAAAATTAATATTTTTTTTAAAAAAAGTTAGAATCCTATTTACAAAATAATACTGGGAGAGAAAAAATCACAAAATAGAAAAACTCAAAAAATAAGGGTTAAGAGGGTTTTGAAGGATTCTAAACCCTCCAAAAAATTTTCCTCACAATTAAATAACTCTCAATGGTTAATCCTTTTTAAACCCTCCCTTTTCCTTTCATCCCTTTTTCTCTCTCTTTTTTTTTTTTTAAATACAACTCTCAAAAGCCTAAATGATTTAGCTTATTTAGGTTAAGCACTGAGTCTTGTTAAATAGGTTAGTTAAAATTTTAAAAGCCTATTCAATAAAAAGGGTAAGTTTTGGACCCAATTGACAAAAAAAACCTTTGAGACTTAACAAATTAATCTTTTTAAGTAACCATACATAATAAAATATTGTATAGAATTATTGCCATTTTTGTAATACTTTGAAATTATATATTTATTTAAAGGTTTAAGTTTGTCAATCTACATATAAATTTAGGCCATTAACTTTTTTAAGGATAATTTTTTATTTGAAATATTTTATTACAAAGTACGTTTTTATAGAAATATGATATTTTCATAAAAAAAATTACAACAATTCATACAGAAGCACAAAATTATATAATTGTATCATTATTTGTTTTATTAATTAAAAAATATGTTAAAATTTGTGAGTTATTTTGTCATTTATGCTTTTATCTAAGTTGTCGTAAAACAATTTTGGTAAGAAATATAATTTCCCGCACGTTTTTAAATAGCCTTACAAATCATATTAGATTTTTAAAAAGTAAAGTAAAACCTTAAAAAACATACATATATGATAAATAGGTAAGGTTAAGTCATGCCCATTAAATTTGAAAATCAAGTTAGATTTAAACCCCGTAAAATTAAACTCAACTTAATTAACCTATTTTCATCCTTGGATGTCTAAGTTATCAAGTTTATGTATATAAGAATCCATAATTTACATATTGTATGACCAAAGAATGAATAAATGTTACCACTTATTACTCTTTCTCCCATCTCTCTCAATTTGTGAAAGGTTTAACTTTTAGAACTATGACATTTAGTTATGTTCTATGATAAAACAGAGAGCTGAGGTAAAATGAAATATTATAAAAATATTATTTGTTTTACTTATATAATTTAATATAATTCAATACGTTGATGACGATATGTGTTTGATGTTATTTCTTTATAGGTAAACACAAATCATTATATTTGAAAAGTGGAGAAGGGGGATTGAGTTTTTAAAATTTTTAATGTATTTGAAATAATTTAATAATACAAAAATATTAAAAAAACACAATTTCTTATTATGAAAAAAATATTATAATATAATTTTTTTACTTTACTTTCTATCCTTTCAAATAAATAGATAAAAATTTCTCTTATTTTAACTCATTTAAACATCAAATATTTTTATTTTCTATATTATATTCTTTTTTTCTATTTCACATCTTATCAAATAAAACTTCGACAACACTGAAATTACAATGTCGAAAGCTATAGGTTAGGAATCCTAAGCCAAACATGCCATAAAACCTTTTTAAAGATAAAATTGTAAAACTCACGTTTTGTCGACTTTGATAGTATTTCCATTTCTAAATAGGAAAATTAATCGTGCAATAATTAAGTAGACAAAAAGCATTTTTTACTCTCGAAAACAAGCTTGAACTTTATGTAATTATATGTCCTTGGTTTGTTCATGTTGTAGCACACAGTTGCATGTATAAATTATGTTCGTGTTCTATAAATTATCAATTCCAGGAGTGTGTAAACATTTGATTCATTAATTTAGGGGTTTCATTTTATATATCATGATGATAATCATGAAGATAAATTTCCTATATAGGAAACAATTGTTGAAGGTTGTTAAGCATCAAATGTCTTTTGTGGCTTTGATGTGTCTTTTGTCACAACTAGTTTTTTTTCTAAAATTATGAAAATTTTTATACATTTTAATCAATTAAAAGTGATTAAAATATACATTTACATATATAAATACACCATAGTAAGGTAAAATTGATCGTAATTACATGATTTTTGGGGTTGGACTAGTCGTGAGCTAAACAATATAATATATTAAGCTATGTTTGACCCCAAAATCAGTTATATATATTTTTAGAAGAAAAGCCAAAAAAATAGTGAGGAGATAGAGAGAGAGTGCCCAGATTGGATTATAGGTGAGCTGTTTGTAGGATTAACTTTAAAACAAAACGGCAAAAAGAAAGAAGCACCGTTGGTCACAGATAAGTGAATAACCCTCCAAACGACACCCAAATTACGCCTTTAAATTCTCTCCACCAATCACAGTCCAAATATTAAAATTAAAAAAAATAAAATAAAAAAGCTCAAAAGCCAAGTCCTCCATTTGGTTTCCCTCTGTCTCCGTTTTCCCTCACTTTCCCGAGAAAATGAGAGAAATCCTCCACATCCAAGGCGGCCAGTGCGGCAACCAGATCGGTGCCAAGTTCTGGGAAGTGATATGCGACGAGCACGGCATCGACCACACCGGAAAGTACAGCGGCGACGAGGATCTACAGCTCGAACGCATCAATGTCTACTACAATGAAGCCAGTGGCGGAAGGTACGTTCCACGCGCTGTCCTTATGGATCTTGAGCCCGGTACCATGGATTCGGTTAGATCCGGTCCGTTCGGGCAGATATTCCGACCCGATAACTTCGTGTTCGGGCAGTCCGGTGCTGGAAACAACTGGGCCAAGGGTCACTACACGGAGGGCGCTGAACTCATCGATGCTGTCTTGGATGTTGTGAGGAAGGAGGCCGAGAATTGTGATTGCTTGCAAGGTATCCGCAATTCTCTGTTACTATTCCGTTTATTGCATTTCAATTGGTTTCAATATGATTCGGATGTGTTAGGAGTATATAATTTGGTTCTTGTTAGGGCTTCATTCAAGTTCCTGTGTTGCACGTACATGATTGCTGTTTGCAGTTACAGTTTTTCTAATAAGTGCAGAATGACACTTAATAAAAATTCAATAAATTGGAAATTTTAAAAAAAAATTTATGGTATTTAATAATTTCAATGCATTGAATTCGGTAATTTTTAATAAAAATTTGGTGCGTATAAGTTCTTAGTATGCACTGTTGCAACTATAATCATTTTGATTACAGTGTTGACTTCACAATTCGGATTTATTTTATTTATCTGTCAGGATTTTCTGCAGCTGCTAACTGATTGACATTTGTTTAAACGTTAAAATATATGAACAGGATTTCAAGTGTGCCACTCTTTGGGGGGTGGTACTGGCTCAGGCATGGGAACGCTTCTCATCTCAAAGATTCGGGAAGAGTATCCAGATCGTATGATGTTGACATTTTCCGTCTTTCCTTCTCCCAAGGTATCTGACACAGTTGTGGAGCCATACAATGCCACACTTTCTGTTCATCAGCTTGTTGAAAATGCTGATGAATGCATGGTCTTGGACAATGAGGCTCTCTATGATATCTGTTTCCGTACTCTCAAGCTTGCTACACCAACTTGTAAGTTTCAGATTTCTCCATTACAATTTTTAGTTTATGCAACTTATGGTAATCATTGTAGTTGTTATTATTTTTGTTGCTGTGGTTGTTGTTCTGCTACTGTTGACTGGCAAAGACAATTCGGGTGCGGTTACTTTCTTTTCTACATAAGTTTTGCTATATCCTCCTACAAATCTTCCTCCTACTTTATAAAATATGTATTAAATGAAAAAGTGCATTCATTTATATTTTTTTCCTTATTAGGAGGATTTGTAAGGATAAAAGATAGGAGGATATAGTATTATTCTTTCTACATATCACTAATTGTTAGTGTTAACTGTTAAGTAATGGTTAGTATAATGATGTCATTCAATTAGCTATTTAAATTAGGAATTTAGGATGATATATTATTATATTGGTGGGAGGATGCTAGTGGGTTTAGGTTATATGTCTTTCTCATGGCTGGGCTGGTGGTTATGGTTGTTGAGCTTCTGCAATTATTGTGTTTGGGTCACCTTTTCTAAATGGTGTATAATGTGTTGTATTTTATTCTCATTTTTGTTTTAAGTTCAATTTTTCATTTATTTTTTCTTGTTTGTTGCAGTTGGTGACCTTAACCACCTCATTTCTTCTACCATGAGTGGAGTTACTTGTTGTCTACGTTTCCCTGGGCAACTGAACTCTGATCTTCGGAAGCTCGCCGTCAATCTGATCCCATTCCCTCGTCTCCATTTCTTTATGGTTGGGTTTGCACCTTTGACATCAAGAGGATCCCAGCAGTACCGCAACTTGACTGTGCCTGAATTGACTCAGCAAATGTGGGATGCTAAGAATATGATGTGTGCCGCAGATCCACGCCATGGTCGTTATTTGACTGCTTCAGCAATGTTCCGTGGTAAGATGAGCACCAAGGAAGTGGATGAGCAGATGATAAATGTGCAAAACAAGAACTCTTCTTACTTTGTTGAGTGGATACCTAATAATGTCAAGTCTAGCGTGTGTGATATCCCACCTAAGGGTCTTAAGATGGCATCCACATTCATTGGTAATTCAACATCAATTCAGGAGATGTTCAGGAGAGTTAGCGAGCAGTTCACAGCAATGTTCAGGCGCAAGGCTTTCTTGCATTGGTACACTGGTGAGGGAATGGACGAAATGGAGTTCACTGAGGCTGAGAGTAACATGAATGATTTGGTGGCAGAGTACCAGCAATACCAGGATGCTACTGCTGATGAGGAAGAGTATGAGGAAGAAGATGACATTGACGCTTGAGGCATCTTTGTGAGTTGTTTCAAATTGCAATATGGATGGGTGGATGGCTTTGAGCGAGTTTATATTGTGGAGCAGTCAAAAACATTGACTTGTTAATGTGTTTGTTGTATGAATTGAGGGTCATTGTTTAAGCTGTGTTTTGTTGATAATGCCTCTGTTATTAAGTGATTGGATGTTTTAATAGTTAGATGATTATATACATCGCGTTGTCAGTTCTCGATTATATTTTCCTTTTTGCTCTTTTTCTATCGATATTATGATTATGATGAGTCGGCCTTGAATTATAAACAAGATTTCATTCGTTTGCCATTCTCATATAAATTTTTAATTTAGCATGTAGCAATCGTTATTGCCGTTGATGAACATAATTACTGACAAGCTGCAAGTTTCTTGGGGGTATTATGCAGGCATTTTTAAATTTAAGCAAAATTTAAAAATATAAAGAGAATAATATATGTTTTTATTGGTAATGTAAATTGTCTTGCTAAAAATGGATTAAAGAAAGGAATTAGAAAAAAAAAAAACTATAGTATTAAATTTTAGTGAAGAGGGGGAGAAGTATGTATCAAGTATGAATGGTGTTGTAACGAGAGAAACAATGGTGAAAAATATAATATAGCTTACAATGTCTCTTCTTTAATTTATAATGTATACGAAATGCAACTTTTTTTTTTTTTTTAATTTAGAGTAAAAAATAGTGGTAAAATTTTGACAGTGACCTTTTAGTTAGTATGCAATTTGAATCAAAGCAAGTAATACTCAATAGAATTAAATACTACTACATTCAACGATCATTGGATTATGAAGTGAGAGTCCATACCATCTCTAATGGATTTGAATCAAGGATTAAGGCCTCTTCAACTTAAGAAATCAATTGTGAAAGATTAAGAATATTAATGGTGTTCATATTTATGCTATTATACTGGTTTCACAACACCATCATGAATATATATATATATATATATATATATATATATATATTTTACTTTCTAATTATATTGTTAATACAGTAAGTGAAAATCCTGAAGTTTCAACAAACTCCTTAATTGCAGAAGTACAAACTCCTAATGAATATACTCTAAGTCGTATTCTACCATTTAATTAAAAAACGACATCCATAAAAATACATAAGTAATAATAATAATAAAATAACACAAATAAATCAAACTTTGAGAATGTGATTTACTTTGACCACATAAATAATTCGAAATTTACACCTATACATTAATTGCATAAGATTACATTAGTTAGATGAAAATGTCTCACTCTTCTTTTCTTTTTATGTAATGTGAGGTCACCTTTCAAACTTTTATTTTTCATTCAAATAACTATTGCATGAACTGAAAATTTTCTCATTTATGTATAAATTATTTAGATTAATTTTATTTTTACATATTCTTATACATTTATATAATTGAAAATGATTGTTTTTATGACAACATTTATCTTTTGATATCTTTCGACAGACGTAATATATATAGCTTTTATTTTTATGATGTCTCTTTTAAGTATTGATTTTTATATTTACTTATTTAGATTTAGATATTTTTTTGTTAGGTTTCGATGTTTCTTCATTTTAAATTTAAATTAAATAAACAATTTTATAGGTCTAAATCTTTTATATATAGAGAGAGATTGATTTTTCTGCCACTTATTAATGCATGTATATATTTAAGGCAAAAGTAGTACTTTGGTTTTTTTATTTTTATTTCTTTAACCATTTTTTATTTTATTTTGGTAATTTATCTTTATTTTTTTTTATTTTAGTTTGGTTTCATCCTTTATTTGTATTTTGTTTTAATCTTTTAAATTTTAAATGTAAAATAAATAATTTCTCTTCGCTAATTATATTTAACTTTATTATTTACTATATTTGTCTTTTTCTCATGATAAGTATAGTCATAATCATTTTTATCATTTTTTTTTTCATTTTACTCTTTCGTTGACGTGGTTAAATATAGTTAATAAAAAATAATTACTTAATTTATTTTAAAAATTTAAAAAATAAATCAAAATAAAAAATAAAGCTAAAAAAATAAAATACTAATTTTACCTATACTCAAATATAAGTGATATAATAGCATTTTTTTTTTCTCTTTCACATTATAAGGACATCTTTAAGGTGATCTACTAGCATCATTAAATAGAAAATCCCAAGATATTCAGTAATATTTAGATACTTGAGTTGAACTATGAAAAAAAGGAAAAATAATGACTAGAGTTTTTATTTAAAAGTTAAATAATCAATCTTAAATAATCATATTTTTAAAAAATACTTAAATAAAAGTATTTAAAAGTTCATTTCTTTGTTATGCCGTGAATTTCTTTTGTATTGAACATATAGTTTTTTAATTTAATTTAATTTTGATTTTCCAATTTTATAATTTTTAAATTATAATATTATTTTTAAAAAGTTGTAAAATTTAAAATATTCATTTGAGCGCACCCTTTCAGAAGAAAAGGAATTGAAATTTATTTAATATAGTAAAATGGCGTTAAGAAAAAGAAAAAAGAAAAAAGAAAAAAGAAAAAAGAAAGAAACAAGTGTGCGTGGGTGCATCCAAGGCGGTGAAGGAGGAAAGCAATGGCGGAAAAGCGGTGTTGTTTTCTATTCTGAGACACGAAATTAACGGTTAAAACGGAACGAAGCTGTAACATAAAGTAGAGCTTCGACTTCACATTCCCTTCACATTCCGTTGAATACATATCGCACTTCAACTCCCTCTCACGCGAAGAGGGAGTTCCGCTTTGGATCTCTCTCTTCCTTTCTTTCAATTTTCCAGATCTGCTTTTCCCTTCACTCGCAAGATGGTTGCTCACAAATTCGCCGTTGATTTGAATAAGCCCCTTGTTTTTCAGGCACCTGTCGCATGTTGTCTTGTTTCAAACATACATTAACATTAATATTTGAATTGCCACTCATTTCGTTGCTTCGCAGGTTGGGCATCTCGGAGAAGCCTATGATGAATGGGTTCACCAGCCTATCATAAGCAAAGAAGGCCCTCGTTTTTTCCAAAACGCTTTTATGGAGGTACATTCCTAATTTCATGGTAGTTCAAAATAATAATAAGATTGGTATTTCATTGGATTGGAATTTGGAATTTGGAAATTGGAACAGCTTTTGACGCGCACTCCGTGGTACGTGATTCCAACCGTGTGGGTGCCAGTTGCGAGTTGGTTCATTTCTTGCTCTGTAAAAGTAGGGCTACCTTCTCGTGATGTTACTCTGTTCGTCATTCTTGGCATCTTCTTTTGGACTTTGGCCGAATACACATTGCATCGTTTTCTTTTCCACATTCAAACCACCAGCTACTGGTTCCCTCTCTCTCTCTCCCTCCCTTTCCCTTATGTGTTATGTTTTCCACATTCATGCATCATATTCATTAATTTGTCTTTTGCATCAGGGGAAACACCTTGCATTATCTTCTCCATGGTTGCCACCATAAGCACCCAATGGATAGCATGAGACTCGTTTTCCCCCCTGCAGCTGCCGCTATATTAGCCATTCCGGTATCTCTTTTCTACCACACTATAGTCTAATTAATGCATTTCTATTGCTATATTTCTACTTAGTAAGAGAATTCATGAAGTTTAGATATGTGTCATGTCGCAAGTAATAACAAATATTATTTTTGAAGTTTAAAATTCATGAAGATTAAGATTAATAAAAGTTTTTGAAAGACTTTAGTTAAATTTAGGCATGATTACAGTATTAAAATCATATTTTATCCTAAAACAATTATTAATCAGTAACTATGTTTTAATACATAGAAAAAATCGACGCCAGTATTCTCTTGTGTGGGTTTTGTGCTTGATACGTGCCAATTTAGTTCATCATAGTAACAGATAGGATGACTCCTAGTAGAAGAACTATTGACAATATCTCATTAAACAAGAAATGATATTGAATTTATGTTTGAAGAGATCATGTCCTGTATCTTTGCCGTGAAAATTTTTCTTTCGAAAACGGCCAGAAAATCTTCATGACATTTTACAAAATGATTGCTCAGCAATTCATATATTTCTATAAGAGGTTCCATGAATTGATGCAAGTGTTTTTGTCTGCCATGTTCAGTTCTGGAACTTGGTGAAGGTTGTAAGCACCCCTGAAACTGCTCCTGCTATGTTTGGAGGTATTTTGTTGGGCTATGTGATGTATGATTGCACCCATTACTACTTGCACCATGGTCAACCAAAGTCTGCAGTGCCCCAAAAGCTCAAGGTAAAGGCACTTCCCCTTCATTTTTAACTGGATGACTGCTAAATTACAAGCCCTTACCCCAATATGTTACTAAGCAAAACCCTCATCACTTAATAAATAGTTATGTAATTTACTATACGCATTGGCTGATCAAAGATTGGTCTTTTAGCATTTGTTGATATTTAATTTGATTAGAAATTGAAGGACATCAAATTCATTTACAGTTAATATTCAGGCATTGATTTTATCTTATTTATACTTACGAGTCTCTTGCACTAGTCGTACAATATGATAGCACTCTCCTCTCAACTCTATTAGAGATTTGGATCATCTCATTTCCTTTTCTGTGGTGTTTGCATCGTTCTTTTTCAATCATGGCATTGCCATATTCTTGTTGTGTTGCACCTGTCTGTATTATATATCTATCTAAATTTTGTAAGCCAAAAAAGACAAATAATAATTCTTATGATCATTATTTTTCAGAAATACCACTTAAATCATCATTATCGGCTTCACAGCTATGGCTTCGGAATCACTTCACCGCTGTGGGATAAGGTTTTCGGAACAGTTCCTCCTCCATCAAAGGTGTATGCCAAACGTAGATAAATTACTGTCGAAGCTGCTTTTGTTCTTTGATTAAGCTCATAGTCAATTCAGGAGTTCAAACAAAACATGTCAATAATTTATGTTTTGTTTCTCTAATTATTTTTATCCTTAATTGATGTTTCTGAGGGTTAAAGTGTCACCATCTTGTGTCAAACATCCTGTAAAATTTGATAATATATATCAATTTTTTGGCAGAAAACTGGCCTACCTTTGCTCAGTCCTTTCTGTTATAACTTTCATCTTCTCATGAATCCTAATTTCTATTATACGTGGTAGAATAATCCTTAGTGTCTATCATGGAATTAAGAGGGCATTTTTAAAAACAAATTAAAAGCACAACCCAATAAATCGGTGCAATGTCACAAGTTATGAGGGAATATGCATCGCTTGGATTTTATTTTTTTTTCAAAATTCAATAATATATATTTTTTAAAAATAGAGGTTAAAAGAGAGAAAAAATGTTTAAAGCTTAAAAAGGAATATATGCATGATTATAATTAGGTAATTGAAAACAGAATTGACCGACTTTCGATTGATTATTGTTAACTACACTTTCTTAGTATCCAACTACTATCAATTCAAAGTTAGTGTCTTATCAATCTTCGAATTGAATATCACTTCAAACAAGCATGGATCCCATTATTAACATTATACTATCTTTGTATTTATGGATTTACAAAATATTTTTATTTATTTATCTATTTATATAAACATTTAAGATAATATTAATTAATATTTTTTATTTATGTACAAATTTAAATATATAAATTCAATATTATACTGATAAATAAAACAAAAAGAAATCACTGATAAAAATATATTAAAAATCTTATCCAATTACCATAATAAAATAATTAATTTTTTTAATATGTATACTTTAATAAAAATAAAAAGGAGTAGGCAAGAAGATGTACTTTTCTTAAAGTTGAATTCAGGTAAAAGAAAAAAAAATAAAGTAACGATAAATGAGGTATGTCCGATTCGTGTTAGGAGTGGAAACTAGAAAGTACAAAAAAACAAAACAGAAAACGACAACAGAGGCGGGGAAACTGAGTAAGTCTAATAATTATATTATATATATACATCATACAGGTATCAATTTTAAAATTAAATTTTAATCATTATTTTATCTACTTTTATTTTTCTTCAATTATAATATAATATATTATTCAATTATCATATATAATCAAATATTTATATAACAAATTTTTCCTAAAATGCAAAAATATTTTATTATATACTAATTTATTATAATTATTATATTATATAATATAAAAATTATAATTTATATTCCATAATTTTTTCTAGAATCAATATTTATTTTACTATTACTTATTAGTTTAAGGTATTTTCAAAATACTTATAAATAATATTAGTACTTATGATAATTTTATTATTCATAATAATAAATAAAAATTTTTTATCGTGGGAATTAAATGTAATTGAATAAAAGATGAAGATAGTGCTGCCATTTGGGAAGATTTTGAGATCCATTTTGAGGAATAAGTGATGCTATTATCACTATTATTGCGGTTTGTTCAAAACTCACTAGCAAGCCAACTTAAGTTGACATTTGTTTGTAATATCTTTAACCAAATTTTCCTGTGTTTGGATAAATATAAATTGCGAGGAAAAATTATGAGGGAAAGATCACGAAAAAAAGAATACCATTTTGATTATTTTGTTTAGGAAAAATACAAAGAAGTAGGAATAGGAAGGTAAAACCCATGATCAAAAGTCATATTCACTAAATGTGAAATTGTGGGAGAGGAGACTTTTTTTATTTTAATTGTTAAAAAAATAAAAAGTACTTTTTATAACATAAAAAACAAGAAAATAATATACAATTTAAATTAAGTAAAAAGAATATAGTAAATAATTTAAAATTTTTAAATAAAAATGTGAGTTAGATGAATAATATATAAAAAGAGATACATAAAAAAAGAGTCTTATTATCTTAAGCCCTTATAATTAAGTTTAAACATTCATAAATAAAATTTTTTTATGTAAAAAATACATAATTATTATATTAAAGTTATAAAAATAAAATAAATAATTATTTTTCTAATAAAATTTATTTATTATTAGTTACTTATTTTTATACTGAAGTTAACCAAACTCATAAAAAAAGTATTATCTATGTTTAAAAATATTTTTTTACCTTTCAGAAAGAGTTAAAACGTAATTTTAAAATATAATATTAATTTTTAATAGTTAAATCAATACATTTCTTTCTTTTAAAACCTTATATTTTCACTCTATCCTCATACCTTGCCTTCTGTGTGGTAAAGAGAAGGGTAAAAAACTCAATTAACCCTTACACAGTTTATAAATTGAGTTCTCTCACTTCTTAACATAAAAGGTAGAGTGCAATAGTTGTTGAGGTCAAGTATAATTACTAAAACAATCGCGTCAACACCAAAAGAATCTCCCATGCTTTTCCCATTTCATAATCACAAGTGCACATAAACAACTAATGGCAAGGGAACTAAAGTGTTCATGCATCAGATTATAGAAGAAGTCAATAAAGACATAAATATATGAATTAAGAATCTTTATTCTCATGTTACTAATTCGACTTGCAGACAGATTTTGCCATATTGATATAACATTCTAGCCATAGTACAGTGCTATACCCTTTGATATTCTCCTGTTCTTGCCAATTTACCCTCTCTTACCAGTTGGCAATGGAGGGATGCTCTGCTCATGCCTAAAGAAATTAGATGGATCAACTTTGGTTTTAACCTTTACTAACCTGTTAAAGTTACCCTTGAAATACCTATATCCCCAAGAGCAAGCATTAGAAAACATTGTGTTATTCTTCTGGTTCATCCCTATATCCAAATCTCTATAATTCACATAAGCTTCCCTTGGATACTGTGAAGCATAGGGAGCCATGAAGAAATAAAATTTCCTCATCCAGTTCATATGCTTGGCCATACTCTTCTCTCCGTCAAGCCATCCAGTTACATACTGAATTTTGTAGAGTGTTCCTTTTCTATGAGGAAAAGGGGTTGCAGATTCTGCAATCCTACTCATCATTCCTCCATAGGGATTCCAAATCATTAAGGGTCCATCATCCTGCAGAAAAATTTTCCATAGTGCATTGAGGGAATTTTCTGGGATTACTTGCCTTACAAAATCTGATTTGGCTTTGAAGTAAGCCTTGGAAGTGGATTTCCCTTGGAGCAGAACTTCTGGGGCTGTTCCATCAGGATAGCCAGCAATATAAAGCACAGATTTGATCCAGCTAGTTTCCAAACAATCCTTTTTTGTCAAACCCAATTCAGGAAAACTTCGCTTCATAACTTGAAGAAGTCTATCAGCACCACCAAGAAAAAGAGCATTGTAAGAAGTGGTAACAGTTCTTTGGCCAGGAACACTACTATTCCCTGGTTGAATGATGACTCTAATAAAGAGGTCCTCATCAATATTTGGAGCCACTTGCTGCCATCTATGAAGAATCTTGTTTCCTCCTTGTTCCCAGGTCTTAGTTACTGTGAAAACAGTCACAGTTTGTGGCACAGGAACCAACTTGATCTTCCACCACAGAATAACTCCAAAGCTGCCTCCACCACCTCCTCTTATAGCCCAAAAGAGGTCCTCCCCCATAGTTGATCTATCAAGAATCCTGCCATTAGCATCGACAATTTTAGCATCTAGGACATTGTCAGCACCAAGACCATACTTTCTCATCATGGAACCATATGCACCTCCTGTGATATGCCCCCCAATACCCAAGCTTGAGCAAAGCCCTGCAGGGAAACCGTGCACTGGACTTTTCTCTGAAATCCTGTAATAAACTTCACCAATAGTGGCACCAGCTTGAATCCAAGCAGTGTTGTGTGCTACATCAACATTGACTTCACGAAGTTTGACCAAGTCTAGGATCATGAATGGCTTCTCAATAAGAGAAACATAAGAGAGGCCTTCATAGTCATGCCCTCCACTTCTCACTCTCATGTGAATACCAAGCTGTTTTGCACATATCACTGCTGCTTGGACTTGAGAATCATGAAAAGGGGTGAATATGAAATCTGGTTTTGGCACTGAAGGCAACAAGTACCTTAGATTTTGTGCAGTGGACTCAAGGATTGAAGTGTAGGAACCATTGGTTGAAGTGTAGATTGAAGAGGGAAATTGGTTTGTTTGAGAGTGGAGTGTTAGACAATGGTTGAATGCTTCTTCAATTGGGACTGAAGTGGTGAGTGAAACGGATAACACCACCACAAAACTTGCTATGATGAATCTTAGAGACTGCATCATTCTTTGCTTTCAGCTGTCTCTTCTCTTGTGTTAAAATAAAAGGCGTGTTTGGCTTGTATATATACACTTGTTGTTGCTACTTCCTAATGCTACTTTGTTGTGGCAATATACGTGTAATTGAGCTAAGGCAAACGTCACATGAATGGTTATTATGTGTTATTTGGTTCACACACAGTGGTGTAATGGAAAATCATGACAATCACAATGTGGAATTTTTAGCATTCAGTATTCAACAAAATACAATCCACACCTAAGATTATTGTGTGAAATAATTTCGTTATTTTTCCTACATGCACAATATTTTTCCCACTACCATGTCTACCAAAATCGTATATTACGCCAGCCAATGTCTAATCCTCTTATGGAGTTTCTATGGAATAGTTTGACTCGAAAGAGAACAATCCTTCTACTTTTTTCTTTTGTTAAATAAAGGTAAAATGGCAGAAAAAATTGTATAATAAGAAAAGAATTTTCCAAGCAAGTTCTGAAGGAGAAGCCACCGGCACCGGCACCGGCACCGGCACCGGGAATCTCGATGCAGTTTCTTATTCTCGTCACGGGTTTTTTCTTTTTTCACGAAAGCTTTTTTATATTCTTCAAATGTAAACCATTTTTTTAATATAAAAATAAAATAAAATTTACCGTTCGAAATTGAGAGAGTACGATACTCTCTCTTATTCGTTAGAACAATTTTAACCATTAATTTTAGATTAATAAATAATAGAATTAGTAATTTAATTAAAACAATTAATATTTTTTATTTTTAAGGTATTAAAAAAATTATAACTATTAATTTAAAAAAGTAAAATTTACGAACATTACAGCAAATACCTAAAAACAATTCACATCTACTCATCTATTGATAAAACTTTTATGACGTTAAAAAAGATATACTTATTTTAAGAATAAAACTTGTAGATTTATTTTTTTAATATTTTTATATAATAAATTTTTTAATTTAATTATTTTATCATATAATATTATTTTTATAATATACTTATAAAATTATAGATAAATTCAAAAGGATGGAATACATTACTCTTTTTTGCTCGCATTTGCTCTCAAATTTTCGTTCATCTTATTAACTTTTTATAATTCTATATTTTGATATACTGAAAAAAGTTATGTTAATTTTTTTTTTGTTGAATCATCCATCTCTAACTTAAATTAAAATTATATAAAACAAAGAAATTAATTAAATTTTAAAAATTAATAATTTAATTGCAATATCATATTTAAATGAAATTAATTTGAATATTAAGAAACGCAATGTTAAATACTGAAATGAAGAATATTTTTAACTATTGTAATTTTATTCGATTTAAATATAATAGAAATGCTGATATTTTTAATTTAAAATAAAATAAAACAAATTATATCTTATTTTTATGTTTAATTTAAATATTTTATGCAAAAATTAAACATAAAAAAAATCCAAATGGACACACTTTTAGTCACCGATGGTGGCTGACAAACGGGGCCGGTAGGTCTTCAACGCATAATAATCAATCAATTATAATCTATTTTTGGTAAGATCATAAGAAGTTAGAATCACGAGCACCTTTCAACAAATTTTTAAAATATTTAATAAAAGTACTAAGTTAAAATAAATTTTTAATATGCTGAGAGAATAAAATGATATATTTCTATTTAATATTTAAAAAATATTGGAAAAATTTCAAATTGTTCTAGATTTAAATTTCAGGCCCTGCAAATAAGAAACATTTACAACATACATGAAAGTCCAAAATAATCAGCGGATGCCGTCAACGTCAACCAGAGCATGTTAGGTAGAATTAAGAAATGATGTATGATAATTTTAAATTAAAAATCCACCAGATCTATTCAATTATTTTAGAATAATGGATGCTAAAGTTATATTATTGGACATTATTAATTGCATTATACAAACTTAATTTTATGGACACTGTATAAGTATTATTAAATTAAATAAAATTTTCAAATAATTAATTAAAATATATTGTATGCCTTTGAAAACTTAATAAAGCAAAAATGTTATAATTATTAATAATAAGTAATTTATTATATTCAATAAATTAAATAAATAGTTAAATTTTAAATTAAAAATAAAATTAAAAAATGTAAAACAAATATTTAATGTAGAAAAAATTACATGATGAAAAGAAAACTAATTATTCAAAGTATTATCATTTGAGGAGGTTCTTAAAACTGTTGTTATTTAAAAATTTATACTCAAATTATATATAAAAGTTAATCAGGATAAGATTAAATTTGGTTTCAAACTAGTTTATTTTACTAAAATATTGCCAAACTTACTAAATTTGAGGCAAAATTTCTCAATGAAATAGGTTTTTAAGTGGTTCAACATGAAACAAAATACACCATAATTCGCTTCAGCTTTCAGTTGCCATTGCCCATTCCCCGGCTGTGACTTGTGAACATATAAGCTGTGGCTTTTTAATAACAAGAAGAAGGTAATGTATGGTTTCAGAAAATGAAAAGAGAACACAAACCACTAGGTTTGTCGTGACTTGGATTTCATTTAGGAAAGATTCGTGACATGGAAGTTTAATATCTAATTCATCATAATATGCAAGTTTGATAAGAATTTTAGTTCCAGTTTTTAAGTTAGGATTCTCTTTCAGTACCTAGTTGAATTGTTGGTTTTAAATGTTCTATTTCAATTCTAAATCAAATTCAAATGGAGGTCACCAGTGCCAACAAAATAATTATGCTTCCTAAACTTTGAGATTGCATTGATTTTACAAATTCAAAGTTTGGGATGAGATTTTGCTGAAGCCTAAATTTTGATTTTGATCGAAGAATTTATTTGCCAGGGATAGGGATTATAAAACTGAATCGCTAACCTTTGTATGTGCTGTCGAGTAACATACTTGAGAATCATATTTGTATTTAAGAGATCAAATTTTTTTATTCCCTTGCAAAGAATATTTATGTCTGTTTTACTTTAATTCTCTCTTTATGTCTTTCTTTTTATCATATCACATCACCCATCACATTTTTTATTTCTACTTTTTCTCTTCTTAGATTTCATTAAGGATATAAACCATATGCATGTATACTAATCATTTAAGAATTCAGGTCTAAGAATAAGATCATTAGTGTGTTACCACAGTTTTTGCTTGAGAAACAACACCTCAGTCATTCACATAATATTGTGAAATACACAAATGACAAACACAAAAAGCAATTAGGCACTTAATCAGTATCTTACAACATCAATTGACCAAAAACAAAGTAACAAAATGTAAATGTATCCTTATTTCACAAACTTACGTAGACCACTCTATCGATGATTGAAGCAACAACTCATTGCCTTGTTTTCCAACCTTTTGCATTATTTGGTTCAAACTGGGACTGGCGGGATGCTTTGCTCATGCCTGAGGATCCACTTTGGTCTTTATCTTTACCAACCTTTCAAAGTTATTCTTGAAATACCTTTGACCCCAAGCACTTGCTTGTATGTAGCTTGAGCTATTCTTGGTGTTCATTCCCAAATCAAGATCTCGGTAATTAACATATGCTTCCCTAGGAAAATTAGACACATAAGGACCCATGTAGTTGTAAAGATTCCTAATCCAATCTATGTGCTTTGCAACATTCTTGTCTCCATCTTGCCATATAGACAGGTATAGAATTTTGTATAGTGTTCCGTTTCTGTGAGGAAAAGGGGTGTCAGATTCTGAAAATTGGCTCATCTTTCCACCATATGGGCTCCAAAACATCAAGGGGCTGTCTTCTATAAGCAACCTTTGCCACAATCCCTCGAGTCCGGTTTCAGGTATTGGTTCTCTCACTAAATCTGACTTGGCCTTGAAGAAGTTCTTGAATGTTGATTTCCCTGTAAGCAAAACTTCAGGGGGTGTGTCACTTGGAAACCCTGCAAAATAGACCATAGACTTGATCCAACTAGTTTCCAAACAATCCTTTCGTGTCAAACCCAACTCAGGAAAGCTTGTCTTCATGACTTGGAGGAGTTTTCTGGCATCACCAAGGAAGAGAGCATTGTAAGAAGTTGCGACAGTTCTCTCTGTTTTGTTTTTTCTGCAGTGACAGGTTGAATCATGACTCTTATGAAGAGGTTCTCATCAATATAGGGTGCCACTTCCTGCCACCTATGAAGAAGCTTGGTAGCACCTTGCTCAAGGGTTTTGGTAACTGTAAAAACTGTCACAGTTGGTGGCACAGGAACAAGCTTTATCTTCCACCAAAGAAGGATACCAAAGCTTCCACCTCCACCTCCTCTTATAGCCCAAAACAGGTCCTCTCCCATGGCTTTCCTATCAAGAATTCTTCCATTGGCATCAACAATTTGAGCGTCTAGAACATTATCAGCACCAAGGCCATACTTTCTCATCATGGCTCCATATGCACCTCCTGTAATGTGCCCACCAATTCCTAAGCTTGTGCAAAGTCCTGAAGGGAAACCATGAACTGAACTTTTTTCATATATTCTGTAATAACTTCACCATTTGTGACACCAGCTTGGACCCAGGCAGTGTTGCTCTTAATATCAACATTGATGCCACGAAGTTTGACCAAATCTACAACTATGAAGGGGCTTTCGATTTCAGAAACATACGAGATTCCTTCATAGTCATGGCCACCACTTCGTACTCTAAGATGGACCCTAAGTTTCTTGGAGCATATTACAGCTGCTTGGACATGAGAATCACTGGAGGGTGTGAATATAAACTCGGGTTTTGGAGCTGAAGGCACCAAATACCGTAGGTTACAAGCAGTGGAGTTAAGGATGCTTGTGAATGAAGGACTGTTTGGAGTGTAGATTGATGAATCAAATGGAAATCTTCTGTCCGAATTTTTGTTGAGACATTGGACAAAACTTTCTTTAATTGAAGCTGAATTTATCAATGAAACTGATAATAGGAGGAGTAGAAGTGGCAAGTATGATATTGGTGCCACCATGGTTTGTGATCTCAGGTATAGGATTTCATGTTGTGTGCCAGAGAGTGTCACCAATGTTCTATTGTATAGATTGATTTGGGATCAATGATCCAATTTTAATTATTACATCGTGGAACATAAGAATATTATCAAACTGCTTTATAATATATAAGACTTATTGCTTTAATTTCCACTTATAAAAATAATAATACTTTCCATAGTCTTTAACTTTAATTGAATCCGTAATACATTACTCAAATATATCTACTCTCAAATTTGCATTCATCTTATTAACATTTCCCTTTTTATTTCATAATTATGGTGATGATATTTTGTTTCCCTATGTACACGTTATTTATATGTATGCAAACACTAGCTACTTTCATAGATTTTAATTTATATAATCCCATTAAAACTTTTTCTTGCTAAAAAGTAATGAAAGTTTCATAGATAAGGTTACGACTCGGGTTATGATTAGATGAAGAATGAAATTTTAAAAATAAAAATTTAGTTTTAAAATATACGAAAGTCACAATCAAATATTATCAACTTTTTTTTATAAAATTAATAAAAATAAATTTTCAAAATCAAATTTTGAATTATGTGTTAATGATAAGCATAAACAAAGGAAAGGGAATTGATGCTGAAAAGTATATTGAATTATTGTGATAAGTATAAAATACAGAGAATGATTTAAGGGTCTTATAAATAATTATAATTATAATTATAAGTTAAAAAAAGTTGGTTAATCAGATTTTTCATGAAACAAATAAAAATTCTTAATAATTATAAATAATAAATAAATAAAATATTGAAGTTTTCAACTAAAGTTCAAGGAATGAAAATATTTTGAAGTTTTAAGTTCTTAAATATATTACATATGTGGTGGATTAATAAATTTTAGAGTATCTTTCAAATATATGTACATAAATAATAGCTTATTTAAATTATAAGAATTTTGGAACCGGTTTAAGAAATCTATAATGACAAAGATTTTCTTTGCAATAGTATAATGAATTATTTCTTATTAATATTGAAAATAACAATTATATCTTTATTTATTATTTAAATTTAAAATTATTCATATATTATATAAAACGTTTGTTTACTTATATTGATTTATTAATTTGTTACAGAACATTTCATATGATATTAAAAATCTACATTTAATTATTATTACCTTGATGGTGATTAAATTATTGATTTGATATAGAAATCATTGCCATAAGGTTTTTATGCCTTTTCATGGGAAAAGTTGGACGCATCCCTTCGTTGCTGGTAAACGGAAGTTGTCGGCAGGCAACTGCAGAGGACAGTGTTTCAGTTTCATTCGTTCACTAAAACTTCATATTGCATATAACATTATACTATTTTTTTTATTTACTTTTATTTATAGGTTTTTTTTTTATGGTTTTTCATTTTAAAATTATAAAAATATGATTTTTTATAAAATTAAAAAATATGAAATTTTTTTAAAAATCGTTAATAACAACTTTTAAACTAAAAACTACATATTACTTTTAAAATATTTTATTTTATTTTAAATATTTTCATTGACAATTTTTTTAAAATCTTTTTTAAAAATTACTACTAACAATTTTGTATACTTTATAACTTTTTTATTTTTGAATTTATATACCTATATAAAAATTTCCAATAATAATTTTTAACTCTCGTATTTTGTATTTTTTAAAATATTACATTTTTATATATTATTTCTAAATATCATATATAAAAAATTAATCCCATATGTATTTATATAAGAAAAAAAAGCGCTGCAAGAGAACTATTAAAATAATACTAGTGTCTGTTTTTTGAAATAAATTAATTTTTTAAATATTTAAAATGTACTATATTACTATTTTAAATTTAATAAATTAAAAATTTTGAATATGGTAATCATTACGAATAAAATTTTATTATATTAAATAAAATTTAAAATAATTATTAAAAATTAAACTAATATTAAAATAAAAATAGATACATAATATAAAAAAATACTTGGTATAAAAAAAGAAAATTAATCTTTTGAAACTCTTGTTTGAAAATATTCTTAAAAATGTTTCTATTTAATGATTAAAAACTTAAAAAAAAAATTTAATACTTACAATTTATATATAAACGATAAATTAAAAAATAATATTATATTAAAGTATATTATTGAATCAAGATTGATTTAATACTTGCAACAGCTGAATGAAATTTCTTCCCTTACTCAGCCTAAGAAATTAAAAAAACACAGCCGAATGAGACCCACTGACGGCCACATAAACTGAAGCTTATTTGAAAGCCCAACAATACTTCAATTTAATAAATTTAAGAAAAAAATTAAGCAAAGTGTATTTAGATTGGAGTTCAAAAACTTGATTTAATTTTGGTTAAAAATGGGATTGAGATAATTTAAAAAAAATACTTATTTAAAATTTAATTTTAAAACAATACATTATTAAAATGATTTCACAAAATATAATTTTAGATGCATGATTATTATAATAATATCTTTATTTCTCGGGTTAGATTCATTTATACAGTTTAATCTAATTAATAATCAACTGTATGTATTTTGAATTTTAACAAATTTCAAAAAGTATTATAATTATTAAAAAAATATTTTATGAAATTAAATTATAAAGTAAAAATAAATTAGAAAAATCAAAATAAATAGTTAATGTAAAAAAATCACTTGACTTAATAAGAAAAAGAACTAACTATTCAAAGTATTCCTGTTTAAAAAAATTAAAAAAGTTGTTTTTTTAATTCATACTCACAAATTATATATAAAAATAGGTAGATTAAAATTAAAATTGACTTTAAACTAGTTGATTTTACTAAAATATTGCCAACATTCTAAATGGAAAGGAGAATTTCTCAATGAAACAGCATAATTCGCGTCAGCTTTCAGTTGCCATTGCACAGAAAGGTAATAATAACAAAAAGGTAATATATGAATTTCAGAAAATGAAAAGAAAACACAAATCTAGGTTTGCCATGTATCATATAAGCTTCGTGGCATCAAAGTTTACCATTAAGCTTCATTTTGATACCAAAATCTTAATAATCATAATATGCGAGTTTATTAAGATTTTTCAATTATATTTTTAAGTTAGGATAATCTTTTAGGACCTAGTTGATTTGTTGGTTTTTAATGTTTTATTTCATGTCTTCATCAAATTGAAATAAATGTGAGATCACGTTGGTTTTACAAATTCGAAGCTTGGGGTTGGGGATGAGATTTTGCTGAAGCCTAAACTTTTGATATTTATCTAAGAATTTATTTGCTAGGGAGAGGGAAAATAAGACTAAGCTGCTAAGCCTTGTATTTGCTTTCAGGAGAGACACTTGAGAACCATAATTAAGGATCAATTTTAATTTTTATACCTTTCAGATTATCTTTATATCTTTTTTACCTTTCCTTTTATCTTATAACATCTTCCGTCACATTTTCCACTTCTCTAAAACTCTTCTTATCTATCATTAGGGATATAACCATATGCATGTACACCAAATCATTTAAAGCATTTAGGTCTAAGAATAACACTATCAGTGGTACACCAGGTTTTTTGCTTGAGAAACAACACCTCAGTCACTCATATAATCTTGTGAAATACACAAATCACAAACACCACAAACAATTAGGCACTTAATCAGTATCTTACAGCATTAATAGACCAAAAACAAAGTAACAAATGTAAATGTATCCTTATTGTTCTAAACTAGCTAATCAACCCTTTCACAAGTTTATAAATACCAGTCTAATAATGATTCTAGCAACACAGTGCCTTATTTCCATTTCTTGCATTTCACGTTCATACTGGAAGTGGTGGGATGCTCTGCTCATGCCTAAAGACATTTTGAGGATCCACTTTGGTTTTTATCTTTACCAATCTGGCAAAGTTATTCTTGAAATACCTTTGACCCCAAGTACGTGCTTGTATGTAGCTTGTGCTATTCTTGGTGTTCATTCCCAAATCAAGATCCCGGTAATTCACATATGCTTCCCTTGGGAAGTTGGACACATAGGGACCCATGTAGTTGTAAAGCTTCCTAATCCAATCTATGTGCTTTTCAGCATTCTTGTCTCCATCTTGCCATAAAGACAGGTACTGTATTTTGTATAATGTTCCATTTCTGTGGGGAAATGGTGTGTCAGATTCTGAAAATTGGCTCATTTTCCCACCATATGGGTTCCAAATCATTAAGGGGCTGTCTTCTGCGAGCAACCTTTGCCACAATCCCTCAAGTCCGGTTTCTGGTATTGGGTCTCTCACAAAATCTGACTTGGCCTTGAAGAAGTTCTTGAATGTTGATTTCCCTTTAAGCAAAACTTCAGGGGGTGTGTCACTTGGAAAGCCTGCAATATAGAGCACAGATTTGATCCAGCTAGTTTCCAAGCAATCCTTTCTTGTCAAACCCAACTCAGGAAAGCTTGTCTTCATCACTTGAAGGAGTTTTCTGGCCTCACCAAGGAAGAGAGCATTGTAAGAAGTTGTGATAGTTCTTTGAGTTTTGTTTCCTGCACTAGCCGGTTGAATGATGACTCTTATAAAGAGGTTTTCATCAATGTAAGGTGCCACTTCCTGCCATCTGTGAAGAAGCTTGGTAGCACCTTGCTCAAGGGTTTTGGTAACTGTAAAAACTGTCACAGTTGGTGGCACAGGAACAAGCTTTATCTTCCACCAAAGAAGGATACCAAAGCTTCCACCTCCACCTCCTCTTATAGCCCAAAACAGGTCCTCTCCCATGGCTTTCCTATCAAGAATTCTTCCATTGGCATCAACGATGTGAGCATCTAGAACATTATCAACTCCAAGGCCATACTTTCTCATCATGGCTCCATATGCACCTCCTGTAATGTGCCCACCAATTCCTATGCTTGAGCAAAGTCCTGCAGGGAAACCATGAACTGAACTTTTCTCATATATTCTATAATAGAGTTCACCAGTTGTGGCACCAGCTTGGACCCAAGCAGTGGTGCTCTTAATATCAACATTGATGCTACGAAGTTTGACCAAATCGACAACTATGAAGGGGCTTTCAATTTCAGAAACATATGAGATTCCTTCATAGTCATGGCCACCACTTCGTACTCTAAGATGGACCCCAAGTTTCTTGGAGCATTTTACAGCTGCTTGGACTTGGGAATCACTGGAGGGTGTGAATATGAACTCGGGTTTTGGAGCTGAAGGCACCAAACACCTTAGGTTCTGAGCAGAGGAGTCAAGGATGCTTGGGAATTGAGGGTTGCTTGGAGTGTAAATTAATGAATCAAATGGAATTGTTCTGTCCGTATTCTTGTTGAGACATTGGACAAAACTTTCTTGAACTGAAGCTGAATTTGTCAATGAAACTGACAATAGGAGGAGTAGAAGTGGCAAGTGTGAGATTGGTGACACCATGGTTTTTGTGTTCTCAGGTCTAGGATTCTATGTTTTGTGCCAAAGAGGGTGTCACCAATGTTCTATATATATTTGAGCTATTGTACCAAAATGCTGTTATAGTACAGGGATACTTGAGCTAAGACATACGTCATATAGATGAAGAGTATTGGCATTGATTTGGGGTCAATGTTCAAATTTTAATTATGACAACGTGGAATATAAACTTTTTCATTTTAACCTGATTCCAAGAACATCGACCACTTTCACATACAAAATAATCTGACAATGACTTTGCTTGCTTCGTCCCCTTAAAAGAATGGTATTACCCATTTGTCATGTGCAAGGCAAAGCCAAAGTATTGAATGGCCCCACGGGTTTCAATGTTTTTTATGAATAATAAGAGATAAACATGTCTGTATACTTGCAGCATTATGTGATCATGCACCAAATAAAGCAAATTCTTGCAAAAATTATATTGTATGTGAATTTAAATATAATCCATTATGTGGTGTTCTGGTGGTTATAATCTTATGGTCCACATGACTCATCAGTTAGTATATTTGTTACTTTAATTGATCGTGTTAAGTTAACTTTATTGGTCCATCCTCATGTTCTGTAATACTTGTTTGCCAAGAGAAAGTAATGTAAAATGATATCCTCAATTGAGGCCAAAGCTTAACTTGAGTAGAACCGTAGAAGTCACAATGTAAGATGCAACGTAGTTTTTGAATGCATATATTTTATTTTAAGTTGTAGTGTAACTATAGGAAAAAATTTGAACTAGGGAAAGCTCGACAACCACCATGATTTTTTTTAAAGTAATTTTGTTTTTCTTTTTATTTTTTTTGTTAATATAAATTTCAACAATTTTCTTATTGGGTGTAGCAAACTTCTTTAATATGCATTTGGAGCAGAATATTTTAGTATATTTGTTGAATATGACAAATTTGTAGTTTTATGTTCTTTTAAGACTTAAGATGCTACTTATTTAAAAAAAAACACCTTCAATTTATAAATATTTAAATAGTGTCACCATGATTTAATATTTTTTATCTCTCTCTTTTCATCACATTACAGCATTTATTACATCTATCACTTCTCTCTCTCTCTTTTATTTATATTTCTCTCTAGGTGAAAGAATGGCTATCACACATTTTTCTTAAAAAACCTAAACATTTTATATTAGTGGATGATTCAGAGTAGTGCATGTACATTAAAAGTAAGGATAGTAAAAATGAGAAATAAGATGAAAGTGTTATTGTACAAGAAATGAAATGTTTTGTTTTTCCTTTTAGCAAGAATGGTAAAGAGATGAAACCTTTAACTATATTCGGCAGGTACCAATGACATGTTGGAGAAACCACAAGAGCCTTAAATCACAAGTAATTTTACTTACTTGCAATTACTCAATTAACCCCCGAAGGTCGAAAAAACTCCTTGAACTTGGGGAATTCGAAAAAAAATACTTTTAATTGAATGCATGAATAAGAAAGTTGTAATAGTAGTTATTGTAACTTAAGATAGGTGTTAGTCATAGAAATAAAGGAATTCATAAATGCTCATAAATGTTACCTATGATTAATAAATGTTTATCTATGACTAACACGAGTAATTACTAATACAATTTTATGAATATAGGTACGATAATAGACTACTTTATTCATACTCACACAACATGTTTATTGTATTTTGTAATAATTTTTGAAAGTCCTTTAAATAATTTCTTAATTAATATAAATAATTTTATTTATAATAATTTGTATTAGTGATTAAATTATCTTTCAATATTTTTAAGTTAAGTTATATACTTTATTTTTGTGTAACGATATGTCTGTAGATTTAAATACTTTTTAACTAACTCCAAATAGAACTTATTTTAAAAAATTACCTCATAATTTTTTTTATTTTAATGCTTAACTAAATTTTTTTTAAATTTTATATCTAACGTTAACTTCTGTCAGTTAAATGGTGACGTGGTTAACAGTTTGTCACATCACCATCGATCTCTCTCATCTACCTCACCATTAAACTACCATGTCAGGATTCTACGTCAGCATTTTTTAATTTTAATCTCATCCACCTCATCATTAAAAGTACACGCCCAATGTTATGGGCATGTATTTTGACCGTGTACATCTCTAATCTCTAATATTTATCCTTCATAACTTTTCTAAAAAGTATACATCTATGTACACAATAATGTACTTTAACCGTGTACATATCTGATTTTGATGATGTGTTTTATCCCCACCTCCAACAGCACCATCACCACCCCCAACAGCAGCATCCCCACCTCCAACACCTGCAACACCACCACCACCAATAGCCATCTTTCTTCTAGACTAACCATCATTCTGAAGCGCACTTGGTAAGTCTCCTCTAGAGGTCGACTTTTAAATAGAATCTTCATCTCAAAAATCCAGACAACCTCTACACGAATATTGACTTTGTCAGGCTGATGAACACTCTAAGCAACATCTATCTCCTTAGCCTCAACATCTTCGTTCGCTTTCTTTGCAAATGACTTCTTCTTTTTATCTTTTACTCGCCCAAATTCTGGAACATCTTTATCAAATCCATTATCCATGTCACCAGCTCTATCCTCCTCAGTTTTATTTAAGTGAATTTCGTTTAGAGATTCCTCCTTACTACTGAAAAAATTGTCTCTAACAATGCCCTCATTGCCTTCTTCACAAATAACATATATTTTAACCTCTACAATGTTACACATGAAAAAATTAGACATGTTCAGGGCTACACTATCACAATTAATTTTCTTGAAATTAGAAGGACCAAATTTCCACCATACCCTCATAGGGTACTCTCCATAACCTAAGATTATCAATACATTTTCTCTAATACTGATATGAAATCCTGATGTGATGGTTTAATGGTAAGGTGGATGAGAGAGATCGACGGTGACGTGAAAAACTGTTAACTACGTCACCATTTAACTGACAAAAGTTAACGTGAGGTATAAAATTAAAAAAAATAAATTAGTTAGATATTAAAATAAAAAAAATTCTAAGGTAGGTTTTTGAAATAAGCCTATTTAAAAGTAGTTAAAAGGTATTTAAACCTACATTTACATTGCTGTTTTTTTTTTTTTATCATTAATATTAGTGCTATAATAACATTTATATTTTGTTAGTTTATTAAATAAATATATTGCGAAAGTTCATATTAAAATTAATTAACATGTATGTAATGAATCCAAACCGAAATATAAAGTATCCAGTGGATTTGGGGGGTGGATATTGAAATTATTATTCACACAAATATTGGTCAAGATAAGAATATCGAAGTTATGAAGACACGTGTTTGCCATTTAGTGGACAAAAACAATAAACTAAAAAGTAAATAAAAGAAGAAAATGCGATGGAAATAAATACCATATAGAGTTTGTGTATATATTTTTACGTTGATCAGCTATTTCTTTCAAGAAAAATCACTAACTTTTACATAGGTGATTTTATATCTCAATTAATTTTTTTTACATATGTATAATTGAAAAAATTAATTTTGATATATAAATAATTGTATATTAAAATTTAATAAAAATACAATATAAATATTATATTTAAATTATAATTCTTTTCATCAGTATTTAATAGCATGCAATATAAATATTATTAAATAATATATTTTTAATAAAAATTATTAAATATTTTTTATTGTGTGTTCTTAAACTCATATTAAAATAATATGTAAATATATTACTCATTAAAAGAAAGTAATGAGATGAAATACTTATTAATATTATTTTTATATGAAATTATAAACTTGAGATACTTGATAAACTAAAGATTGAATTAATTAATTATATATTGTATGTCAAGTTATTAAGTGACATAAATGTTTAAATTTAACACTATAATATTAAAAAATTATATATATATATTCAAATTATTTATTATCTATAATGAGTTTGTTCAATTTAAGCAGGGTTTTAAAAGATACACTTGCTATAAAAAAAATACATTTCAAGCTAATCCTTTAAAGTTTCAATTTTGATAACATCAATATTATGATTAATTTTTTAAATATATAAAGAGAAAAATTTTACTAAAAAAATATTTACAATCTAAAAATATAAAATATAATAAACACTATATAAAATTGTTGATATTTATTTTTTAAAACTTTTGACTTATAGGCAACCCGTTGGTTGACTGGACTCATCGATCAATAGCATTATACTTTGGGGTAAACTAAACTAGAAAAAGTGGAAGTGGAGAGAATCAAAAAGAAATATTTTATTCGAAGGAGCACTGTTATAGTAAACTTAAATAATTCGAAGTCATTTGAAACAATTTTTAAATGTCATTTGTATTAAATAAATATATATATATTTTTTATAAAAATTAGTTTTGCATATTACACGATCTAACAATAAATACGAAAACATCGAACTCTTGATTGAAATCTGAGTGATAGTTAATCGTTCCCTTATAAGATTACTGAATTTTAATTAGTATGGGATTGGGTTGTCTGATGTTATTTAAAATTATGAGGAGGAAAAGGATTAGTTGCAGTTAAATTACAACAATGGAGAGATTAACAGTCCTTGATTATAGGCTTGATATGCGTCCTTGCTATGAACCAGTGCTCACATGCAACCTAGTCTCAGTATAATATAAGATGAATAGAAATGGTGCCTTCTCGATTACCATCTTTCGACCCAACAGCAAATGGTGTCTATGTCAGTGAAATTGACGACGACAAGAAGTTTCAGCTGAAAGCCTTAAACCGACAACAATAAAGATCGCGAAAAAGGATTCTGTGAGTAAATTAATAATGGAAATGAAGCTTTTGTGTTACATCTTTCACTTTCTGGTGGTACCCTTCTTGTCTCGTCTACATATAGAATTTGATTCCACTTTTAATTTAATCTCAAAATGTTGACGTCTCTTAATCTTTTCTTTAATCAAAATTCTGTTCTTCCTTTCACGTTTTGCTTTCTGTACAAAAGAATAAAGTTACTTTGGTTTTGCATGCAATTTTCATTCCTTATTCAGTTATCTGCAAGATGGGCACAAATTAGCACCC